TCTTTGATAGTAAGACTACAAGGAAATGATTATGTTGCTCTCTCTAGTTTTTCCAAACAGGGAAGTTAACAGGTGGTTTATGGGTCGTGCAAATGCTTTGCCCTTTGCAAAGGGTTATAATGACTTTTATTTTTTTATGAGGTTTCCTCTATTTTATGAACTTAAATCACAGCAAGAGAAGAGCTAATATACCCGAATTATATTGGGTTAGTTTGGACTTCCTCTTGTTCAGTAAATCATGCAGGCCAAGCTCTGTCTATGGAAAATGTGTTCTGCCTGCCACAGGAATGGAATGCCCCAGGATACAAACGTGGAGATGGTCAGGATAGAAGATGTGCTGACTGTTCATTCCCTGACAAGTATCCTAAAATGAGTCCTCAAACCAAAACTACCTTTGCTACAAATGAAAAATCCCCCTGTGCCACAAGTTTCTCAGGAGATCATTAGCATTAGGGGATTCGCTACCAGCAGGTGTATGGTCACAGTACAGTTAAAAACGTATGCTAGCCTTTTTGGCTTGTTTATGAGACACAAATATTTTGTTTTCATTGTAAATATGAGGCCTTGAGTCCTATGCCACTGAAGGAAGGTGACTTTAAAGGGTGGAAAAATGAATTTGGAACATTGACACTGTCGCAGCACTGATTTCCCCGTGGTAAAGATAGATGGAAACCCCAGAGCTGCTTGGGGCACCTTCCCTTGAAGCAGCTGGTAGTAACTCCTGTCAGAATGGTGGCTCTTTAGGGCCTGTTGTCTGATCCAGTGTGAAAATACATCTTCGTGCAGAGGATCAGAAGAAGACAAGGAGGATCATGACAACAGATTCCCATCTCCTTTCTCTTTTATATACTTATAACATATTATAGGTATCATCACCTATATTTATAAAAATGATGCCAGGCATGAAATGAGCCATATGTTACTTTGTAAAGCATGACTAAATACATGATATGCTATGCAGCTGGTTATGAAATCTATGTATAAAGTTTAATCCTTACACCTCTGTATGTTCAGTTTTTAGGCTATGTTCTGAAGTTATATAGCATCTTCTAAATAAAAAGGTGTCTTAGGTTAGTTGTTAGAGTTGGGGACTGAATGTCCTTTTCCTCTACTTACTACTCAGTCACTTTATGATACTGGGCAAAGAGCTTGACTCTTTTACTGATGATAATCCTGCAGTTTGGCATCCTTAGATTAAAACACTAAATTCATGCAACATGTTGTATTGTAAATGCTATTTTTCTATCACTACCAGTATAAAAGAATCTGTCATTGCCCAATTAATTAAAACATTTTTCTTACTATGATGGCAGGGTCCTAGAAGAAATACTTGCATGGAATATATACATCATCGATGTTTATTCCAATGAGTTTGAAAGACGAGCAAGGGAGAGTACGGATGAAACCTACTTAAACATCATTGCTGTTGATGAGGCAAACCAAGAAGTACCCAGGGAAGAGGTAAAAAGGTCTGTATCTCATCAATGTTTTGTTTTGATTGGGCGAGTCTACAACAAATAACAATTTTCCTGAGAATTACCTCAAAGCTGAGGTTTTAGAATTCAGAACATTTTCATTAATTATTCAAAGGTAACTTCCAAAGTTTGTCAAAAGTTAATTAATACAGCTGCTTAATTGTGCAAAACATACTTAAAAGTCAGTTTTTAGGAAAACTGAAGCAGAAAGATGATAATTAAAATAGATTTTGTTTTCACTTTGGAACTGCAGAATGCAGAACTGCAGTTAATGAATAAATGTTTTAACTTTAGATTTATTTTGTATTTCTTTCATAACATGACAGTGGTATGAATGTATATGCACAAAACATTGTATAAAGGGCAGCTGCTTTTTAAAATGCATAATGTGATTTCTAGACTCCACGTGTATGTTTAACTAGAATTTGTTTGTGGCTGGAAATACCAGTGGAGCCTGTGGTCCTGCAAAGCCCTCTGCCCTCCTAAAACGGTTTGACTGAGGGAAGCTCTGTTGGTATCTGCAAAGCAATACATGTGGCTGCCTAGATGTGCATTTAGAGGATGTCACCTCAAGGTCACTGCTGCAAGCTTTGCAGCATTTCAGTTCACATCAGCCTCGGGGCCGCTTGTTAGAAATGATTTTTTTTTTCCCACAAACGACATGAAACATCTGAAACTTTGGAAAAGGTGCCAGTGATGAATCTTGGTAGACTATGGATTGAGTTTCCTCTCATTTTCTTATTTTCTTCAGTACTCCGCAGACCAAAATGGAGGTCTGATAAATGACCAGCATTTTCCTTTTCTATCTTCAGAAAACTTACCGAGCGGATCATCATCATCCAGTCAGAACTGGAAAAGATATTTGGAACCTCTGTTACGGTTAACTTCGTAAGGGAGGTCCCTGCTGAGCCGGTGTCCCCTGAGCTCACGGCAGCCATCGTTCTGGGTGTTCTGCTGGGCTGCACCCTCATAGCCTTCCTGGTGTACGCAGTTATCACTGAAAAGAGGTATAAACATTTGTACTTTAGCAATCTCCTCTAAATGGAACGGATAGCTACTAAATCTACTTTAAATGACACTTTGAAACTTTGAAAGTACTTTGAAAACTACTGTTCATCTGATAAGTTACTGATATTGGGTAGAGTATTGCCTAAGATTTGCTGTAAACTCTTTTTTTTTTTTTCCTGTAGATATTTTATCCATTTTCAGGCTTTTTTTTTTTTTTTTCCTGTAGATATTACCTGCCTCTTTCATTCCACATCACCAAAAAGTTGGTTTCCTTTTTTTGTTTGTCACAGAGTATCAGCAGACATAAATCCTTTTAAAACAGAAAACAATGTGCATAGCACAATCTGTAGCTAAGACGAGGGGTCCAAGTACCTATATGAACCCATAGAATTCTCTACCAGTCCCATGAATTTACGTGCTGAAGTTAAGTGTTGCTGTTGACTTCAGTGGCAACAGCACCACATCTTTGTGGTAAATGACAAGATTGCCCAGTAGGCAATAGGAATTTAATATTTTTAACAATAATATGTAGTCTAACAATTATGCAGAAAAATAGGAAATAATATTCCAAACTAATCCACTGAATAATACTGGTAACACACGTTGTGTACTAAACTTATGACACAAATATTTCATGTATTGCTTTTAAAACTTCAAAAACAATTAGACATTTTATTTTAATGCATTTGTCATTTTCAGGAATAAGAAGTACACGTGGCCCGTTGAACAGCAAACTAAGATTATTCAGGGTTTTGATAATCCAGTTGTTGCTGACATAAATAAAAGTCCCAAAATCACAGAGAAACCAGAGCACATGCATAACGTGTAAGTACAACAGTGCTGATATCACAAAAAGTTATACAATTTAGCTGATCAAAGGATGTGCTGTTTTATTCTGTTAACATAGGATGTTCCCTGTACCTTTCACTAATGTAAGGATTGATCTGTAGGAACTGTTACGGTAAAGCTTAAACCATTCACCAAAGTCGTGTAGCATAAATAACACAGGCAAATTCCAACTTCCTCTTTAGCAACTTGTTGATCTCTATGCAGAAAAATCCCTTCAGGATACCAGAAGCTACAAGGGTAAAATGCTTGTGATTTTGAATCCCAGTGTAGATACTGCTCAGAGATTCAGAGGGGAATCTGCTCAGAAATTCAAGGTTGTCCCTTGACTATCCAGAGGTGATACTAATTCTCTTAACTCTCTTTCAGGAACATTGAAACAACCACCTTTACCAAGACGGAAGACAYCCATAGAGGGAATGCTGATAAAGATGTGTTTGAGGCCAAACAAAGAGCTGATTATCTTGAGACAGTGCTATTAGATTTGGAGCGTAAACATGAAGAAAATAGAGCACCTGAAAAAAACAAAGAACTTGAAAAGGTAGGTGTCCAGCCTGCTGCAGAAATTACAACAAAACAGGTAACAGCCTTTTAATTACTTACATTATTCATCAAATAATTGAAATAATTCCAAGAGCTGCAGGCTGGCAACAGAACTTAACCATTTTTAGAGAACTTGGGGTGCAAGAGGGGAAGAAATGTCTGAAGTACTGAAAATCTTTGAGATGGGCTGTTTGTCTCTGCTGACAAGCGGGGGGAGAGTGACAAGGACTTTGTCGTCCTCAGAAAGTAGGTGATTCTCTTGTATGCACCTTGTGTACCTGCCTTGCAGGCCGCACAGGCAGGACACAGGTAAAGTTGGACGGTTTCTATAGCTTAGATTTTGTGCCCTCTGTACCTATCGTGTGCCTGGCCTCATCTGTGTTATTCACGTTTTCTTGCAGAACTGCTTTTTGGCAGATAAAAAGGATGAGCTGGCTCATCCATTAGCACTCGATCCCGTAAAGCACACTCCAGAAAAAGAGCTGAAAGGTGTAAGATTTTCGGAAGTGGCCGTTATTCTGGATACAGAGGCTGAGCAAGACGAGCCTGATCCCGAGGACTTGGTTTTCGGCGCTAACAAGCATGCGTGATGAAAAAGCCTTTTCCTTATGAAAAATCAGTGTCACATATTGAAACAATACAGGATGCACTGCGTACTATAAATACGGGAATGCTGCCTAGGTTTTTATTCCTGCTGCTGCAGTTACATATGCTGTGAGAGACGGACAGGAAAGAAAGCGCAAGCCAAGGAGGGGAGCTGCGGAATGATGATTGCATTTTGCGCTTACTTTCCTGGGAGCAGAGGATTTTTTGAACTCCTTCCAGCGCGTGTAAAAGAGCAGCCCAATAAAACAGCTCCAAAGGCGCCGCCTCGCCCTTGTTTCAGCGCCGGCGCTCGGTCCCCTCGCCCGCTCCGCGGCAGAGACGGCGCCGCCGCCGCCTTCCGAGGGCGGCTCCCGCGGCGGCGGGAGGAGCGAGGGCGGCGCGGCCTCGCCTTCCTCCTCCGCCTCCTCCTCCTCCTGCCGCCGAGCGAGCGACGGGGGCGGGGAACTTTCTGGCACCTTCTCGCCGGCGGCGGAAGCGGCCGCGCTGCCGGCAAGGGCGGAGGGGCGGGCGGGCGGYAGCGCCATGGCCAAGTGGGGGCAGGGGGACCCGCGCTGGATCGTGGAGGAGCGCGCGGACGCCACCAACGTCAATAACTGGCACTGGTGAGGGCGGCGGCGCGGCCGGGGCGGGCGGAGGGGGCAGCCCGGCGCGCGGCCGAGCTCAGGTGCCGCCTCCCCGGCGCAGGACGGAGCGCGACGCGACCGCCTGGTCCAAGACGAAGCTGAAGGAGGTGCTGGAGGGGCTCGTGGTGGAGGGCGCGGCGGGGCGCTGCGAGATCGGCGACCTGAAGCACGTGGAGGGCGAGGCGTCCTGCAGCAGCCGGAAAGGGCGGCTCATCTTCTTCTACGAGTGGAACCTGCGCCTCGCCTGGAGAGGTAACGGCGCGGCCGTTGGGGCGGGTAACGGCCGGCGCGGCGCGGCCGTTGGGGCGGGTAACGGCCGGCGCGCGGGGCGGGCTCAGGTGCGGCGCGCGGCCGTTGGCGGCCGTTAACGCCGCCCAGGGGCTGGGGACATGGCGAGGTCTCCCGCGGCAGGTCGGGTCCAGATCCCCGGGGCGTTCGCGGAGGAGCCCGGACAGCCCCTGTGTCCCCGCAGAAGCGGCCCGGAGTTTCGCGGTTGTTTCTGCTCCCGCTTTTGGTGCCAGCCCCGCGGGTGCTGAGCAGGGTGTGAGCGGGACGTTGCGCTCCCCGCGCTGCAAGAAGGAAATAGCGCGGGGAGCTGCCGCAGGGAGCCGGGCGATGCTTGTGGCGAGGGGGATGGACAAACTGGATCCTGTCCAGTGGGGCTGAACGGCGCCTCTGCCATCAATGTGTCTGTGGTGAGAGCGGGAAACGAGAAGCTCAAAAGGAGTGTAAAAGCGCAAATATCTCAAAAAAAAAAAAAAAAAAAAAAAGGATTTACATTGTTTTCTCTAGCTCTTCAGAAACTATATTTTAGTTGCTATTATCTGGGGTAACAGGGGCAGCGATTTTGCTAGTGAAGAAAGAAAACTGGCCAGCTGGGCCCTTGCCCTGCCTCCCCCGGGGACTCCTTCCTCAGCGAGTCCCGTCCCCGGGTGTCTGTGGTGCTTCTTCGTTGGCAGCCGCGATAACGTGTTTGCGTGAGGGAGGTTTCATAGAATCATAGAATCATAGAATGCCGAAGGTTGGAAGGGACCTCAGAGGTCATCGAGTCCAACCCCCCTGCTCAAGCAGGGTCACCTAGAGCACGTGGCACAGGGCTGCATCCAAGCGGGTTGCATGCAACTAGCAACGTGGAGGAAGCGTTTCCCTTTAATCCATGCCTAAAACTCCATGGCAAATCACAAACTGCCTCTGGCACTGGAGGGAGAAGCAGGAATAGCTGCAGTGAAGTGTGTGCCTGGGAAACTCAGCATGACTGTTTTAACGCCAAAGGGTGGGTTGTTCTTCCCCAAATGCAGAACTTGTTTCTTAGGCCTCTGGAGGTAGGAGGAGGTAGGGAGTATCAAGGGCTGTTTTAAATTTCCTCTCTCTCTTCCTGCATCCCCAAACAGGGCTGTAGTCTGTGCTTGAGGCGATTCGGGTAACTGCCCCCACTCTACACTGTCCTGTCTACAGATCCTTTTCAGTGCAGATATTTTCTATGGGACTGTTCTGTGTGGCTGCCTGCGATATGTAACATGTGCAGATATGTACTAGTGCAAATATGTAAGCAGATTTGGGACCCAGTTTTGCTCCCATAATAATAGAAGGCTTAGTACTGGTGGCTTATTTACTTATATGTATACATATRTTTTATTTTAAGCATGTGTGGATAGATGGGATCAGTATGTTATAATTGTGTTATGAACTAGGAAGTAATCGTAGTAATGTAATCTGAGCATTAACAGAGAGGAAGGCAAAYATAGCATCATACTGGGTAGTAATTTATTTCAAGGCAGTTTAAACAATTGAATCATTTGATTTGAGTTTTACCAAATTCCAGGCCAAGTTCAAAAATAATGATTTTTGTTTAAACTCAACAGCTGTAAACTCACCCAGGCTTTACATGCTGGTTAGTTTGGTTTTGCTCTTGAAATGTTTTATTTTGGTGTCATAGCATTGTATAAAGCTTAGAAGTAGGCAAATGCTGTAATTTATTGTTTGTATTTTCATGCAGTTTTTTTCTAAATGTTTCTCTTCTCTAATAGATCTTAATGCTCTTTTAGTGTTTAATCACACACAACTCAGTATTGCACTTTGCACAGTTCACTGTGGTGCTGTGTGAAGTGTCTTTGTAAAGTTACAATTTGAAGGATTTTGTACAGCACAGTGAAAGTCTGAGAGCTAGGGTTCCTTTTTTACATTTAATAGCAATTATATAGTATACTTTTGAGAAGGTGGATTAGAAATGAGAGTTCAGACATACCCAATAAGAACAGAAATGCTGTGATTATTTCTTTCTATGTGCCTTTAAAGGAATTATCCTAAGTAGGAATTAAAGCTATGATTAAAGTATGAATRTGTAAGGAAAAGATGATAGAATCCCTGAAATTTGCAGCCAGTTTGGAAAGAAAAACACCACCTCTCCTAGCGATTTAGATTACAGAACACCAAGAAATAGAGGAATTAAAGGTAGTCAGTGGTGCCGAATTAAGCAAAATGGCTGTCCTCCCTTTCATGAGTTTAAAGCTGTCACGTAGCCTTTAATGGAGCGCTGTACAAGTGGTGGCAGCTTGATGAAGACTGGTGCGTCTCCTTTTAAAATTCAGGTATTTTAACAGTGGATTCATAGATTGGTCTTTCTGAGAAATGAACTTTCACTGTTAGCTTCCTAAAATAGTGCATTGGCAGGAAACCAAGGGGCCATCCTATTTGTAGCTCTGCAAATGGAGTCCCATGAGTTTTAAACATACTACTAGTCTGTCTTATCAATAAAAGGGTAATAGTTTTGCTTATGTTACCATGATACTAAAAGTGCAGAGTTCTTCCATACTGTTGCACAACCAAACCGACGCTGTTAACTGGTTACACTTCCTGACCAGCACAGCCCCCATTTGTCTTAGTTCCTTGGACAAGCAATCCCTACAGCTTTGTAAAAGAAAAGAGAAGTCATTTGATGCATTTTTTTTATAGCTACAGATTTGTCCTGCTAGGTTTTTTTGCTTGTTTGTTTTTGAGGAATATTTATTTTAATAACTCTAAAAAGGGCAAATAGAATTAGCTGAACTGATTGGAGTCCAGTTTGTGCTCTGCTCAAAAAAGCTGCCTCTGCAGCCTCATGCTTCCTTTTGGGGCAGCATCTGCAAAGACACTTGCTGACCTTGGTCTGTGCTAACCCTGAAACAGGAGGAGTGCCCTAAAGAGAGAACTGAGCTGGCTGCACGTGAGCTGGGCTAGCACTAGACACGCAGTGACAGTGTAATTCACTGGTGCACACGGCTTTGTACTGGGGTTTTGTGTTGTACTGTATTGTATTTGGTGAGCCCCGGGGAGAAGGTCTTCAGCTTAGCCCTTTGCCTTTAGCTTAGCCCTCTGCTCGTGGACGTTGCTGTCTGCTTCTGGACTTGAGCTAAGAAGCTTTCTCCAACATGCTCTGCTTTATTCCCCTGCATCCTGACCAGAGTGGGGTCTTTGTACCACGCTCTGCTGTGTAGTATTAATGTCTTTAGCTTTCACTTGGTAAGAAATGGCTGAGCATTTTCTTATGTACTTAACTCGGCTCTTAACCCATTGACGGTTGCATGGTGGTCCCCTAGAGCCTGGTGGTCATTCCCAGGGTAGTAATAAAAAACAATCAATTAATGAAAGTACATGTTGAGTAATAGGTTTCAATAATAGCCAACTTGTTTAGTAATAGCCAGCTCCTTGGMAGGTGAGAAAGGTGAGGGAAGCCAAGGAAATACCATGTCAGCCTTTGTGGTTACTCCTTTTCCCCGCCGTGCTCAACACTGCGGGTTGCTTGTACTTCACGGGGGGGTTGCTGCTGGACTGATGGAGCCTGCTGTGTGGCAGTGTTTGGACAGCTAAGTTGATGTAACAGCATGAAGATAACTGGATTTGGGGCAGAACTGCGTGGTTTCTCTGTTGCTTTCTGAAGACATTTTTAACACCATCTAAAGAATAAATTTAATTAACTAGATGTTTTTGCAAGATGAGGGAGCAGAGTCTTCAGTGGATGAAAATACTGATTTATCTTAGACCTTACATTCCAAATGCATACAGTAAAGTTTGAGGCAGGGCGCAGCACCAGCTCCCTATTCCAGGGCTTGTTGCAGGGCTGCATGTGGTCGGGATGGCCTTTGCCCAGAGAGCTGCACAAGCAGAAGGCAGTGTCTGATTTGTGAATCTTCCTGTGGGCAAAAGCACTGCAAGGCTCCAGTCTTGCAGAGTCCTAACTTGCTGTCACGCACCGTGCGCGTGCGTCAGCATCATCCCGCTCCGCGTAGTGCACGGGCTGTGTTAGGAGCTTCCTGGGACTGCCTAGTACCTAGTGAGCACTGAAATGAAGGGCAAATTTAGGGGAAGGAAGGGGCTATTCCTCCTCTCCATCYTTTATGTTCCCATTCCATACAGAGGGGAGCACCAAGAATGACAGTGCAGGGCACACTTAGCAGATACATCTGCGTGATACATTCATGTGGCTGCTCTGGAAAATACGGTTCTGTGAATAGTTTGTTATAAAAGTACTTTCATGTGCTTGGGGACTTCTTTTTGTGGTTTAATTCCTTTAAATTAGATTTTAGGCAACTTGTTTCACRTAACACTTGTACAACTGATTTCCAAGTGTAAAACTACTGCTATGGGGAAAATAGTTTTTAATAATACATTTAAGAATTCATTATGTTAATACAGGTACAGTGAAAGAATCTGGTGAGAAACATAAGGGATCTGTTGAAATTCCTAACCTGTCAGAAGAAAATGAGGTAGATGATACAGAGGTAGGTGTAAAATACTGATATGGCTATATAGGTCCAGAATTCTTAAATAAAACATTAATCAACATATAAGGATCATATTTTGATTTTTATCCTGTGATTAAATGGGATAATAAGACTCAGTTTACTTTATTTTTCATGCTTTTATTTTCCATACTTAARTAATGGCTTATCGCTGTTCTCAAACTTACATAACAGGAAGAATGTACACCTTTTTTTTTTCTTGTTTTTTTTCACTAGTTGTAGTTTATACCAATGCATTAAAAACCAACTTGAGAACTCTGCTTGTAGCTTTATACAAAAGAGCCTCTTGTTGGCAGCGTAGTAGTCGATTCTGTGGCTTCTGCAGATTACTCAACTTCCGCTGTGTAGTAGTCAACTTTGTTGAGAGTTGATGATCTTGACAGAATTACTATAGAGATACTGTGTTTATTTAAGTGAAACCCCCCAAGAGGACTTAGTTTTAGTAAGGTATGGTAAACTGAGAAGATAATGGACTTGAAATTTCAGCTGTCCTCTGAATATGGTGAACAAAACCAAAATATATTCCTTTGTTGTCAGAATCCAAAGGCTGGTGTTAATGTACTGCTTAGATTCTGTATTTTTTTTCTGTTTCTAGATAAATGTTAGCAAAAAGAAAGGGGACGGGGATGTTCTTAAGGATCTTATGAGAACTGAAGGAACCATGAAAGTCAGAGAGGCCCTCAGAGATTATCTGAAAGCGCTCAAAACAGGTAATTTCCAACACTTCAGTGCATTTTTCTGCTTGATTGTCTCAAGTTGTCTTAGTCAATTGAGTTGTCTTGATTGATTAGATAGGCAGGACATTGACAGGGCCTTGGCATTTTATTTTTATTCTTAAATTGTCACCAGCTAAGCCAAAAATAAATTTTAGACCTAGCAGTCAAAAACCTTTACTATTGTCAAACGTGGCAGTTTTTGAGCTTCCATAGAGCCCCAGGCTGTATTTTGTCCCACAGTGATGCTGGTCATCACTGAAAACCTGTGGAGCAACCAGTTGCCAAGGAAAGCAGGCCCTGCCCTCAATATGTCATTTCTCTGACACAGTGCTCAGGAATTTGTGCAGGTGCTGTACACTGTAGTGGGCAAATGCTCTTCATTTTGGTTCACAGAACTTGGAAAGCCTGGCTTGTAGTGCATACTGTTGTCTGGCTAATAAAAAAAAAATCAGGAAAAATTAAAAAAAAAACCCTCAGGGTTGGAGTAGCAGGGCCCTTTCTGTATATTGCAGTTTTGGTCAGGGTGCTTGTGCAGCTTGCAGCTTGGTTTCATACTCAGTGGCGCTTTCTTTTTCTTTTTCCCCCTCCATTACAGAGTTTACCTTGGGAATGATCTTGCCAACAAAAACTACTGCTGTTGGTCAGGAACTGGCAGCTGAGAGAAAACTAAGTGGGAACAGCACACAAGTATGTTATCCTCACGTGTTGTATGAGTTTGGTATTGCTGTAACTGGGAAGGAAGCAGGGTGCCAGCGTTACCCTTTTGTGCCTGGTTCTGTGTCAGTTTTAACAAGGTGAAATGAAATTCATCTTCTCTGCTCACTTCTTGCAGGCTAAGTTAGATGTTAACAATTTTGTCACTTACTGTAGTGACTAATGATTATGAATACACATATGAATAACTATGGAATTAGGTTGCATAATTAATGTGTATTCACATTATGTTTAAGACAGCACAGGTGACAACAGTTCTGTCACTCCGAAAGCTTTAAATGCTTGATCTTTGATCACCCATATGAGTATTTGCTTTACAGGATTCATCGCATTCTTTGGATCTTGTTGGTGTAAAAATTCCTACAGTGAAGATAGTGATGAAAGAACTGTTCAACTCCCCAGCAGAGGAACTTTATGGCATCTTCACAACTAAGGAAGTAAGTGACACTTTCAGCAGTTAATAGAACTTCAATTAACTGTACAAGAAAGGAGGATGTTGCTATATCAGAATAAATGTTTGAGTGAAAAATGGTAGTATTGCAGTGTCAGGCATTGCAGGTATTTCCTGATTGCATCAGATGTAGTGAGAGACAAGATCAATCAAAAATTGAAGTATTGTGAGTAGTGTGTGTATATATATATATATATTTCTTATTATTCTATTTCTTATATGTTACTTCTTATATATATAAGAAGTCTTATTTTCTATCCTTATATATTATTCTATTTCTTTTATATGTATATATATCTTTTTTTAGAACAGTGAGGAATTTTACTGGTGAAAAAGCAAAAGCATTTGACAGCTCTTGAGCTAGTTTTTCAGTTTGGTCTCCTAGTAATAAGTAAAGGGTAGGAATCCAACCTACTTTGACAAGTTGTCAGCTTGTTGAGATACTGATCTGAAAGTCTCTAATGGGGTGGTAGGTYCATTCCACTTGTTTAACCAGAGGTTATTAGAGTGGCTTTGGTTTTTCTGTTACCTCAATAGGACAAAAAGTTGATGCCTCAAAGTGAGGGCACATCTTTGTGTGTGTGCAGCCGAGGCACACGCTCCTTTACTGGCTTCTTTATTATAAGTACTTGTAAGTCAGGAGCTTGAAATCCTCAGGTCGCTATTGAATTTGGTTAACTGTTGGCTGCAGCGCTGGTGTTGCCTACAGTGCACAGTGTATAAAATGACTACTTCTAAATGTGCATCCAAAAGAACCTGGGCTTAGGTGAGAGAACTTATAGTCATAACAAACCCCAGCCTTCTGACAGAGAGAAATAAAGATCCTCAGCAGCTCTTCTGCCTCTTACGTTTTTGCTGCTGTGTCTCCCTGATTCATAAAACTAGTACCAGCCAGTCACTTCTGCATGTTACCTGCTGTGCTCGAGTCTTTACTGGTCTTTATATTTACCGCAGGTTTGTCAGCATTTATATTGTCATTCTGTCACCTTATTGCAGCCTAGTGGTACTGACAAGATAGTAGTAGAGTGCTGGGTAAAGTTAAAAGCTCGATCTGTGTTTAAGGAATCAAGTGTGACATTAGATGGAAGCGCTGCCTGAAATTATCATTCTAACACTACTTCAACAAACCGCCTCTGTTTCATGATACAGTGGATTATGTATCAGCATAAATTGGTGTTTAACTGATTTTTTTTTTTTTTTGTGCTGTGTTGTTGTTTCCCTAGTTGGTTCAGAAGTTTTCTAAATGTCCTGCTGTGATTGAAGCTGAAAAAGGAGGGAAACTTCAGATGTTTGAYGGTTGTGTTAGTGGTGAATATGCAGAACTGGTAAGTTGGGCTTTGCAGTAACGCCTGGTGCTGCTCTGCAGCTGCTGTTGTGCCAGTGACGGTCGGGTCTGAGCCCCGGGCAGTGACGCGCTCGCCTGCGCCCAGGCGCTGCCGACGCTTCTCACAGCCACGGGCGCTGGGCTGCGGATTTACATCTTCAACCAGCAGCAGCACCCAGCAAGGCCAGTGGGGAGGGGTGTAAGGCGTGACAGAGGATTTTGGGCGCACTGATGCCATGTTGAGGCAAGCTGGAGCAGTGAAAGCACTGCTGCTCTTGCCTCGTCCAAATCASTGTTTTGTTTAGCATGTACAATGGAGCAAGCTCGGGGCTGGATGAAAATAGTTGATTAAGAACATCTATATTGTTTCAATGGGTACTGAAAGTGCCTAYTTTGATTAAAAAAAAAAAAWCATTTTTCAAAGGGGGAATTGGCTGTCAGTAGTCATGTGAGCTCCTCACAAGTAGAGGAACATGCTAATAGAGAGGAATAACCTTCTCTCTTACAGGTTCCAAGCCAAAGAATTGTCTTGAAATGGCGATGTAGAAACTGGCCYGATGGTGAGTCTGTTTGGGGAACCTTTAATAGAGGCTGCACTTCAAACAGAGAAGGGACAAATACGACAGCTGATAGACCCAGTGGGGTGCTGCCTCAGCCTACAGAGGACTGGGACGGTGGGCTACTGTGCACAGTAGCTTATAAAAGTTGTCACCTGTGAAGCAGGTTTCACCCAGGTGCAGGGAAAGGGAGTATGAAATTAGCTACAACAAATGTAGTCCTTTTAACAACCACTTTATTACTGTTGCCTTTTCCTCCTTCAGCACATTATGCGACAGTCGCCTTGAATTTCAAGGCTGTGGCAGCTCAGACGGAACTGCAGCTGGAGTGCAAAGGAGTTCCCGTCTCCAACGAGGACAGTACAAGGCAGTGCTGGAAGAAGCAGTATTTTGAAGAAATACACACTTTACTGCAACAACCCAGAGACAGTACTGAATGATAACTGCACTGTCATTTTGTTAGGGCATTACTTTTTATAAAATGTTAACATTTGTTTTTTAAAGAAATAATTTATTTGTGGGGAAAAATAAAGACCCACTTCTATGATACTGTATATAATTTAAGCATTATTTATGGATTTTTTTTTTTTTAGTGAATAAGATGGCCTGTAAGTCAGATTTTGTTCTGCTTGCCTACAGCTTAACTTCGGAGAGTAATGATGAGGCAGCTGCCATGTTACCACCCTAGGCAGCGAAGCTCCGTGAATCATTAGGAATCGCTTGCAGTTCGGTACCGGTCATTTTAGCAGGTGGCAGAACTGCCCCTCTGGGAAACGGGCTGCTTGCCACTGAAAGCAGGATAAAATATCTGATAAATTGTAACTTCTAAGATATGTGGTGGATACAGTTCACAGCATCTTCAAATATTTCCTGGGATTGTTTTAACTGCAGACTGAGTTTTTTTCCAACTTTATATCCAGGCTTTGGGGAAAGGTAACAGGAGTGTCACACGATCCTGGTTGGTATAAGGGTTATTGCTGCTAAGTCTGCATGCATTGTGCCCCCTTACGTGACCTCAGTGTGAGATTTACTTTGGGAGAAACAAACAGTAATAACGTTTTCCTTTCGGAATCCTGTAACCTTCCCCTTGAATCATTTATGGCCCTTTGCAATCACATGGCTCAAAKTAAATGAGTGTTAGATAATTTGACAGAAGAGCTGGGCTCCTAAAGCATCATTCCTCTTACTCGTGAGCACATTGAGGTTAGCAAGGATAACGTGAGCCTCAACTGCTTTGTAAGAAGTGTATGAATTAAATATGYATTTGGAACCAATAAAATGGACCAAGAAAGGGCAAAGCTGCCTTGGGAAAAGTTGGTTGCATCAATAAACTGATTTTACCTGCAGTGYGTTTTTCCACAATGGATTGTGCCAGTATAATTATATATATGTATGTGTGTGTGCGTGTGGAAATGCATGTGTGTATATCTGTACAGGGGTGTTTGTGTGTGTACAGGTTTGTGTAGGTGTGTGAGGGTGCATGCATATTGATCTATAGGTGTACATAAGGGTATAGGGGGTGTGTGTGTATATAGGTTGTGTGTGTATAAGAGTGCATTTATGTATATAGGTGCGTGTGAATATGTGTAGGGTGTGTGTACAGATGTATATGTATGTAGATGTAGACTGCGTATACATATCCTTATAKTGGCGTGTGTGTCTATGTATGCACGTGTATAGGGGTGTGGGTATAAATGTGCATATGTGTAACTTTACATGGCTATGTGTATCGCYGCRTATGGGTACAGATATGTGTGTGTGCATAAATGGGTGTGTATGCCTAGCAGTATAAGAGTATGTGTACATATAGAGATAAATGTGTGTCTGTGTGTGTCTATGTAGGGGTGTGTGTGAATGTATATCTGTGCAGGGAGGCGTGTGTGTGTATAACATATACACCTTGTGTAGTACTTTTGTGTACTGGGGGCTGTGTGTGTGTGTAGATGTGTGTGTGCACCTATGTATAGGAGGTGTGCATGTAAAGATGTGTGTGCTTATAGATGTGTGCACATCTTTATAGGGCTGTATATGTGTATGTATGTACAGGAATATGTGTTTAGATATGTGTGTGTATTGGTGTGTTTSTGTATCTATAGAGGGAGTTTCAGTGTGTTTTTATATTCGTATCAGTATGGGGGTGCATGTGTGTGCGTTTATGTGTATCTGTATGTGTGCGTATGCCTATCAGCATAGGGGTGTGTGTGTATAGATAAGTGTGTGTATAGATGTATATGTGTGTCTGTATAGGGGTGTGTGTGTATATGTTTATGTATAGCTGTATGTATACTCATGCATGTATAGGGTCTGTGTATAATATAGTGTATGCATGTATAGGTATGTGTGTAATAACTAAGCATATAAGCTACATCTATGCTTATATATATAGGGCTCTGTAGAGGTGTGTGCATACACGCACATATGTATAGGTGTGTACAGATGTGTGTGTATGCGTATCTTTATAGGTAKGTGTGGATGTATAAATGTGTGTATATGCATTATATATATATTTAGATGTGTGTGCATGTGCATATATGTTTAGAGGCATTTGTATAGCTATGTGTGTATAGATATACAGSTTGTATGTGAATATGTATAGGTGTGTGTAGATGTGTGCATGCACATATGTATAGGAGTGTGTGTATGCCTATATGTATGGAGGTGTGTGTATAGATAGATGTATGTATGTGATGCATATATGTATAAGTGTATATAAATGTGTGTGCACATGTGCATATAGGTTTAGAGGTGTTTGTATAGATGTGTGTATAAATATGCATGTTGTATCTATAGGTGAGTGTATAGATGCATGTATGCACATATGGATGGAATGTGTGTATAGGAATGTGTATAGAAATATGTATGGGTGTATGTGTATCTCTGGGGGTGTGTGTATAAATCTGCATATATGTATAGAAGTGTATGTGTATGCATATATGTATAGGGTATGTGTGTGCATATATGTTTAGAGGTGTTTGTATAGATATGTATGTATACATATACATGTATGCATATGTATAGATGTGTGTGTATATGTATGGGGGTGTATGTATAGGTGTGTGTATGCATGTATAGGGTGAGTGTGCATATATAGGGGTGAATGGATGTATAGGGGTGTTTGTATTTATAAAATGAGTGTGTATGCATATATGTATAGGGTGTATGTATAGGTGTGTGTATAGGTATAGGGGTGTATATAAATATGTGCATGCGCATATATTTTTAGAGGTGTCTATAGATATGTGTGGGTATAGATACGCATGTTACATATCTATATGTATAGGTGTGTGTATAGATGTATGTATGCACGTATCTATAGGCGGTGTATATAGGGGTGTGTGAATATGTATACATATCTACATAAATGTGTGCATGTGCATATATGTTAGAGATGTCTGTATAGATATGTGATATAGATTATGCATATTGTATGTCTATGTATGGGGTGTAAAAATGTGTATATGCACATATATATAKGGGTATGTGTATATGCATAGATGTATGTGTATGTACAGGGGTGCATTTGTATGAATAAATGGGTGTGTATGCATGTATGTATAGGTGTATGTATGAGCATGTGTGTGTATAAATGTGTGTGCATGTATATATGTCTAGAGGTGTATAGATACATATGTTGTATGTCTATATGGGTACATGGGTCTATATGGGTATGTGTAGGCACATATGCATAGAAGTGTGTGTGTAAAGATATGGGTGCATATGCATATACGTATAGGGAGTGTGTCTGCATGGGGTTGTGTGCCCAGCCACTACAGGGCTCTGTGTGCCCAGATATGTATGTAATGCATAATGTGCCTATGTGTGTGCATGTGCTTAGCTATGTGTGCGAGTGCCTCACGGTGTATGTGTATCTGTATAGAGGGGTTATGTGTGTACAGCTGTGCATTTATATGCATTGCAGAGCTGCACAGGGGTGCAGGGGTGTTTATGTGTGTGTGTGCGTGTGTGGCCAGATCTGTGTGTTTACGCGTGTCTGTATAGGGGTGTGTGAATATTCATAAATATTCAAACATTCCAAAAAAATGTCCTGTACACAACAGCATCTTAACCGGCCAACGGGCAGATTTTAAGCAAAGGCGCAAACGGAGCCTTGGCTAAAGCAGTGTTGTTCGTGCCCAGAGTAAGAGCTCCTGGGCCAGCGTGGCCAATGCTCTCAGCCAAACTGATGCCCCCACCAAAACCCACAAGTTCCTGCACACAGCACATCCTCCATCCTCAGCACGGGAAGGACGTCTCGTACCATGCACCCCTACCCGTTAAAATAAGGAAGTATTTTGGGGTGGAAGTGCCCATCAGGGGTACAGCCTGACCTGTGCCTACTTCCACCAGCAGAGCCGACTCTCTGGGCCAAGCCCCAGACTGTTTCAAAATAAAGACCCGACTTAGGTGCGGTCCCAGTGCCGCCCTCCCACATCCCGCGCCGTCCCTGGAGCCGGCTGCCGGAGGGGCCAAGCGGGGGCAGAGGGTCCAGGCCCCCCTCGTGCCCTCCTGGCGAAAGCCGTGCTGAGCTCCGCGGGACGGCTCCCAGTCAGTGTCCCTCTTCCTCCCGTGGGTCTGTAAGTTTGGTAAGAGGCACAAGTGACCTTGAATTGAAACCGGGAGGGCGGGGGGGTATCTGCCTTCCCACCCTGCTGGCCCCTCTGCTGTCTGCAGAGGTGACCAAGGGATTCCGCTTTCCCGACCACAGAGCCCCACATTGACTGCACTTGGCTCCGTCCTCACCTTTGGAAAAGAAGGGTCTCTTCCTGTTTGCTTCACCATTCCCGGGCTCTTCCCAGCTCCTCGTATGTGCTGGAGCTCAGCTGACACGTACATCCTGTTGCTGACCTGAAATGCTGATTTCTGGAGAGTTTTGTTACAATGTAGGAAAAAAACAAGTTCCTTTTGACTTGTAGCAGGGAGTCTCCGGAAGGATTCCTAGCTCGGGCAGCCAGCCAGCGCAAACCAAGTACAGCTGCAATCCTAGAGAGGCAGAACAATTTATTCTTTAGTATTAAAATTTCTCATAGCTCAACAATTTGGAAAATGTTAAATTGGATCTGGATGGAGCAAGGGTTGGGATTCAGCTCATTCAGCAACCATGGAAAAGGAAGAAAGGGGCTACCCATGTGTCACTTACAGAATAATTACTAGGAACAATGTGCTTATATTTGGCTTCACCACTTAAGGGGACTTCAAAGTACCAGGAAAAGGACTCACCACAGAGTCACAGAATGGTTAAGATTGGAAGGGACCTCTAGAGATCACCTAGTCCAGCCCCCTGCTCCAGCAGGGACACCCAGAGCACGGGCACAGGGCGGCATCCAGGTGGGTTTGAAGACCTCCGGAGAAGGAGACTCCACAGCCTCCCTGGGCAGCCTGTGCCAGGGCTCTGTCACCCTCACAGGAAAGAAGTTCTTCCTCATGTGGAGTTGGAACTTCCTGTGCTTCAACTAGTACCCATTGCCCCTTGTCCAAGCCAGAAAACCCCTCTGTCTATTAGGAGCACTGTGTGTGACCTCCCCATGTCAGCAGGTACCTCCACAAGGAAATGGAGCCCAGCAAACTGCAGTAATGGGAAGCTGAAGTCAGAGGGGGAACCAAAAATCAGGTGCACATTTTTAATGAGCACTTAATAACAGACACTACTTACCAAAGGGCTGCAACGGGGTCTTCATCACTTGAAGATTTCAGGCTGTGTTGGCAGAAGAGTCGATGGCCGAACTCTGTTGCTCCCTGTGCCGAAGGTCTGAGATGCTCTTGATCTTAAATCTGAAGTTAAACTCTATGGAGAGGCTGATTAGAAATACTAACAAAATGATGCCTAAAGAGAGTAAAAACAATCACTTAAAATGTGAACAATGATTCTGCTTTACATAAACAACACCATTATTGCAGTGGCAGCAAATGCAGGAAAAAGAAGGCTTGTTACATCGCTACAGAGGAACATACAGTGTGAGCTTTACGATACATTAATAATTACAGAAAGTAAAACTACTGAGAGAGGCAAAGAGCTGAAGTCACACAGGCCCCGTGCAACTGAGCCACAGGCTGCATGAGGGGTGCTGACCAGCGGGAAGGGATGGGAAGTGATGGGACAGCGGGAGGGAGGTGGGGGGAAAAGGCCAAGACAGATGCATTTCACGGGAAGCAGAAAATCCAATGAGATAAACCGGAGAAGGAAGGTGAAAGGGGAGCTTAATGAGAGGCTCCAACAAGCTGCATCGCTGCTCAGGTGACACAGGAAATGGCTCTGCCTCAGACCACATCCAGGGAAGCAGCGGGAGCGGGGCGGGATGGAAAGGAGAGGAGGARTGTGAGGGTGGAAGAACAGGCTGAAGCAGATCAGACCGAGGGAAGAACTGAAAGGRTCCCCTGGCTTCTTACACCACTTCACAGTTTTAACATTGGAACAAAGGTAAGCAGCCCCCGCGCCAACTATCTCACTGGAATGCCGTATTTACTATGCACAGTAAACCAGCAAAGACCAAATTTACAGGTATCAGATGCATTTGAAAGCCATTTCTCTCTGCACTTGTTTCATTTTTCAAGTTGCCTTTGAGGAAATCTACAGACTGAAGCAACATATATAAACCAGTGAAAAGTCATCACAATCAGTTTAATGAAGTGCACAGAATAGCAATTGATCATGTCAATAAAAATAAAACAATTAATTTTACATCAAGTGTGCTTTATTTCCTCCACAGGTATTCTGTTAAATAAAGCACCATATATATACTGCCAGGCCACAGCTAAAGAGGATTCTTTACAGAATCAAATTTCTTGTGGTTGTTTAGTATACAAGTAAACTTAATTTTGATAATAAGAACCACAGCGATCTGAGGCAATCTGCCTCTATTATAAGGTACAAAACTGGCACAGAGGACACCATATTATACACAGTAAAAATGCCATAAGTTTAAATTACATCATACAGGGCAAGGAGGCCCTGTTCTCCCGGACAGCCATATTAAATGAAAGCCACTACAGTGAACTCTTAATTACATAAAACATACCCATTATTTGATTGCCCTTTAAGAAAGTGTACGGTAGATGCAAAAAAAAAAAAAATAAAATAAAATAAAAATAAAAATCTGGAGTTCTGCCTGACCAAGAATTAAGCATATAAATCTATCTTGCCATTCAAGCAGAGAGCACTGGACAAACTGAAGCACAAAACAGAAATAAGCAAAACTTATACAAACAGCATTTTGGGGAGGAAAAAAAAAAAAAGACTTAAAAGCAGACATGCTCCATCTAATGTCAAGAAGCAGCTTGGTTTCCTTTTCCAGATATCCTTGTGACCACATGAATTGTAGACTCAATGGTCCTACACAGGATGTCTAAAATGTCATGCTGCTGCATGTGACTAAAAAGTCCTCTGGAATGGCCACAACTGATTGATAAACTAGTGTCGGGGTCCTGGGAGGGTAAGGCTTGACCATCACAGCTTCTCAAATCCGTGAGGTCAGATAAAACTGCGGAAATGGAAGTGGAAGGAAACTCAGCGTCCTCCTCCGCTACAAGGGAATTTTTCGAAGTCTGCAGGTCTTTATATTCCTTGCACTCCTCAAATTTCCCATTTCCCGGCTGCTCTTCTGTGTGTTGTGACCTCGTTGCTAACATTATGTCTTCTGAAAATGAAGATGGAACTTCCATTCTGTACTCTTTGACAGAACTGTTTTCGGGGGAAGGAGGATCTTGCTCAGTGCCAGGGTCAATGATTGAAGAGTCCCTTGTCTCGTTATCTGAAGTGCTTGTCGGGGTCAGCGCCTCCCGTGGCTCAGTTTTTATGTCACTGATGCAGCTGTCCACAGTGTGCTCCTCGTCACTGCTGACCCGCCTCCTCTTCACTGGAGTCGCTCCCTCATCGTCTGCAAGGGGAAAGAAGTGGAGATTCCCAGGTTAGGGAAGTGGCCTCGCCTCAGGCCGGGCACATAAGTAACAGCCCTGCYGTTTCACATTTTTATCCCTCAAAAACCTTTCCCATATTACAGGAACCAAATAACAACAACGTTTATCTCCTTAAGGACAATTCAGGTAATTGCTTAAAAGTTTATCTCCATAACAAAACAGTGTTTCTCGTGTAGTGCTTGAAACTGGAATGGGGAAAGTCTGCCATCAGCATTAACACAGGTAAAAGTCTGCAAAAAAGATTAGAACAACATCAAAATTATAAAGAGACAAACCTTTAGTTTTTCTTTCTTTGGCTTCTTGCTCTTGCAATGAGTTCCTCTGCTGCTGACAAGCTCTACATTTGTTTAAAAGCTCTTGTAGAGTTGGAATCAGGGCTGAATTGAGCTGTTTGGGAGTGTGCACTGAAAGCAGCAAGGCAAGTGCTCGGAGGTCCTGCAAAAACACCAGTAAAATCTCCATAATAGCTCAATTTAAAAGTCCCATAATATACAGACYTATGTAGTAAGAGGCAGCTCCAATTCGTTCTGAGCACTTCTGAACATCCAGAACACCAGATTCTAAATATATTTACACTACTGAAATTTCTCCCTCATGCTGACTGTCATGTAGATCCATCTGTGCTAAGCAGATGACAAGACTGTGTTGCTCGCTGTAAGGTGAAACCCTTTGCTCATCTAGAATATTTCAGTGTGTAATTCCAGTGAGTTTTGCATTGGTCTGACTTATTTATTTATCTCTATAATGTGCAGCCCCCATGTCCTATGAGCACCACTGCCAGCCTGGAGAATTCAGRAAGCTCAGACAGGTGCACTCTAAATTCTGGTCACCTCCTCAGCAGAGGTCCAACCTTCTACCAGGCAGTGGGTGTCTCATGCTCTGGCCTCAAGAGCTCTGCTTATGTGCCAAGTTCAGCTCAAACACCCACACCTTTAATGAGAACCTGGCACGGGCCATCCAAGTGCTTCCACAGAAAATGAGCTGCCTCCTAAAAGTTTCTCCTACTCGAATGGCTTAGCAAATACTCACCCCATTTAAAGTGGAGCTTGCTTTGGAAATTTCAACTCTCTGGTTGCTGAAGTCAGACTCGAGGCTTTGATATTGATTTATTAGATTTGTAATTAGAGTATTGATTAGGTTGGCACAGTTTGCTTCAGAAAACACCTGCCCTTGGACCTATAAAGAGAAGACTAACTTTAAAAACACAAAAAACGTATTATGAAAGCATTACACTAAATTAAACAAGTAGGTATGGCTGCATTTCTTGGAGTATGACCTGTAACTAGAACACCACTTACCTTTAGAAGAAAATGGGTCAAGAAGGTATATACAATATTGTTGTTAAGAAAGGTCCGTTCATCCATGAGGATACATTTTATGTATTCTGCAAAAACTGGATCTTCACAGAGGAGCTTAACACAGTTCTTTGACATCGCAGACTGGTGAAGAAAGAGAGAACACTGTAAAATCACCACTGGAAGTATGACACAAATCTGGCTTGGTTGCCCAAAATCTAGCCAGTGATGTTTTCCTGGAAAATTCTTATCTGATTGTCCTGAAATACTTTAATCAGTATTCGTAAACTGCAAAAATTAATTACTGCCAATTATTATCTCACATTTTTGGCTTATAAAGTCAATTCCTTGGGAATGCAAGTTCACCACTGTCAGCGTGCACTTAGGAGGGTCACTCCCTCCTAAGCTGTGGCCCAACTCGCAATGGCTACACTACGAYCTGAAGCACAAGGAAGCTGCAAGATTGGAGATCTCTCATTTTTCATTTCTGTCTCATTCAGTGTGCTTCCATTATATAAAAAGACAGAAACTCAGGGAGGTAGAAAGAAGTAAATTCTGTACATTGCACAGATCTCTGTCTCCTATATTATGAGATCTGTAAAGTTGCTGGATAAGAGTTCACAGACCTACAGACTCCTGTGACCAAATTTAATTTGCCAAATGCTTATACTTGATTTATCAGGTTTTATTAGATGGCCTGCTACCCAAAAAGAGGTATTGTTTACCTGATACGTTAATATTTGTAATCAGTAAATAACATCCACCAGTTAAGTTTTACTTGTTAAGAGTTGTTGTACAGGCAGCCGTATTTGCTTGYATTTCCACACAATTAGTTCTCAAACCCATGGAATTAAATCTTACCTGAGTCTGGCACAGCTCAGTCCAAAGTTTGGGRAATAATGCGAGATGAAGTGGTAAACCTTCATATGCAACTAGGACACCTGGAAATTTATGAGAATATAAAAGTTATTACGCAAGAATGTTCTAAACTGATCTTTGCAGGATATGTTCATGTGATGATTTGTATCATTTCAAAGCACTGTTTCATCTTAATCACATTCAAATGATTCAAAAAAAAAAAAAAAAAAGGGTCAGAGATACCTACGGTCTGTGAAGTTTCTACAGCACAGCTTTACAGTACAATTATAAATATATCCCATGAGCATGGTTGTGAAAAATATAAAAACTAAATGAAGCGTTAGCTTTAGTCTGGATTGGTAACCACATCCATTACTGTTTTCTTATATTTTTAAGAGGCCAACTATAGCACTTAACGGTTTTAAATATCTCAAAGTTTTAAATACAGCTTTAAAAACAGCATATAATTTTTAAATGCTAATCATTATCTTCCAAGCATCACTGTTACCGAGATACTGGAACAGTTAGGGATACACTAACAAGCGACACACATCCCCAATACACTGTTTTTAACCAAAGAAACCTGTAGTACATATTAATAATGTCAGAGGTAAAACCAGAAGGAATACAAATACTGAACAGAAGGGTAACGAAAAGAACATCTACACTATTATAAATAGAGTTTTCTAGGATATAAATAATATTGTATATCTTTAACTATCTRAAAGTTTGACATCTAACCAAAGCAAACTATCTAGGTTGTACAGGTAGTGAAAGCAGACACTTTTAGAAAGTATCTTAAGAGAAAAATTTCCATCTGAAGGAAACTGCATCTGTCCATTCACTGTGTCAGGAGCCTGGCTAGAAGTCGAAGTTCTAGGCAATGGAAGGCAGGTGAGGGGTTCAATCATGCCTGTATTTGGGGTAACTGTAATTGCATGACTTTGATGTTGCTCTACTACAGAGAACCAAGCAAAAAGGCTGGGGTACTTGTTCAGTCACAGACATCGATGCCTTGTTCACACACCAAAAGGATTTACACTGTATGTTGTAGCTCTACGAACTGTACACCGTAAGCACCAAGGCCTGGTGCTACCTACTTGCAGGGCTGAAATCACATCTGTATCTTCAAGTACAAACTATATTCATTGAATGGTAATAAACTTAGTAATCGTGGTGGCTCCCAAAGCAACAGAGTAAATTAAACCCAGCTTAATAACAATATAATGGGTTTTAGTGGCTGTATAGTCCTACCTGCCCTCCTGGGAAAGAAAAAAAAGGAAAAAATTCTAAGAGTTGTCAGAAATGACGTTAATTGCAGAGATACTAAGGCTTCAGGATCTGACCAAATCTCAGGGGTAGCCTCAGATCCCTTCTGGACAAGACTGAGGCATGACAATCATGTAGGTAAGACTGCACTAATATTATACTTGATGCACTGCTTTGTGGATACAAGAATCAAACCTTCATTTCTAAAACTCTCGTGGTAGCAAGTATTTACTCTTACTTAAAAATATTAACTTTTACTTAAAAATGCTTGCTTTACTTTTACTTAAAAATATTAATTATAAGGTTTATTGGAGAAGCACAATTACCACAGGAAAAAAAAAAAAAAACCAGAAAACCCAATAAAAAAAAAAAACCTTAGGTTGTGCAACTCTCATACTTACTCATTTTAACTAAAGTTTCAGTGAACTTTTCACAGTTGATTGCAACTCGACATAGTAGATGGATGAACTGATGATAAGAGAAGAAATAGTCTAGCAGCATACGATCATAAACATCATCTTTGCCCTGAAGATTTAAGAGAGCTTCATTTAAACTACATAAGCGACTGGACATGTACCTGATTTCCTAAGCATTTAGCTTAATCTCATCACACTTTTTGCCCTAGAACGTTTAATCAAACGTTACAGGAAAACACTATGGGAATTTCCAAGTCTAGGCCAAGGCCAGCTGTGTCTCATCAGCTGATGACAGTTCTTGGCAAGTGTAACACTGAGACAAGGCAGCAAAGGCAAATTCAATTGCCCTCTACCAGTAAAAATTCTTTACTGAAGGACTCTAATGAAGGCACAAAGCTGCATGAAAACCACATCTTGGAAGATGATCAGACAGGAAGGCAATAATTCTAAATCATAAACAGGTATCTTAATATACATTACTGCTTTTTAGACCATAATTTGTCRGTTACTATCTGCCTTCAGAAGTCACAGTTTTCTTAAAACCTTGCTTCAGAGGCTTTCAAAGCAGTATTTTCAGGAACACCTCACACCAAATCAYAAATTTAGGCCAAGGGATTTTTATGTAAACATTATAAACTATTGGGATGTACATGTTCAAAATGGCATCAGATTGTGTAGACCATATAGCCAGAGAGAAATTCAAGCGAACAAATACAATCTCAACAGAACAAATGAATGAAAAATGAGCATGCAAAAACACAGGTACACATAACTGTGGATGTGCTTTTGAAGGCGTAAAGATCTGCTAGTTCCTAACATACATTCCTTGCATTATAAAATGCAAGATCCTGTGTCATTTAATATAATTACCTTTCAGTTCAAATATTTACATTGTTTTTTGCCACATCCATTTTGCCTGGATACATGATGGAAAAACCACTATAGATAATTTCTCGTTCTATACTTTTATTTTTAGGGGAAAAAAGCTTGGTTATACAGTAAATTTGATGGCACACAAATATACAAAGCATCATTTGAAAGCTTTAAAAAAGAGTGGTTACTTACCCTACAGTAACCGTGCTTCTTCGAAATGTGTTGCCCACACAGATTCCCATCTACGTGCACATAGGCCCCATGTGCAGGAGATTGGATTCTTTCTGAATAGCAGTGTCCACTGGGGCTGTGCCTGCACCCAGTGTGTCCTTGCGACCACTGTACCTGAGGGCATAAGGGGTATGGCGGCTTCAACCACCACTCAATTCCTTCCCCGATAAGTCCCCTACGCCAGGGCTCCTCTGACTTAGCACAGGAGGAGGACCACAGAATCTGTGTGGACAAAACATCTTGAAGAACCACAGTTACTGTAAAGCAAGTAACCCGTTTCTCTTCTTCAAATGATTGTCCATACATATTCACTTCAGGGTGGGATTCACCTTGCGTGACTTTGGTTATCTAAAGTCCAGTCACTTCGGAATTCCCTGCAGTCAGTGGAAAGAGAGACACAGACTCCTCCAGAGGAGGAAACAGCTTCTCCAGATTCAGCCCTCTGAGACAGGAAGGATGCATCTCCTTCTGCGGGCAGTAACCATTTCTCTCTATCAAACACAGTAAGAGCTGGACACTGACCTTTTAGATAGGCAAAGTTATGTGAGTTGAATCCCACCTTAGATAACTAAAAAGCCATTGCTGCAACTGTAGTAATGGGACATGGCAAGTGACTACAAAGTAGCCCCACCAAAGCTGGCGTCCCATCAGGAAGCCCACAGAAGGGAAAATAGAAAGTAAAAGACTTATAGCCCTATACAGTAGCCCTGCATGTTTCTGGTATCAGTATTTTACCCCAACAAAGAGAGATTCTGCTTCAGTCCTAGCAGAATGGACTCGAGCAAAACCTGAAGGCTCTATTCAGCTGTCTGATAATAAATCTGAACATATAGTTTGAAACTCATTTGGACAGTCTCCGGGTTGTTCCTGAATCTTCTTTATAAAAGCCATAAACAGACTGGGAGATTATCAAAATGATTTTTTTCTTTCTCTAAATACAAGGTTTAAACTCTCATTACAGCTAGAATATGAAGCTGGCAGGGAAGGGCAGGGAAATGGTGCTTCTGGAGTGCACATCTAGAATGGAGTATATGAGGACAACACATCTTGAAGAAGAATTATGCTTTGTTAATGAAAAACAAGTAAAAACATTACGCTGCTGGATTTTTAAAATACTTTTAAAAAGAGGGAAAAACAGCAGATAAATAGCTATTCATATGATAATATATTTACATACCTTGCTGGCTTCCACCATGGTAGGCAAGAGGCACATATTGAGCTCAGGACGAGGAGGACGAATATTACTTTTTCCTCCTATTAATTTCAAATTTTCACGACATGGAAAATAAGGTCCAAGAGACACTGTAGCATAAGTTAGGATAAGACAGAGATATATTAAAAAGGTCAATATTTGAAATCAGCAGGACACATGACGGATTAATAAGAGTGTAATATAACTTCAAAATACAATCACTGAAAATACCTACTTGGGATATTACTGTGGTGGTATGTACAATGGTTGTGCTGTAGAAATGGAACCAGAGTATGTAGGAAATCATGAGGACTTAAAAGTACAAGCTCCTTGAGGACATCTACAAAGAAAAAGTTGGTTTTGCTATTACACATTGTTATTTCTTAGCAGCAAGCAGCTTAATTTAGGATTCATGCACTTTCAACGTCAGTTTTGCTCGTGTGCATCATGGCAGTAGGTAGGCTTCACCGTGAGTAACACATACAGTGACTACAGCTAAATCAGTCAAGATTCCCCTCACCACYTCCACTAGAAGAAATTCTGCTCAGTGTTATATCAACAACCAGTAAGAGTGGTGTCAGATTATAGAAAGTAAAAGCTCAGCAAAATTACCCTTTCCTTCTTCTTTACTATATCAGGTTTGAGGCCTGGAAAATGTCAACCAGCAGCAGTCAGAACGGCAAAGAGAAAGGTACTCAAAATAAGGGAAAAATGCATACAAATCACAAAAAGATGCTTTAATGTGATTCATCAGCATGCATAAAAATGCAGATTCTACCCATTAAAAAAAAATTTAAAATCAAAGTAAGAAAAAGTTTTCAAACAGGTCTTCTAATGCAGAAAAGGCACTTTTCATCTTTTTGTCTATACCTGCTTTTTAGAAAGCAGATTCATTCACTTCTACAAGCTATTTAAGCTTTACTTTAATTATTATCTATTCCAGTGAATGGATCATAAAAATGGACACGAAGAGCTGTTACTCAGCGTAACTTGGCTGCCATGCATCCTTCTGAAAGGATGCATCCTTCTGAAAGGATGTTACTTTAGTTACTGTTTGGAATATGAGTGCAAAATTTGGGACTTGATTCTAAACCCACTAACTCTTGAATTCAAGAGTTGCTCTTTAGTCCTGCAACCTGTTAAATAAGTTTGGTAGCAAACTGGCCTCTCAAAATGAATGGCAGCTTTTTGTGCACACGATCTGCATGCCTAGCAAAGTAAAAATATTAATTTTATTCTGATGAAAATAAAATCAGTTAGAGAAGCAGCTTTGTTGATAATATTAATAAGCAATCCTAGTCCATGTAGCATCTAATGAACTTTTACAATTGCAAAACCTGAATTTAAACAGAGGTAACTACACAGAGCTGGTCCTTGCTGACTTATACCATTATATACCATTCCATGACAGTTATACCATTCAGACTTACCAATACAAGCATTTCTGAGTTCTGGAGGACTATATGAATTTAATAGAGTTAAGAGTTTATGGGCAAACTCAATTCGCTCTTGCCATTGAATCAGAGCTTGCTTCACATCTGCAAATGTAAAAAAAAAATAAAATAAAATAAAAAAGGTTATCTTTCTCAACAGCTCTTGAAATATAGCAGAAARTTTTACTGCTGAACTCTTCAAAAACCTCTGTGCTTTCTTCCTCTAACATGATTTTAATGCATTTAGAAATTTATGACATGTCATTGGTCTACTGCTAGCAAATTTACTCATCCAGCCAATTAYGTCAATAAGCATTTGATAAGTTCATTATGTCAATAAGTTCATTATGTCAAAATGTAATTTAATAATAAACTTAATTTAATAATCTCATCTCTGTTACTGTGTGGAAATTACGCCAGTTAATAAAACCAGATAAAAAGCRAGATAAAATAGAATTTTGCATCTTGAAATCTTAATTACCAAACAAGAGATTAAATCCTTTAAAGAGTTATTATCAAACCTTTTCTCTGAAGATATGGACGGGTTGACTTTAGAACTGAAAGGAATATAGACAGAAGCTCTACCAGATCTCCAGTCACATGGCAGGCTGTGGCCTCATGGTACATCATGTGCAACGTGTTAAAGGACTAAGAAAACAGAAAGCACAGACAAGTTTACATACTCATCATCGTTTCTAACTCTATCCTGAAGACACTGCTCTTACATTTATTTTATGCTCAAAAAGAGATACATCAAAATGTACTGTGATAGATAAAAAATTAGTCAAATGTGCCAACATTTGGGAAGAGTGTAATTATATTAACACAATTAGAATATTTACTAGGAAGGAAGGAGAGACAGAAAACATCCATGAACAGACAATTTACATCACCTAATACAATTCTTGATCTGCCCGTATAGTTTTATAGGCAGGTTATTATGGCAATAATGAGAAGTAGTCTTGTCCTTAAGTTTAACTGAAACTTGCTTTTGGTCATAATGCTCATCTTTGTCTTTCTTGTCTAACTCAAAAACTAGAGTGATATCAAATTTTTCATATGCAAGTGCCAGAGGGAAACTGAATTTGTAAAACTTAGTGTAATAACAGCCCCTACACAAGTAGCCACCTACTGCTACTCAAGAAAGCAGCATCTTGTGAACACATCCAACACAGCTTACAAAGAAATACATTAAAAAACACCCTGAACTTTACTTCAAGATAAACAATTTAAACATTAGTGGGACACTCTGGCTGATTACCAATCACACAATTACCAAATTCTCATATATAACAGTTAACTAAAACTAATAAACAAAGCATAACTGGAGATACATTTTTTTTCTCTAATCTCAATCTTCTTGYGGAGATACAAAGTGATATTAGATAAGCATAAAGGAAGACTCATATATGAATCTTTTAGAAAAAAGGAAGATTAATATAGATGCTAGTCATGTTTCAAAATGCTACTAAGGGACATAATAATATAYGATTCTGGGTCAGATAAACTGTTTTTCCATTTTTAACTTAAATATCTTCTGAAGTATTCACAAAAATACTTTCAGTGAGCAAGTATAAACTAAGGCCTGGTAGCATCAAGTTGTAAAGTCATTTGGCTAGGAGCTGAACAAAAGCTTTACCTAATTTCTAGCAAAGTTTTACCTGATGATGAACTGCACATTCTGTTAGACATTCTATCTAATCTTAAATATCAACGATCAGTATGGATTAAACTTAACAACTTAAGTTGTTAAGCAAAAATTCTTTGTGCAGATACACATTTCTATTGTAGTCTACTTCTGATTTTCATATGTTAATAAAGTTACAGTTTGGTTCTTGAATTTTTAGCTCAAATTCATTGAAATTAAGCATTAAAAACACAAGGAAGAACAGGTGGGACAGGAAGACAGGAATTCTGGAGTAACTAGTTACTAGTCGCTAATTTGTAACAAGCTTGTGAAACATGAATTTTCAAATATTACTGCATTGTCTTCTTTTTTATTCTATTTGATTTTCTAACTCCAACTTTCTCTATTAGACTTAGTCGTAGAAAACACAAAGCCAGATATGAAAAASCTTTTTTTTAATAAGTCATATAAAAATAGACCTAGAATGAGCCTCAAAGAATCATCTAATCCATGCATATGCCTTAAAGCAGACTAAATATATTTATATTCTTGACAGATGTTTGCTCAAACTACTCTTGAAGACTTCCAGTTGTTTCAATTTACATCTTCTAAAGCCATCTCTTCTAACTGTATAGTTCCATCTACTGTCTATATGCTTGTTTTGTAGCATGGATTTATATCAGTTTATAGTCATCTCTAATTACACTGTTTTGCATATTCCAAGAATGAATTTCATCTTGTTTTTACCCTTACTTTATTCCTTTGTCTTTTATTCTTGTTCTCACACACACCTGAACATCTCCCAGTGTGTGCTGCTTAGTGACACTTTCTTTCCATTAGTAAACTCAATAATGGAAGTACTGAATAGAATCCAACAATTTCATCCATCTTAAAAGGTAAGCACTATATCTGCCCTTTTTCTTTTTTTTTTTTTTTTCCTTTGTATCTCTCTTGTCTTCAAAAAGTTTCCACTAACAGTTCAGAGTTTTTCAACAATGTGCAGTAGGTTTTTCCTATGTTAGTCAACAGCACAGAGAGATACTAGTGGATCTGCAGCAGAAAACAGTTATGTGCTGAGCTTGGCATTCAAACCACATATTCAGGGCTACATTATTTTTTCTTTTCTTTCTCTCTATTTTGGATTAACTGGTTTGACTGCATGCGCCAAATGTCCATTTACACTATGTGTGCTTCTGGAATAAACTTTTTGGTTCAGTTTCATCTGAAAAGGATATAGTTTAGACTACTCTTTCTTCCTTCTGGTGAACAAMAGTAAAGTTGGCAGGGAGAGATGCCTTCAAAGTACACATGAACTGACACCCTATGTGTTCAAATATGATAAGCACGGTAGACATCCAAATATCCTTTATGTTGCTATTTCTGTATTTTCACCTGTAACGTTAGCCCATTTTAACTAGTAATAACTCTGAATGTGCTCAGTTGTTCACTCACAGTTGATCAATGTGCTAAGATGGCAAAAGAGCATAAATTCATTCCTATCAACATAACTGCTTGGTGCTTCCCCTCTGTGTTGCGAAGCAGACCAACACACTGAGAAGCCCTCGAGAAACCTCATTAAAGAGGCAAAGCCGGGGAAGCAGCCTTGTAATGAAAGCAAACGATGCTTTCTTACTGCTTGTGACATCTCTGGAGAGTTGCATCTCTTCCTGCTTAGCTCTTTCCACTTCTATCCCTCAGTTTTTCTTTTCTACTTTTATATTTAGGCTTTAAAATCTTTCCATTTTATACATTCTTTCTTCTTGCACTTCATGCCAATATTACACCACCTACCCCTTTTTTGCTCTTGAAAAGTGGAGAGATTTTTTCCCTCTCCTTTAATTATCTGTACTTTTTTTTTTTTTTTTTTTTTTGCTCTCCCTGACATCTTGGCAACTAATTCTCTAAATATGCTGAGGTATTCTGATTTCCCTCCTCCCATTCTTAAGAATCACGGGCTCTCATTTCCTGTTCATGCTCATCCAAACTGCCTCTGCCACCTTCACTTTCTCAGTTGGTGCCTACAGAATCCATTACAACTCCCCAGACACCTTCCCTACTTTCTGCATCAAGCAACTGTCATCAATACACCCAAAAACTAATGAACAAATTTTACTGTGTAGTGTGCCTTTCCCAAAGGAACCTGTAGGTGTTACAATTTCATATTATTCCCAAGTCATAAAAGGCCTCCTGGTTTAGTGATCCATAGTAGACGATATCTCAAGAAGCCCCATGACCTTCTGCCCTTTCTTAAGAATTTATAAACTTGCAATAGACCTAATTTTTTCTCCATAATAGACCTCAGAGCAAACATAGCTACCCTTGCTATATCAAGGGACAACATAGCACCTTTTCTCTTCTTGCTCATCCTTCCTATTTAAGCTACATCCTTTTACAGTTATTCTAGCAAGTCACCGTTACCAATTAAACCACTGTCTTTATTTGCTATTAAGATTGTTTTTGCCTCAAATTTACTCATTACATTTCCTACATTAATGGTTAGAAATGTAAGAAGTTTGGCAATCTTTTTGCCTTCCTATGATCCTTAAGACATTTTGTATTATATTTTCTACAACTTCATTTTAAATATCTCATGAAAACATCCTAAAACTAAGATTTATTTTAAGGAAGAAAGTGAGGAGTTGATAAAGCAAGATGCTCATTTAAATTACAAAGCAAAATATTTACCTCAGTCATCAGAATCAATCCTCTATTAAACACAACAAGAAGTCTGTCTTCATCCGATTCTAATAATATTCTGAAGGCACTAGGAAAAAAAAATCCAAATATTTAGTACTAAAAGTTACTTATTACCTTTCATGTATCATACATACATTGCATTTTTGAAAATAATCACAGAAGATGACAAAATAAAATGTAATTGTTGTTTGCTTTTCTTGCTTTTTTTATTTAAAAATGCCTCTGATGTCAGTATCCTTTCTAAATAGCCTGTTATATAAGGTAATTTATACATAGACTCTAGTTAAGCATTATCCAAATAACACTGAAACCTGAGGAAAACAATGTACTTCAAAAGACAGAAGTCCCTGCTTCTCAAATAATSCATTTAAATAGAAGGTTCAGTGAAGCATATGCTTGGACTTATAAATGCATAAAAATATTTACATGAGAATATTTCATACACTATAGCAGAAAATAAAAGGATTAGCTAATAGCCAATTAATCATTCAGCTCAAGAGAGCAATTCCTTCAGCACAATGGAGAAAATCAGGCTGCACTCTAGGATAGATAACCAGGTATAGCCCCTGAGAGGGGCATTTCTCCTTTTCATAAGAGCATTTTAGTCCATCAAAAGCAGCATTTAAACCTCTAATGCCTGGCCTATGCACACAGGCTATTTGCAGTTAGACACAGAATGAAGTACAAACAGAAATAGAATTAGAAGTAAATTAAGAGTAAAATAAATAGATCACCTGTGATAGACATACAACTAAGATATACTCAAAAATACTGAAGATATGATACTGAAAACTCTAMCTGGTGTAATTTCTAAATAAAATTTCTGGTCAAGAATGAATGTCAACAACAGCAGATGAGATTGCTGGTTTGCCAAGCTAGACAAATCATGGTAAGCAGGGGTTGGAGAAGATAATTTTGACTTAAATGCTGAATTTGCAAGTTTGATTGATTTTAGCTTATGTCAGGGGCTCTACTAATACTATTTTGTCACATTTTTTTCGAGTACTAACAAATACAACAAAATACAAGTTGCAAAAAAATCTTGTTTTACAGTTGTTTGTTGTATAATATTTGCTTAGTTATATTACTTTTCAGATGATAAAACCTTCTAAAATAATTTTCACAAAAAATAGACTTTGAAAAAAAAGTTATAATTTTATTGTTCTGTTTATTTCCAAGTAAAAACATCCTCATAATTTTTTCAAAGAGTTTCAAATGAAAAACAATACTGTTTTATGGTAATTAACATTCCAAAAATAGGATTCAAACAGGATTAGATTAGTATGTTACAACCTTTCCAGTAACATACCTTATTAAAGTAGTCCAACAAGACCGTCCATCCAAGCAACGCAAGTAACAGCTTATGGTAGTTTTCTTAAACTGCTTTATATCTTCTGTCTCTTCCTCTCTCATGTCTGGTCTCTGAGCTACAAATAGCTGCATGAGGTTAAACAGTTCTTCTACTGCCTGGAATACATAAAAAATATTAAGTTGGCATATTCTATCTGTATTTGTTATCTTTTCTATCTTCTGTATTAATTAATTCTGTATCTTTTGTATTAATTCCATCAAGCAATGCATCGAAGAAATATATCTAGGTAACTTTAGAGGTGAATATATTTTAAGTTTTGTTACAACATTATAAAATGTACATACAACATTTCAAACTGAAATAATTTAAATGATTCCTAAAAGCTTAAAAAAAAAAAAAAAAAAAAATCAAATGTAAAAGTTCTGGCTACTTCTTTTCCATCTACAATGTAGTTTACTTTAGCTTTTACTAATTCCTGTGTGGATTAGGTATAAATTACCTGATGACGCCCACAATATATCATATTTTTCTGAAGAAGCCATCAGCAGATTTAAAAATAATATTCTGAACTTGTACAGATACTTGAGATAGCCCTCTAGAACCTTAAAAGCATGCTTGGACACCCACTAGCACTAAGGTACTCTGTAAGCACCAACAATCACAGCTATGATTAAATATAAACAGAAGAATCTGGGACATCTTGCCCCAATTGATCAAAGTTCCTGGCTTTCCTACARGAATGTAGGTTTATTTTCTGCAGCATAGATATGCACATTTTCCGAGGATAATATTTATATTCTACACAACACAATCCAGAAAGCTGCTTGCACTACAACTTGGTGAAATTCTATATGCATGGAAGACTAAACACAGTGGAGTAAGCAGTGCTGCCTGGGATACGGAGATTTCAGAGGGGAGATGCAAACAAGGAAAGCAGCAGCACCATTTCCAGACAGCCAGAACATCAAGCCTAGTTTAATGAGCTAAACTAGACAGAAGTTTAACCCAGAAGATCCCATACATCCTCCTAGTCTACCTAGGGAAAAAATCTCTATATTCTTTCTGTTCTTGCACACGCATAAGGGACCTGAGAACTTGGTTCCCTCAGTAATCACAYAAAACTGCATATTTGGCCTCACAAAAATTTTGTAACCTAGTTTGCTCAGCCTTACACACAGAATATTTTAACTAGTACCTATTTTTCTATGGCAAGTGTCATAGCACCGTAGACRCAGTAGAACTCCCAGGGCCTTGCAAAAGATACAAAAGTGTTCCCAAACTGAACAACAGGCCATGTCCTGTTCAAAAAACTGAAAGCAAAGAGGAAACCAACTGGGAATTCCTGCGAGACTGTCTGTTAGAATGCTATGCACTTTCTGGAGACCACCACTAAGGGCTCCTTTGCTGGTCCTCTTATATTGGTGGAGGGAGGGAGGGAGGAAGGGAGGGCGAGAGAGAGAGAGAGAGAGAGAGAGAGAGAGAGAGAGAGAGAGCGCGCGCGCAGAAACATCAACATATCCATCCCCAAAAAGTAATGGCCACACAAAAAGAGAAAAAAAATCGTAATATTCTCCCCTAAAGAACAGCAACTGCATCTATAAACACTCTAATCACTTATACATGAAATAAAAAATCACATTTATATCACTGGATATATTAAACAAAWCTTTTCATCCCTCATTAAAGATGGAAGTTCAGTAAGGGAGGAAATATGAAAAAATGAAACCTCATTCTTCAGCATCAATCTACTTACTCCTGGGTACTGGCTGGCGTGCGGCGTGAGATTCTTGAAGGCCCACTGGATATTCTGGTGAGAAGCCAACTGCCTGGTGAACGCAGGGGACTGCTCACAGCAGAGGCGCAGGATGCCATAGTAGGCAGGGAGCATCCCACGGTTGAAGAGCACCACATCCTGATCATCATGGTCTGCAAGGATGTAATTGAAGGCAATGTTCTTTGTCACCACTGGATTCTGTACAATAAGGCGTACGTTCTCGGGACAGTCTACACACACGTTGTACCAAAAAGACAGCAAAGCCTGTTTATTGTGGTTGGTGGCTATCGCCGGCTCAGAAAGCTTAGGCTGGAAAAGATTCCATAAGTCCATGAAGTAYGAGGAAAACATGAGTTTCTCAGTTTTTGAGATCAAACAGTATGTCATGAAACTGAAGTAGGGCACCAGTTTTGTAGTGCCATGAACAGCAGCATCAACATACAGCTTAGCTCTTGAAAGAAGGCCAAGAAGCACATTGTAGACTTGATGAAGCACTACTGTAGTATCTGGGCTGAGAGGCAGATCACGTGTGGGGATGTGCAAGGAGCGGGTGGATCGGAACATCTGACGGAACGAATTGCTTGGAATAAGTGACACCAAGAGATAGGCTGCAGCTTCAAACAAAAACAAATTTGTTATACCATTGAAAGGGCACACATGCTTAACAGCCATTTAAACAGAAGTTAAATTATATTGCATTTCCTTTAAAGACTTCAAAGCATTTTACAAAAGCTGGCAAGTATTACTATATTTAGTATGGTGAGGAAGAAAGCTAGCAAGTAAGGCTGAATAAAGCAGTTTAAAAGAAATCYTCAGGCTTCAGTTTAAAAGAAATCTTCAGGCTGCATTCAGGTTACATGACCAGACATTTGTGCCTAACTCTTTGCTCTTCATTGTAACATGCTCCTTATTTGCTCTCTATTGTAACATGATACACCTTGTTGTGCACACACAAAGCAAGCTGTTTTTATTTACTTTTAGTGAATAAACTGTCTACTGATTCCTCAAAACATCATTAGCTGTCAAAATCTCTACAACTGCAAAGCTGTACCTCTAGTTTCCACAGGATTCTAAGCCCCTGTCAAGAAGTTTAATATATTCTGTTACTGTGGAGCTCAACTTATAAAAACACAGAGATATCACAGTGATCTTGCAATGACCTGGCAGTGGGATTTCTGTCAGAACAAACTAGGGAGCCAAGACACCCTGTATTTGGGAAGAAGAACAGGCTTCCCCTGGATCTGCAAGGTCAAAGGACTCAAAAAAAGACTTAGTTTGCAATAGGTGAAAAAAAAAAGCAACTTCTATTCCAACTCACAAAGCAACTGTGTGATAAAAACTATGTAGAATGTGTTGAATTACTCCTTTTTCTTGTTCTAGGTTATCCTGAATCATGCAGATTAACCCTGTATGATAGAGACTACTAATACATCATTCAAGTTAAGAAGAGAAAATATGCCTTTCATGAGCTACAGGGAGCATTTTTGATGAAGAACCACAGTTGAATTAATATTTTAAAATAAAGGAGTGTTAAAACAATTGGACAGAAAGGAAAGGCAAGCTTAGGGTCTTCATGATAGGAATAGCACATGCATAAGAACTTGCCACAATAAAAGTAGCAGCTTCTTTAAATTAACTTACAAGTTCTCACTCGAGGATAGTTATGTGCCAGAAGAAAACGTTCAACCCAGTTTTCCATATTTTGCAGCACCCAGCTGTGAGCTAGCTTGTTTCGAGGTGTTTGCACAGCCAGCCAATCCAGGCACTGAGATGGGTTGTATTCAATGACCTGAAAGAAGAACRTGAAAAGTCAAAGAGAATCTGGATAGCATTTACCGATTGCACCAAGTAACTAAAAACACCTCTTAAAACTTACAATAACTTTTTTCAAAATCAGGGAGAACATTCAAAGGATCTTCTGGATTAGGTTTTATRGCAGAGCAAGAAAAGCCTTTTTAAATCTTAGCATGAATTTCAATTTCCTAAATCTTGATTGGGTTTTAAAAGCACAATCTGCCATTTAATCCAGGAAGCTGCTCTACGCACCCCTTTCTATACATTTTCTGATGAAACACTTAAGATTTGAAATGTAAAAGGAAAAAAAGAATATTTTCTTTATGCACAGTTAATGCACAACCTTGACAGTGCTTTAGAATGAGTTATATAAATAGAACATAACTGGTATGCAGATATGTTCGTATAGCTTCACRCTGAGGGTAACTATGATTTTTATGGACATGCAGTTTCAAGAAATACATTTATCTAATGCTTTTCAAAGCTAATGAAAAGCCTGTGTGGTGCTGCTGTACAGTCATGAAAACTTTATAGTTCATAAGGAGATGATGTACCTTCCTGCCATGGAAAGTGCCTTTCTGGTTCTGCATAGTTGGAAATTTGTTCACATACCATCAGGCCAATAAATGTATTCTTTAAATTGCTACTTTTTAAAAATAATTTGCTTTTTACCTTAATGTCTAGGTATCTGGATAAGGAGAAATGAGCTCTAAGGAACAACAGTAAGTAACTGCCATAGTGAAAACATTCCTAAATACTATAACCTCTCTGAAGAGTATGAGGCTGACATGACCAGCTCATAAAATTTTAATCTCCATTTAAAAATAAATACATTTAGAGTATGCTCCTTTTTAGAAATATGTTTGATCTGAGTTTTCGGTATAATAGTTGCAGAAAATCTGCAAGAAAGAGACTAATTGCTCACTGGTTTCATCACTCCATCACTTCTTAGTGATGTCTAGATACTGGAATGCTTGCAGAAGTGGGTTTTGTGCCTTAAATCAGTCATCTATGCATAAACTTCTGGGCCTGCCTTCTATACCTACATAATTTGTACCTCTAAACCTTCAACAACATCAACAATGTGAGTATCAACCTGCTAGCAACAACACAGCCCAAACTTGCTGCTAAAAGCTTGGCTTTCCATCAGAAACCCATCACCAACTTGCTTCCTCTGTGGGTTCAGTACGTATAGTGGGAATAAGCAGGGAAATAAAGAAGAACTTTTCACTGCAGATAACATATTAAAAAAAAAAAAGCTAACTCTGTAGCTAGGGACTGAAGCAGGAAGCACATGTACTGTAGGCCACAACATACATACTGTCATTAAAAGCTCTTTTAAAAAGGTTTCCTWATTGTTAAGGGAAGGGCATAACCTATCTCTTTGCCTTACATAGAAGGCAGTTAGATTAATTCTTGAGTTTCAGATCCACTGTTTGAACACTTCCTACTGGAGCTACAAGAGTTGCAGCCAGTTCATATTCAGGTCAGATACCTAACACCAGCTTGGTGTATGTTCTCCCAGATTACTTAACTGCTCTTATCCCTATATCTACTCTTAACCAGCAGTAGAATACTCATGATCAAGAAACCATATTATACTTCATTTCAGTGGATAAGACAGGTTTTTGATCAAAAGTCATAATTCTGCACAGTAATAATCTTTCACAACCCCTCTCTGCAGAATTAGTGAAAAGGGGAGGCGGATGGAACGGGTACACTAAAGGGAATGAACATTCAACAGCTTGTCCGCAACAGTCTTTCAGCTGCATATATTGCTCTTAGACAGTAACAAGTAAAAACAAACTGAACCAGAAACCCAAACAGCAGCTTGTTGAAGCTTTAACTCCTGAAGTTAAAAAGCTTTAACTCCTGATGCATTTCTCAGATGAAGGAATTCATGCCTGTGCTACTTGTGTTGGGCAGTCTTTCTCCCTCTCTTTAGAAATGCAAGCAAGAATTCTCCTGCACCATGGCAATTAACCAACTCAAATTAAACTCACTTTAATAGTTAAAGAGTTAAGTGTTAATGAATAAAGAGAACAAAAACCATGCAACTGATATTCAAAGAATTAGTATATAATAGGCAAAACCACCGACAAAGGATGGTCCTTGAAATGTTTTAGCCTTGAGCAAAGACAAGTGAGAAAAATTAGAGGAAACTGCCCAGAAGAGGAATTCTAGATTCTTATTATGGATCAATTTATTTCTCCTTAAACTAAAGATTAAACTGAAGTACCACTTAACTAGAATGATCTTAAAATACAATGAATTACAAAAGAACTTTTCATGTCTATTAACTGTTGCTGTGTATTTGGACGAGAAATGGTCACAAAAAAAGATCATGAATTGATGTAGTAAGGATGGTAGCGTAGTGTAAAACCCTTTCAAATACTTTAGTGGAAAAGAGAAACAAAGAAAAAGGCATTTAAGCTTCTGTTTACTTTTACATATTTTACCTCCCATATCCTCTGCAGAATGTAAGAAGCAAAGGGCGGCATTCCTGGGGGTCCACCAGCAAATTCCATTAACATGGTCAGCAATTTGAAGAAAGGATTGGCTGCCTGTAATACAAAAAAAAAAAAAATCCATTTTGATCTATTTCCTTTTATCTAGTAATTATTGAGACTTTTAAGATAACCAAATATTGGCACAAAAATGTATTTCTATGAACTTCAGGCATGAAAATTTTGAATACTTTTAATCCTTTACTACTTCATTATAAAAAACACACACATGTAAACAGTAGAATTAAGCCAGTGATTCTAGCTAATACATTGCACTATGATCATACTATATATGAACAGTAGAATATACAGTTAGAAGAAAAGGAACAAAAGCATACATTTGTAAGCCAGACATGGCCCATATTAATGGGCAAATATTAAGCTGCATAAGGTTGACTTTGCCAATTTACCCTCTCATATACATAGAAGGTATCACTATCTCAGATAAACTATAATATGCTTGCATAACATTTAACATGCATCCAGAAAAAATATCCAAAAACATTACATAATTATTGAGGGTTTACACTGATCATTAGTACTGGCATATCATTTCTTTCTCTGACACTACCAACACTTCTACTCTACCATGTTAGCTCTAATTTTAAATCATTTTTAAAAAGCTTGCCAAGACTCACACAGCTTTTAAAATGCTTTGATAAAATGGTTACTATTATTATTTTATATCTTGCACTTCACCAAGGGTGTCTATTGTGCATGTGTATATGTGCAAAGCAAAAAAGCATAATAATGTAGCAAATGTTAGCATGAAGGAGGGAATAAATTGTCATCTGATAGTGCCCATTCTATCACACAAAGCAAAGCTGTCATGAGAATCATGTAGCATGTGCTTCTTTCCCAACCGTGATTATGTCTCCTCTGCTTGACATGCCCTTATTTTTTCATGATTTTTTTTTTCTTTTCTGACAGCAGCAAACAAGAATGTCCTTGTGTGAACATACACTTCTCCACTCTGCATATATTTTTCATGTGGAATTCATTTGGAACTCTCAAAATTTTTGTTATCACCAGGGCAGGAATTTATTCCAAGTAAGAGACGTGTTTGCATGCACAAAACGGCAAAATAGTGCCCCAAAAGTTGAACAACTAAATGATAAAGATATGTGGAGAATCTAGAAATAGGTTATTTGGCTTTGAAGAAAACTTTTATCTGAAAGCTGCAAACCAGATTTCTGCTTTAGAAAACTTAATATACAGTGCAGTTAAAACTTTATTTTCTGTCACAGAAACTTTCATGGATCATTTTCCATGCAGGACTTTTGATTAGCAAAGGATTAAGTAATTTAAAACAGAAAAATATTAATACAAATTATTTAATAGACAGGCAGTATGTTTACATACCTCAGGAGTCAACTTTGCTATAGATGTGAAAAGCATGGACACAATCTTAAAAACAAAACAAACAAAACTCACTTAGACTTATGCTTATTCAGTTAAAATAATAAATCACCCCATTACATCTTTTAGAAAAGGTCTTCAAGAAACAGCTATAGTTTCTAATACTTACATGTTCTGCGAGTCGATTATTGTACCGGCACAAACTGAAAATGAGGTTGCAAGTTTGCCTAATGTTGATACCATCGCGGATATGTTGAAACAAAAAAGGAAAACCCTGTAACAAATAACAAGATATTACTCTACAAGCTTTGCACCCATGCACATACACACACACACATACATATACAGCTGTATATTTTTAAAAGCTTGTGCATTTATATCCAAATGAATTACCTTTCCTCCTGTYAATGCTGCCATGTCGTTTTGCGACAAAGTTAAATGCCTAAAATACAAGAAAACCTTTTGTCACTTGACTTTGGAAAGCATTTAGTTAGTTTAACAAGACATACAGCACTAGTAATGTTASCCTATAATCTCAATATTAAAAAAAAAAAGAGAGAAAATAAAAGCATTGAAATAAAACTGAACAATAATAAATATTTTGTAATTAGACCAAATAAATAATAATAAAAAAAAAGTGTAACAGAATGTGTTCAAGTATTTTGCTCAGATCTCTTATTTGGTCCTATTTGGTCATATTCATATCAAAAATATTTACTTCAACATCATCAGTAAYAGCTTATACATGTACAAGTTCATTTAACAAAAAGCAAAATCCAGAAACATGCCTAAGATTAGAATTTACTTTTGGTTTGTTAATTTTTGAAAAGCTCTTGCCTTTCTGAGCGAGACTGTTCAACTAGAAGAGCAATCAAGGCAATCATCTTTTCAAGTGCAGCAGGCCTGTATTTTTCTTCTGCTAAAGAAAGTATATCTTCCTCTTCCTCCTCTTCCTCCCCTTCTTCCTCAGAAAGTACTTCAACTTGTGGCTGAAGGGGAAAAAGGGTAACTTCTAAATGGACATTCTGGATTTTTATTTCAAAGACTCCTGTAGATCTTGTGTATATTCTGCAATCCTKTTTTATTATGTCAGCTGTGTCCTTAATAAACTCATCTGATGCAAATCAGGTAAATAAATATTTCATTTTCACATTCAAACATTCATTTTACACAAGCTAAATTGTATTTCCAAATGCAAAAAATGGACTGAAGCCACTATATAGCCTGACCTGGTGATCCATTTAATAAAGAAAATGCAAGTAAATCTAAAAATCTAAGTTGTCCAAAAGAATGAACAATCCAGTTGGTATCATTAGTAGTGTCGTAAGAGCAACTTAATGGCTTCTATCTAATACCGAAGTTCTATCAACTATAAATTTGTGGCTTATAGTGTAGCACTTTTAGAAATATCACATTCATTTAAACATTAAAATAAAAATTACATTAGAGTGAAGCAATTTAACAGCTGAAAAACAGTCTAGAGACAAAGTGTCAATGATTACAAGTAAAACAGGAAAGACTTGTTCTCACTGTGAAAGATGCTCAAACTTACATTTTCAGGTCCTTTAGTTCCCATATAGAAATGGACCATTGTTGATATGGCTTGCAGTGAAAGCAAGAACTGGCTCTGAAATATGTAGATATTGAATTATTTGGAAAATACATACACATATATACATACASAATTTGTAAAATTTCAAGGCTATACTCACTTCCTCTTCTCCCATTTTGGCAAATTCGTAAAGAAAGGCAAAGTATTCTGTTAGATGTTTACTGTGAGGCTTAACCCCATGCTCCATGATTGACAAGAGAGTCTTCACAAAGCGAGTGACGCAAGAGCGACTGCCAATGTCTTCCACAGGACCATCCATGTCATCCGAACTGAAAACATAACCCGGGTCAGATACTTCACACAACAGACAGAACATCAAATTACACAGCATCCACCACTCAAAATTTTGAACGTTTTTTAAAATTAATATTTCAAATCAAAATTGCAGTAAGAAAAAGGACTCAAATTAACTGGACTATGGGWTCTCCTGCTTAGGTTATCTCTTTCATCTGCATACCAAATCCCCAAATTTCAGTAGGAAGCCATGGTACTAAGGAACAGCAGCCTCCAAATCACAGAGAAAGCAGCCTGACACGACAAGAAGCAAGTATGTTTTTATTCATCCACTGAAAGCTGGATATAAACACTGAACACAGTAAGTGGAACAGTATTTTAAAATAAGGCTTCTAAGTTTTTTGTTATGAAAACTCCATCTTCTGATCCTCAATTTTTTATGGCATTACAGTTATCGCAAACTTTGCCATTTTTGCTTGGGAAAAGAATCACAAGTGTAACCCATAATATGAGGGAAAAAAAMCATTATTTTTCTTCTTTAAAAAAAAACCCAACAAATATATCAACATAACAGCAACAAATATTTTACYACTGGAGACAAAGTGACTGTTTGCTTGACAGTTAGCAATAAAAATCCATTTTTTTTCTATTTTTGTGATTCAGTTACATGGCACAGGACTGRACTCAAATCTCCAACCTCCTGTACTGTATTAAAACTTTTAAAAATGATGCCTGTGTGTCTCTGAATCTAACTTAAAATCACCTGTATACGTAGCTACATTTAACCCTGCAGCTGGTTAATGACACTGAAAATATAGGTCAGGCTGAGGAACCTTTCTAAGGGAACAAACTAAGGCAAAGTTTGAGGCTAAGGGAACAAATAGTTCAATTAATGTATCCATACACATGGATTTCTGGAATCACAACCATACTTTTGAAGGAATGACAGTATTTAGTACAGAATAATAAGTAACTGTAGAAATAGAATGGTTTTGTTTTAACAAGACCATCTTGAATAATTCAATAGACAAAGGTAGCTGATGAAACTCATGAAATACAAAGACATTTTCAGGTGCTAGGATTTTTGATTTTACCAGTCTTCCATTCCTGGCTGGAGATAAAGATGTGCATGCACCGGYCTCAGTCTCTGTATCACGTGAATACACAAACGTTGGAACATCTGCAAACGCACAAGTCATTACGGATTAGAGTTTTATCTAAAAATCAGCATAGAGATTTCCCCGTGTAACATAATCCTCTAATGAGCATACATAAACTACATATGTCTTTCCATGGAAATATTTCTATAATAAACAGAGGGTTTATTAATTTAAATCAATTATCAATTTAAATTAGGTTAAATTGACTTAACCTAAATAGAGTTTCATGTGAGAGGAAGTAATTGTTGGTACGTTTTTACCTAAACAACTTGCAAAGAAAGTATACAAATAAGTGAAACTATTAATAATATTCATATCTCACTGATCACAGTGAACATCCAAATACTACCAATATAGCTTTTTTTTTCACTTTTGTAACACTTCCAGAAAAAAATGTATTAATGTATCTTTGTTACATAGTAAGTCAATGCCATAAAATTAAATCTACCTCAAAAATCAAAGGCAGAAGGGAAACTTATAATAGAAGTTTTCATTAGGAACACCAAATCCACGTAATTTATTCTATTTTATTTTTCAAATATTACACTTTTTCCTGACACAATATTGTTAAGACAATTCAGGAAAAAAAATAAAGATATATGATCTTCAAAATGATGGGAACTGCAGAAACCTTAAATTATATCTATTGCAACATTTGGTGATCCTAATTTTACAATCACAGCATCACTTAATATAGATTTAAATACTAAAGATCCCATAGCCAAATATATTCTCTCAAACATAAGCAACAATGGAAAACACTTTAAAGGCATCAATAAAAACGTCCAGTACTATTATGTATCATAATAATTAGCTTTTTCTCTTCACGGGTGGAATCCATCAGAGTACTGATCTAGAATGATCTCTATAATAATTTTCTTTTACTTACCTGTCTCACAATCTGATTGGGACACTTTATTAGGATCTGCATTGGCCACCAATCATCATCTGCCATACGATCCAAAAACCACTGCAGAAGGTATATTCTGTGTAAGCTTTGTTCCAAATCAACAACCATTAAGATACATTCTAGTCTAACTTTCATTTTCCATGGTGTTAAAGTTTAAAGAGATACTGCAGTTATTAAGAGAAAGCAAATATTAATTCAACAGTAATCTAAATGTCCTTGATATGTGAGAAGGAAGGAATAAAGGTCAATAGCAATAAACATTAATATAAATTTACATTCACTATCTTCTTATTTATCACTATCACTCTGCATTTCATTCTTTCTGCCTAAAGAAGAATGTATCAGATCCCTTCTCATTTTAAATGCAGAAAAGTCTTACTATTGCCCAACACAGAAAATGTGTAATGATAACAGATACAGACAGACAGAGATAACAAAGTAAGACCTTGCAAGAAAATCAGATGAGTCTTTTCATTTCCAGAATTTTGTTTTATTCATAAGACAGCTGAAAATAAATAGTCCAAGTTGCCATTCCTTTTAATTATACCTTAGTGTTYTTTGCCACTTTAAATGTTTATACTTGTTTTAAGCACCTCAAGATTTCCCCACACTATCATCCAATGACTTAACATCACAAATTTTTAACAATCTAGAATTTATAAGTGAACAATGAATCAAACTGATTTRTACTGAATAATGTCTATTGCTGGATACAGTATGTAATAAGGGTTTTGTACATTCAAATTACCACAGGAAGCCGGTCACAGTTTTTCTTCTGTATCTAAACCCTGCACTTTTACCAACACTACAGTGAATTCTTTGCCCATGTTTTCTCATTCTCTCTTTTTCCCTGACTCCTTTTCAACCTTGAGGCTTCTATTACTCTGTTTTTCTGTTTTCATGCACTTGGAGTTCAAGATTCTCAGCTTCACTAGCAACACTCCGTATGAGTTTGCTTTCGACTAACTCTGGCACTTCTAAGTCCCTTCATTGCACCATGGTCCTTTATCTCACTCTGTTCTCTTCCACTCTATTCCTTCAGCATGCATTTGTCTATTTCTTTTGCATGATCTCAGGATATGACCACTTGCCTTTTATTCTAGTCACAMAATTATTTTGGCCTCTGGTCTCACCACAGGTTTCAGAAAATAAAGTTCAGCTTATTCCCCAGCATCAGCAATGGTCAGAGAGGATGAATTGCATGTCACAATGTACAAATCTCCTAAATGCAGAAGCTYACATCCTAAAATATTCCAGGGATATGAATCTACAGAAAAGTAAATCAATACATAGGAAGTTGGTTTGTGCTGTTTGGAATTACTATGTCACTTACCTCACAAGCTGCCTGACTGTTATTAAATTGTTTTGTTAACAGTTCAATCCACTGAAGCATGGTAGGCTGTAGAAGAAATAGAGAAAAGGCTATGACTTAAAAGAATAAATTAAAACTTATCTTTAAGCATTTCTAAACAGTCAGTTAAAATTATTACATGTTAAAAAGAAACAGTTAAAAAACACTAAATGACCACTATGTTTTACAAACAAGCAATGAATTGCATCTACACAAGAACAGCAGTACGTGCTTTAAAATCAATGCAAGTTATACATAAGGTATAGTTGTTACCCATGCAATTCTGCCCACTGTAACTGCAATCATATTCTTAATAACCGTGGATGGATCTAGAATTAGTAGTGTTATATCAGATAAGAAAGAAGTAAAAAAYGACTGAAAATAAAGACAGTACAGATAAAATGAAACTTTCTCTTTGCTTATGCTAATATTGGAACTTAAAACTTAATGAGCACAATTGATGTTCAGTGGTRAACAATCTCTTCTAAGTCAAACAATAACAAGTGCTTGTTTAAATTACAGTTCTCATCTCTGAATCATCCAAGAAGTTTCAAACACAAGAACAGAAGATTTTTTGTTTCTGATGTTTTGCGAGACTAAGTAAACTATACTGAAACTCTTTTTTTCCCCCAAGTATGGTGTTTACTATAAATTTATTAAAATGCCTTTAAATTTTGTATCACCAGTGTACTTACTACATCTCAAAACCATACTTTAATGACTAAGTACAGATAATTAGTTTTATTATATTCATGCAGCTATTTTATGAGAATTTACAAGTAGAATACCTTTTCTTTTGAATGGATAAATGTCTCCAGTACAAAGGAAGTGCTTAACTGGAGAAAAAAAAAAAAAAAACACCATTAATTATAAAATGCCTGAGTTAAAATACAAACAACTTCAATTAAAAATAAGCATTATACACTTCTGAAGTTTTTACCTTTGCTGTCATCAGAGATACAGCTTTTGGATCCGGTAGTGTGCTTGGGATGCTACTACATAACTGCCACATAAACCTAGAGACAGCAATTTCATTTGTTTATTAAAATAAATAATGAAAATCTGCATAAAGAAAACATATCTTAACATCACATTTTAAAACAAAACTTACCCAAAATATGTATGCTCAAAAATGTTCTTGTCTTGAAGAAACTGCATGTTATCATGCCATATCCACTGAAGAAAAAATGCTAACATCAGATACAAGAAAGCGGTTTATTTCACTACATAAGTATGATTTTAAGAATATTTAAACATTTGCCGTGGCAAAGAAAATATTTTATCTTAGGAAAGCTTAATCCCTTTATTTGAAAGGACTGGTTCAAACCTAGTTTACTCTTACTACAGCAGATGCTAACTTTGCCTGCCAAACAACTTTAGACCTCATTATCCTTCAGTTCGTCTGCAATTACATTTTTACATCTGAACTACTCCTATTTTTAGGGATTATCTTTCAGAAAAGATTTATGGTCAAAGTGTGGTCAAGATGTGTGTCAAGATCACACTGCAACGCTAGCAAAAGTGTAGTACCTTAAAAATCCTATAAGTAACCCTGATCTCCAACTCAGAGCAATTAGACTTTCATACAGCCTGACTTGACATAGCTAAAGGTGAAAGGTGACCCACAGCTTCATGGGTTGGGTGAGCTTTTGATGAATTCTTGAAGATTTGATTTTCCATCATCATCCAGGACAGAATTTCATGTCAGGTCCCTCTAATTCTCTTTCTGAAGTAATGTTTATGACCAAATTTTTCTGTAATATTTTTTACATGCAAATGACTTTAAAGTTTCCAAACTTTTTCTCTCCAAAACTGCAGACTTCTCCTTTGCAGCTCCTCAGACCACGCACAGCCTAAGCAGCACCTTTACGTAAACAGGCAGGTGCTGTAAGTTGGAGCAGCCCTCAACACTAAACAGAGCAAAGAGAAGCAGCCACTGCCAGTTATTGTTTCGCCTGCCCCTTTCACCAACAGCTGGGCTGCTCTCCCCAGGACTATGTGCAGGAMGGGAAGCTCCTCTGTCCTTCACTCCTTATCACAAGTGAGAGTTGTGGTGCTTCTATCTTGCTTTTCCTCAGAATTTCATAATCTACTAGGAAAAGTGCACGGCAGTAGTTGTAACGGATGCTCCTCTGTCCCTTGCTCCTTATCACAAGCAAGAGTTGTTGTGTTTCTATCTTGCTTTCCTTCAGAATTTCATAATCTACTAGGAAAAGTGCAAGGCAGCAGTTGTAACTACAGGGTTGTTATTTCCCCCTTAAAGCTTCTGAGTAACCGAAGCTGTGAAAAKGGTGTTGGTTAATCAGAATATCTCCCGTAATATCACAGCCAGTTAAAAAAGCACTCCTGAGAAAACACTTTTTTTTCTTTTTCCCTCCCCTAGTATGAAGCAGAATTATTCTAATATTTGAAATAAAAATTACTGGATAAAACAAGAAAACATGTCTCAAATTTATAAGCAATTGAAATGATCTAAATTTATTTCCTATTGAAAAGACACCAACGAGCATGATAAGAGCTACATAGTATTTTTCAGATAGGTTGGCTAAGTTTCACCTGTACCTAAAAACTGAGGAAGTAACAGCTTAAAGTAAGGACTGCCACAGAATTACAACCTTGTTTCTCTACCTCCATGAGGATACTTTTATCCACTCTCCACTACAGTATTATTTGAGTTACTCGAATACTGAAGATCGCAAACAGTTCTATAATTAAGAACCTCAAACCAAAATGAAGTAAAAATTTTTTGAATATTTAAATTTCTTGTAATTAACCTACATGCAGTACAGGAAGGTTGTTTCTCTTTTTTCCTTTTTTTAATACACATATCCATGTTCTGCTCATTGAAGAGCATTATCTCTCCCCAGGCTGGGGTTATTTCCAACATATCAGCTACTGCCTTGAAGCAATTACCTTTATTTTCTGAATCCTGCTCTTGTTGCTGCTTCCGGAGATACAGCTGCACCCCCTCACAACAATGGCATAATCTAAAGGATGCCTTTTTCCAGAGTTACATATCTCACCTCTTAACTAGTCTCTCTGCCAAGCTCAGTGTTGGATAAGGCAATTTGTATCTCTGATCTTGCTCTTTCCCCCTAATTTTTAGCAACAATCTTAAAAAAGTGTGCTTGTGTTTTCTGGAAGCTATTGTAAGATTCAGCTATATTTTTCAATGAACTTTGTTTCAAGCAATTAAAAGTAATAGATRCTAAATAATAAATAATGATTATTTAAGCAAAACAAAGACTCTATTAAACAACACTCTCCTAAAATAGTAGTTAAATGAAAGGATTGTCATTTACTGTTTAAAATTGTATCTGTTTTGCTATTTTTATTCAGATTCCACTGACTTGCTTAGGATTTCTTATAGTATTTTTATATTGGTGTTAAAACAAATCAACTTGTACCTCCAGCAATTCTGATGAAACATCAAATTTGTAGTCTTTGCCATTTTCCTCCTCTGGTTCCATCCGCTTATAAAACAGCATGTAAGCACTGTGTGTCTTTAAGAAAAAAAAAACTGTATAATTTTTGCTTGGAGGGATAAATCATGAAAGCAGAAATAAGTCCATATAACAAGTGTTTGGAGAAAAATACCTTTTCAAAGGAGAAGTCCATAAATTTATCAGTCACAGAATCGTATGTTTTTGTCTGTCAGAAAGAAAATAAAGCATTAATGACAATCTTTTTTTTAATAGTCTGGTTAATGATAATTTAAGGTAAATGTGCACATGGAAAACTTTGTGGCATTTACAGAGAAGATACTGACAATTTACTTCACACTCAAAGCGCTAAAAATAGTCTTCTGACCTCCTACAGTGGCAGTTTCAATTTTTCAAAGTTGCAACACAGTATTTAGACCTCACTTCTCATTCAACTTGCTGCCTTTTCACATAGTTCATATAGATACCTCATCACCTACACACCAAAAATTTCTAAAATATAGTACAACTCAGCTAACTCTCCTATTTCACTGCCATTTCACAACAGGTGGTGGACCAAAGCAAACATTAAGARACCCTTCATGAAAAGGTTTTTAGAGCAGAGTTACAACAGTTAAACACAAGAAAAATAAAGCCTTAACTTACAGTCATTTCTCCACCAAAACATTCAGAGGCAAGCTGGGCAGAATCAAATGGTTTTACTTCAGCATCGTTGAAAAGATACCTGTAAGAGAGTAAGCTTTTGAAATATAAATATTGTCAAATGTTCCAGCATGTAACTGTAAAACGCATCTGGGGAGTACTGACCAAGAAGAAAAAATCATTGGCTAGATAAACTTAAAAATGAAAGGCAAAAATATATATTCCAAATTTAACAGTACAGTAGGAACATATTTTAATAACCTAAATATTGTAACAACATTTCCTCCACATAGAATTCAGTTTATAGAGAAGTCTATAGAGTGTATAGAGAAGAAAATCTGGTTCACTGAAACCTGACAAAATGAAAAAATCGAAYTTCAAAATCATAAATGTAGCTGCAGACTCTTCAAAGGTATCAATCAGCTTTTGTGATGAAGGACAGCACCAATGTTACAGTTCATATACACTGAAAAATTTATGACATAGGCATTGATATTTTTGTCAGAAAACAAGCAATGGCTGTCACATAACATTAGCCTGGTACTCCCCTGCTGCCCCTGGGTCCAGAGTGCTCTCTAGAACAGCACAGCTGAAGCAGACAATGATGTACAGCAAGAAGTTAATATACTTAACACCTATCAAACTCCAACATCTCGGGCTTTTGAAAGGGACCTACACCACTTATCTCTTATATGACTAGGTGTGACAAAGTAAGCAATTTTTATTTCCTTCAACATAAGAAATCATAGAATTGCTTTGTATAACTCACCATTTGTTGTTTTTGTAAGCATGGGGATTGACTATATCTCTAATAAAACTGTAGTAATGTCCACCATCTGCTGTTCCTGTATGAACTGTCACGCCTATCAAATCATACTCGTAACTCTCAGTTTCTGTTTCTTTTGAATATTCGCCATCTTCCTTAAAACCTTAAATAATTTAATACAGTATTTAGCCAGTTATTTTATAAACATCTGAACTTCAACAATGGCATGTCCTCATTTCCTGTAATTACACTTAAAATTTTTATTTTTCATTTCAATATTTCAACATGGCACAATGAAGGCAGTTAGAACATCTACACCACACAGAAGCAGCATAATATGTAGATCTCTGCTCTTGTGAAACATCTGCAGTATTTTTTAAGACATCATTACTGGAGAGGTTACAACTAATAACTAAGTTATTCCAAAAGGGCAAATCTTATTTATTACGGCAGGTGGTCAGCCATTTTCTAAACTTCAAGTATTACTTTACAAAATCAAAGGCGGCCTATAAATAACACTATGTAATTACTTGCAATTTCTCTTATGTTTCATAAACAGTTCGGAGCATAATTTGAAAATAATCAATTTTCTCTTATTAAATAATATACATAACTTCTTTGACATTGCAGGCTGATTAAAACTTAAMTTTTATTTTCTTATTAAAAAAATCACTAATTGCTTACAGGTAACATAYACAGATGGCAGAACATGAAGGAAACAAAGAATATTGAAATCATTTTATGAGGCATACCTTCTTTTCTGTCATTTTTTCCCATGAGGAAATCTTCTGTGTAAGGTGTCATATCCAAACGCAAAGGGAATGAAAAATGTGTATTGACTTTCTCCTTCATCATGGTTACCATATTAAATGTATATCTCATTGTGTTGAAGCTTAAGATACGAGGTAGTTTCTTAAAGCATGCCCTAAAGGATTCAAAATAATAAACATTAAAGAAAGCTTGCTGGTTAAATAATATTTTCACAAAGATTTTTCAAGAAGAAACATAGAATTCAAGCATAGAATTAGAAATCAGTAAGAAGTCAACCTAAAAATTCAGCAGTCTCGTGTTAAATCTCATAAACTGCACTTTAATGATTTTCAAATGGTGTACTCTTATAGTCACATCATTTATAATACCTACGAGAAACAAGATGTTTTTCATCTTAAAAYAATATTTTATCAAATGTATTAAAAAGATAATACAAAATTGGTAGCTTGTTTTTCTATATTTTATTAGATAATTTCAAGTATGAAATATTTTTGTTATCAAATTTGGAAGAAGAAATTGGGGGTCAGATACAAAGCCTAAGCAACTGTTTTACACAGTAAGTAACACAAATGCTGAACACAAATGCTCACAGAATTTTATTTTCCAAAAACAAGAAAAATAAAATTCAAAAAGTACTACTTTGTACAAATTTCTTCTAATGTATTTAAAACAGGTCTTAAACAGTTTGTGAATAGGTTATCTTTTTCTAAAATATCCCAAGTTATTCCTTGGGGAATTCTATTTTTTTATATGCTCATTTGCCCAAGGATTTCATCCTCAAAGGCCTCTGTCTGAGGGCATAAGCCTGTTTCAACTCAGCGACTGCTCTAATCCAGTAATTTACTAATTACAACCCTTGGCAATTTACTAATAAGAAGTGTTAGGAATGCTAACTTCTTCGTAATCATACCTTTTTTCAGCCCGCACTTTTTTCCCACAATGAGAACATGTGTACATGTTGTCACCTTCCAAGGTATCTTTAATGGTTACTTCATCAAGAGATTCCTATAAAAAAAAAAAAAAAAGTGGTATTTATATCTTGCATTTACTTGTTCTACTTTACTATTTTACAGGAGTCTCTCTCAATTTATAGCAAGTTTAATCAACAATTCATGAATTGTGAAAGAAAACTGGTCAAAGTCACCAAAAGTTTGTACCAGGAACATAAGCCTGTATTGGAAGATTAGTTTTACATCTTCAGTTTATAASAGAAGGACTGTTTCTTAGAACCAAGATTCAAAATTAAGGAATCACTTCAGAAAAACAATACTCTGTATTCTAAACTATTCCAAACATAGAAAGTGCTCTAAAGCCAAATTCAAAGTGTATACATTAAGAATTATACAAAAAAAAAAATCTAAAATGATGTATATTCTAAATTAACTTAAGAAGCAATAGTTCATATGTACATATAAAATCATTTAATATTTAGAGATTTCTCATTTAAAATGTGACCAAGGGCTTCTCCAAAACCAAGAAATGAGTACACAGTAAGTACCGATCACAATATAATTTTCAGTGGAATAGTGTAAACCAATGTCAAATGACAGGAGATGGTATCACACTATACTGAAAAGATAAACAACTTAACCAGGTTACCTTGTAACATCAACCAGGAATAGTAACCCAAAATACACCAAAACTAGAGTACGCATACAAAAAGTATCAACACATTCAATACACTTGCACTCAACTGCATTTATTAACAATTGTGATCTATGGTATACATCATGGTCTTGTATTACTTACATAAATATTCTTCATATCTGCCACCTGGCATCTTACTGTATAGAACTCTTCAGCAGTCTGACTAACATGCTCACAGTCCTAAGTCACAGCAATGAGAAAGAAAAATCAATAACTAGGTTATAAATTAAAAATTATATTGAAAAGATATGAATAGAAAAAAAAAACAATACCTACCAAAGAAACAACGTTGTTTGTAATAACACCTCCAAATAGACTTTTCACTGTATTTTTCTGTGAATGAATTAACAAATTCTGTCAGGAAAATCGGTACAAGTCCATCACATTTCAGGCTTCCTTCTGCTCCCCTTGAATAACTCACCAGTTCTGGAGACATTTCTTCTATTTTTGTTATTAGGTCAGTAAAGAATTCAGTCATATCCTTCTGCTCTCCAGTGTTGAGTGGCTGCTTATCCATGGTATAGGTTTTACAAAAAGGCCTTGGATTGTATGCCTTACACTCACTTTCCTTGTGGCAAAAAAAAAAAAAAAGAAAGAAAGTCCAATCAAAATAACAATCTTTTCAATCTTTTTAGTTACATAGATATACCAAACATATGTGTATAAAATTKTATTTTAAAATGCTGCTATTTTATATACACCATATGCTATATGCAATTATATACAGTATATAATAATATAATATGCCTATTAGGTGACAAGTTTTGCTAATTTTTTTACCTAACTGATCATAAGAGAATCATTATTGAATTAAAACTATTTTGCCAAAGATGTAACACATCCACTTTTTGCATATCAGTTCTGTCGCAAAATGTAGCATGATATCATCATTCTATCTTTAAGCATTTTTGGATATTACTGACTTTGATCTTGAGAACTGCTTAATTCTCATTCAGACTTCTTGGTGAAATAAAACTACACTATCTAGTTCTCCACTGCATGTATTCAAAGAGTAATTCTGAAAAATACACCATCCCATTTCAATACTGCACACATTGCAAATCATCATAAATGATGAAAGTGTCCTTAAGGTGTTACGGTAAGAGGATACTCTATACACATACTTTTTTTCTTTCAAGGATGTGGGTCAAGAGAGTAATTCCAGCAAAGATTACATATTTTGCAACGAAGTTTTTCTTCAAGGTTTTAATATCTGGAAATATTTATATGATTTTATGCTCTTAAATTTTTATTTTACCCACACACAGCTATGCCTACAAATATACTTTTTCTGTCATTCATGGCAGGCACTAGATAGATGCCTACACTTTTTTTTTTTTTGTCTTCAAAGCTATTATATGCTATAAGATCTCAAAAGCTACTGCATAGAACAAAATTTACTCAGCTATCCTTAGTCCTTTTTTTTTGTATCCTATTAAAGATACTTCCATTATTTGATGCACTGTTTCATTATTTTAACAAGAGTAAACACCTATGTACTGTTTCCTGTTTATTACTGAGGCTGTTCAGATTACAAAATTATCTGTTATTTTTAATGCTTATTTTAGCGGATTACTCCTTCCAACACTGGAGCAAAGAAAATGCCAAGAGCAAAAATAATCTATTTTATTTTACACAGAGGGAAAGGAAAGTAGGGCAACTTCACAAAAGAGAAGACAACGTCCCCAAATCATTCCATGATTAAACCAAGAATCAAGTTCAAGCTGTAAGAACATGATGAATGAGGACGAGTGAACAGTTTCTACTGACAATTTACAAACCTCAGTTAATGAACTAGGGGAATTCTCAAACTGCCCAAAGTTCCCTCCTGACAGGGGTTCYTGTAGCAATCATTCAAACACTTAGGTGTAATGGTATGAGAGAATTGTCTTCTTCCATGTTGTTTCACTGTCTCAAGCCACTCTACCACCTCCACTAAGGAGGCGCCAGGCTGGGAAGCTCCTGGAGCACTGGAATTACTGGTTCAAGCAGATAGCACGTGCCTGCAGGCCCAGGCCCCACGCGCAGCTACAGCACAAGAGTAACTAAAGAGCAGGCCCTTGTCTGCGCCAAACACGTTACACTCACCCTCAGCTGAGCATCCATTAGTCTGCTGAGGAGAAGGGCTTAAACAGACTCAGACTATGGAACCTCAGCTTGAAGTCCACATCCACTCACCTCAACTCTTTTTTTAAGAACACAGTAGATCATCAGTGAAGTCTGGGAGCTTGGGCCTAGCAATTATAGCTGAGATCCAATATTAAACTCTATGTTAGATTAGCAATTTTACATTGCTTCTTCATGAAAACCWGGTCAGTATTACAAATGTTGCCACTATTTCCTTACTATTACTGTTACTATTCCTTTGCTATTTCCATATTGTTACTATTTCCTTAATTCATTTGCTGATCTGCAGCATCAAAGTGGGTAAAAACAGTATCAGTCAAGACCCTCCTTTACAACTTAGTCACACATACCTAAGCTGCCAAGAATTCAACATAAAATGGTAGCTACAATTTCCTTTCTTACTTTAAGGAAAAGAGAATATTTTATAAAATATCCTCTTTCACACCTACCATTAAATAGGTAAACATTTTCTGGAGCTCCAGCAGAGTGGTCTTGTGTTTCATATCTTCCGAATACTAAAGAAATTAATAAAAGAAGTCTTTATATCTTTTTGCTTATTACTTACCAAAAACAGCATTTTAAAGAGATGAAACAATCTTTTATATTACATAACTTTATTATAGACAATAAAGAAAAATAATTGAGAGCACAGTGTGTACACACAGTACACTATTTTACACACATAATATATGACTGCTGGTCATATTTTGAGACATTAGCCAAAAAAACTCTGCCAAACTTAGGTCACAAAGCAACAATGTTTTCTAAAAATTTATTCCATCTTTTCTATTCCAGCTTTTGGTAAATATTAGAATGATGTTCATGTGAAGCTCAGCAGCTTCCTTTTTTATTTCTATTTTTAAACTTTTATTTATTTAATGTTTAACATTAAACTAACAGTCCTGAAGAAATACACAATAGCAAGAAGTAAATCTTAAAAGTAAACCTAAGTAAAGGCTTAATCAGCCTTTACACTGATTCTAAATTCAAATTTCTACCAAAGTCCACACAAGGAATGTAGGACACCAAACCATACCTTTGCAGTAAAGATTGCTTGCCTGGCCTCAGGAATCATATACAGTTGCTGAATAGTGGATGCCAAGTAACAAGTTGCTCCAAGATTAGTTAGGCCAACAAACCTACATTCAGCTCGAACATCATCGTGTGGCCAATAATCCCACTTGTAAGGTGCATGGGAAGCTAGAAAAAGCATGAATCACCAAAAAGAAAATCAATTCAAAGTTTAATTTACCATGATCACATAAATGAAATAAAAAAACTTTATGCTTACATTAATAAAATACATCCTGTTTCGCGTTCTAAATGTACAGATCTGAGCAAGACCTAGAACCACGTAGGAAGAGAGGTAATGAACACAGACACAGCTCCATATATCTTATCCTCACCTCTGCTCACTGGGAAATAGAAAGCACAGCAGAATGCACTACACTTTGGGCTGCAAGTGATTTGGCCTTTACAGCAAGGCAGTTCTCCTGTGTTACTCATAGCAAGCCTCACCTCTTCCATTTGTTCTGTGTGTTCTGTAGTGTTCTTGGGGGGACATTATTATATGTAATGATCTTATAGCCTCTACCTTTGAACTAAAATTTGGTAAAACCATGCAATGTTTTCACCATATATCAAAGGCATTCATGAATTATAAACACTGGTAGCTATGCATTTTTAGAAATAAGAAAATCTTTCATAATATTGGATTCTAAGAAGTATTTTTGGAAATTAACCAGTATTTGTATCTCCTGCTCTACAGCAACTTCATGGTGACGCTGCCTTCTACAGTAGAGTGCAAAATTCTGAACAGTGCCAACAAATAGGCGATGTGAAAAATAGGGGTATGTTTTAAAAAGGCAGGCTTCCTGTTGAACTTGAGTTTCCTAAGTTAACTCTTCAGCCTTGCTCATTCTAAACTTCTACCATTCATTATTGTCTGTTTTTCTCTGGAAAGAGCACAGAAAATGAGATTCAGCCTCTGGAATGATGTTCCCCTTTGTCCTCTCATTACCAGCTCTTATTTCCTCTGTTCTTACTGCCTTTCCACATCTTTTGTCCACTTACTCTCTGCTTTCTCTGGATTTTCCCATCTAGTGCACTGAATTATGAATAGTAAGTTAGAGAATTAAGCATAAAAGCTTTAATCAAAATGGAAGCAAATCAGCTACTTAGCCAGCCACAGTGGATGCTCTCTCACACAACAGCCTAAACTGATCACTTAACACACAGCACTTAACAAGCTCCCTAAAACATACTGGTCAATCCCTCCAGCACACAAACTACTCATTTCAAAACCCCTACCACCCAGTCACGAGCCCCATGTCATACTGATAGAAAGTCAAATGGAGTTTCTGCACCCCGAGAATCAAGTTAGAGAGTTGAGTCTTCTTGAAACAAAACACACAGATTAGGTGTTAGGGGTATCACACATGAAGTGAGATCCTTCTTTTAACAGAGAAGCTGATTTCAGAATGACATCTACTACAAAGACGACCAAATTAGCAAAAGATCTCACTGATCTGTATGAAAGATGGGATAGGTGCTTATCAGAAATAAAGAATAAAAGTACAATAGAATACAGTGCTTGACTTAAGGCTATATAAATATGCAGATGAACTTGGGAAGAGTTTTTACAGGAAGAGAAGGAATGTTTCTTACTGTATTTCAAAGCCATACATACCAAAGAAATCTGTAATCTATAAGAAAAACAGCGGGAGTCAAGTGAGTTGTGTAAAGGATTAAACTAAAAAAAGACTTGATTTTGTTGGCATTTTTTTTCTATATTTCCTTCCAGATGTACCCACCTATTCCTTTTTTTTTCCTATATTTCTTTCCAGATGTACCAACCTATTTCTTATATAAGAAGAAACTAGAAAGTTTAGGCAGACTCTTTTAGACAAAAGACAAAAGAGTCTGGCAGACTCTTTTAAATCAGCTTTGCTCTAATAAGGCTGCAAAGAAATGACAAGAATGGGAAAGGTCTCCTCATCTGCTACTCGAGATCGTAGCCAGAGTAGACAAACAATTTCTAAGTGTCTGGAGATTCTCAGGTAAGCATAAGTGGTTGTAAGTGATTAGAGCTTCTAGATACCGACCTGTTTCTCTTCCTAGCATCTCATGCAGGAGAATACAACCGAAAATTATTTTTCTGAGATGAAGAAACAACTAAGTAACACAGCTGCAATTCTTTCTAAAATACAGAGGAACTACTCCAGTGTACAAAGATGCTGACTCTAGCAAATCTTTCCTGATATGTAAAAGATTGATGCAAAACCTGTCATAGCTTTGGTATCCATCCCCGGGGGACTTCTCCAGGGATTCTCCTAAAGGGTAAAATGTCCAACAAATAATTCAGCAGCTCTCTTAAGAGTGTATGTTTAGCTGTCAGACAAAAGCAAAAAAGCAGTCTAGCCATTTTAAAAGCCACAATCATGCAGAGATATACGTAACATCAGCCACTATCGTACATGGCTRAAAGTTATGGTGGTTAAAGTTAAGCATTGTAACGACTGCCAGGATAAAAGTATTTATAACCTCTCTTTTTTAATTAGAGCCCTTAAATCTTTTTTTTTTTTTCTTTGAAGAAAATACACTAGAGAGCCTTCAAGGGAATGTTTTCATTAGGAAAACCATACCTTATTYTGCTGCAGGCACTTAAAACAATCCATTAAGAACCAACAAACACATCCTGGCTTCAATCAATACTGCACGAGTAAAAAATGGTAAACAGCATATATAGCAATTGGTCAGATCAGAGGACAGAAACTATACAACTGGTAGGAGTGAAAACTTCTGCAATGATCCACAAAACCAGAGTAGAAAGACAGAGGGAAATCAATAATGTTTTCCTTTATGTGATTTTAAAAGAGCAATCAGCAAGATAAGCAAGTGAAAAATTCCAGTTTTAGGAGTCTCTGAATCACATCAATGGAATGGTAAGACTTTAAACAAGCGCAGCATCAGCACCACCTCAGAATGAGACAACTGCCTGCTGCCAGTTGTAATAACATTTACATTCATGGAGCTGTGATATAGTGAATATGGAGTAGGACCACGGACCAGATGGCTCTGGAGAACTCAAGTAGGAAGGCACAAACAAGACTGTTACATTTTCTGTAACACGTTCTTACAGAAAATGTTACAAAAAACTTCGGCAATGATGAATAACTGGGATTTGGAGTGTGAAAAATACTAGCTGTAGAAAATGGATGGCTGCACCTGCCGAGATACAAAGTTGCTCAGTAGTTGAAACAGAAATTCTATTCTACGGACTTTTCCTAAATACAGGACATTTGGGAAGGTTTTTAGGTTTCCAGAAAACTTGTACAGAACACAAAACATCACAGCAGAATTCTAGTTTTCTTCCTAAATTGTAWGGTACTAAATTAATTCCATAGATCATAGTAAATTACAGATCCTCAGGTTACAGAATTGCAAACTGGGCACATGAAAGAAAATCCAACAAGCTAAAAACTGCAAAATTAGAATTTGAAAATCAAAGATAAAATACTAAATTACCAAAATTTTAGGTCAGTTATAAGTGATACATAAGAACTGAGTTCATTTTGTGTGGCTTGGTACTATAGAACATATCAAGCTTGATTATGTTAGGGAAAAGAGAAATGAAAATTTAGCACAAGCCAGTGAAGCACATGAAAACAAATCCGCTCTAACAAATACTCTTCATGCACTGGTGTCATTTAACAGAATGACATGCTTTAAGTAACTAGTATTTTAAAAGAGATGTTTTGGAAATCCAATCACACTTAATAGATAAATACATTCATTTTCTAGGTGAGTGTAAGAYACATCTGGTCTTTGACACTACTGTAAGTGATGCTGGATAGGTAGCAGAGTTACCAAGGGGGAATTTTAAGAACACTGTTAACACTAACATCTTTTTTCATTACTTAYTTTGGAGAACGTGACTATCCAGTTTAAATTTTCTCTCTATCTGTTTCTATTTATGCACACTTAACAGACCATTATTTTTAGCAGGTCATTAAATGAAGACACTTACTATATATATGTGAATAGAAAACACAAAAGGATTAATTTTCCAAACAATACTTAAAAGTTACACAAGAGTAAAGGTTCTTACACTGCATATGTTGTGCCATAACCCAGTTGTGGAGCAGCCTGTAGTTTTCCACAGACCCCTTTACCATTTCTACCAGTAAGTCGTAAGCAGCAGCCCTTGAAGAATGTGACTTGCATTTTGGCTGTTGTCTGTCTTTTAGACTTGGCAGCAAGAACAGGAGATTGAAGATGTCTCTTAGAAACTCCTGCAAAAACAATTCAATAAGCAAGTTTCTCGGTTAGAACGAATTCTTAAAAGACAACAGCCATCTATTATCAATCTTCTAGAAACATCTACAGACTTTCTGGTCCTCTACCATTTATAAAACTTTCTATGACTTGCATACAAGTGAATTTCAACCATTTTCTCTACACTACGGGGACTGTAAGAGAGAAGTCTGCCGAAAAAGAATATAAACTTCTCTCCTCCTTATGCTAACTACAGCATGTGGCAAAAATTACAGGGAAAAAAAAAAAAGAAATTCAGTCTGCCAGACATCTGCAACTTGAAAATGCATGGATACAACTTAAATTCAAAGACTTACTTTTTGGTAAACGAAGATACAAAACATGAACAAAAACCCTACAATGGCATTATTTGTAGAAACAGGCATGAATGTGTCGTACTTATTTTATCATAAAAAACACTAAGAAATACACCAACCTTGCACACTGATGCATGCTTTTATTCTTCCTTTGTATATAAAAGCATATACATAATAACCATGTCTTTTTGTTATATGTGGTAAAAGTAAATTGTACAAACAATAAAATCCAGAATGTTGTTATGTAAAGACAGCATAAATTGCTGGTGCTACTGAAATCAGTAAGAGAAGTCAGTGGTCTTTAACAGAGTGGCTGGATTTCATGATTGATAATTTATTTTGACAAACTATWCACAGAAGTTTTTAAATAATTTTAAGACTAGTTTCACCCAGTGAAAGTCAGCATATAACTTTTAGTAATTTTACGAATTGATAATTATTCACTAAAACAGARAGCCATATTATGTACCATATGTACTGTAAGTTTATTTTACACTGTGCACAGAATAAGGTTGACTGTAAATGTTAAAATGTTAACACTTCCATTTACCTGTCTGGTAAATTGATCAGACTTGAAGAGGGAAAAAACATAACTGGGCCAAGTCTGTTTGACTTGGATGACAAACACACAATGTGTATCATTAATTACGTTTACCTTCCCAGGTTAATGCAGTAAAAACTGAGATGGCACATGCCCAAACTTCAATACCTTCTCTTAGTCTATTTATTTCAGTAACATTAGAACAAAAGTAGAACATCAAGTCAATAATAACACTAAGATTTATAGACCTGTAAGACAATCTACCTTTCCAAAACTACATCACCTTTAAAGAAATATAAAATGGAGAAAGGTTTTCCTCCATATTCCTCCAGCTCCAGAATAAACATTACTGATTAGCCATGTAAGTATTACAAGTGTATTACAAGTGATTATGAAAAAAAGATAACGTTACAGAATTTAGAAACAGTATTTCAGCAAATTCCCTCAGAAGTAGCAATCACTGTATTTACTGTGTGTCCAGGATATACAACATGATCTAGAGCCTTCTTTTAGCAATAATCAGATAATAAACTGTCTTCTGCATTTTTTTTKAATATTTTTTTCCTAAATATATTTTCTTCTTTTTTTTCCCTTAGGGGCAGAAGTTGCTCTCATTTGAAAGAAATGCATGAGGCTACTATAATTAATTCTACAATTTCTAGACTGCAATTACAACAAAGATCCAGTTCCTGGATTTCCCTATTCATGTATATTCACTTCAGCAGACATTTGAGGTTAGATGGGCAGATTTCTGCTCTAAAATCTTACTGAATTCTAATTATTTCCAAAGATGACAGCCTCCAACACACATGGGGAAAAACACCCTAAAAGTCCTGTTTCCTGTTTATGGAAATTCATGCAGCATTAATATGAAATCTTATAATCAAGGTCTCTTTATGTGTGAATTCTATGGAGAAGTCTCCTCCTGGACAATGTAGTTAACCAGAGTTCTTGCAGACCCTTTTCACACTTTGGAGATGTATTTTATTCCCTTTATGTATGATATTCAAAAGAAATGGAATGCTTCATTTCTTGAGAGTTAATCTATTCTCTGCACCAACAGTATTTTTCCCAACTTTTAAAYAATGTGAGAGGCTGGAGAGGTCGGCCAAAGGTAGAGAGATAAATACATTGTCCTATCAGTCAATAGCCATACTGTCAGCAGCTTAAGCAAAGCAATAAAAGAGTTTACAAGCTAATTAATCCTCCCCCCCATATATTTAAGGTCTTAAAAGAGGACTACATTTTTTCACCCTACGAATTGCAATAAACAGGTGGATTGTGGYTTTTTTTTTCCTTTTTAAATTCTGAAGAAAAATATCATCTTTCGAAGAGGATGATTTTGCCCTGACCAAAGAGTTATGTTGATACATGCAAGTATTTAAYGCATGCAGCAGCTCTAAAGCACCAGCTTCTCCTCCCATGATATAACAAAGCTGTGCAGAACACCACAGAGGGGGAAAACATGGGCCTACTGAGTTGTATATATCAAATATCAATCTCCCAGCCCATTCCCAACTTGTACACATGATRCAAGTCTTGCTGAAAAGAGTCCACCTCTTATTAGCTTCCATTTCTATTCTAGTCTGGGAAGACCAGAAATACAAGTCCAGTTTTCCCTCAACCATTACTACAGCATGTCCTGACAACACAAAGCAGAAACTTTTGGGGAGCTTTGCTTGCCTATCTACTCTCCCATCTAAGCAGGACAGACTTCAGTAATATTCTTCTAACAGAGGCCTGCTGCTGCCTGTAGAGCTTAAAAGATACTTTCAGATCACAAGTGTCCCAGGATATAGTCAAAAGCAGTAGCTGTTACTGATTTTTAGTCAACTAGTTCATGCTGATTGACTCGGAAAACATTTAGAGATCATAAATAAAAACAAATGAAATTTCTAGGTTGTTAAGAACAGTATCCTGAAGTTAAATATAAAGGGTAACAGCTGTAAGTGCTGCTTTTTAATAAAGGAATCAGATGTTTGTTTCTATGAATTATCCTAAGGCTTGATAGATGACATTCTCCATACACTGAACCCTGAAGTCAAAACACAGGAAAAAAGGTGAAAGGAAGAAAGCACCGCAGCAGAGAGAGCACAGCCATGACTACTTCTTGTGCATTTCTTACCTGCCCCTCCCGAGAAAATTTAAAGGGTGGTTTGTGTTTAATAACACTTGTTGCAAGACGAAGCAGTCCTGTAAGTCCATCATCTTCTATATTACCATCCTGATGGTCAAGGATTTCTCTGCTAGATACAAATATATATACAAAAGAAATGTTAAAACTGTATTTATCCAAGCAGCAACAGATAAAATGCAGCTCACCAGTAAAATTACCTTTACCAAATCTTACCTCCGAATGCAGTCTGCAAGGTGTCTTGCAAGTGCATCTAAATCAAGCAGTGTGGTCTGATTAAAAATGAAGAAAATGGAATATACATGAATAATTAGTTAATGAATTACAATTAATAAGCCCAGTTAGAAACCATGATTATGTGGGGTGTTTGGGGTGTTTTTTTGACTCCCTTCCCCCCCCTTTTTTTTGGCTGCTTAGATTTTGGTTTTCTTTGCTACTGCACACAGAAAAACAGTGACAACTACAACTCATTTTTCAAATTTGCTCTTGAAACAATATTTTAATGTTTTTTATAAATGCAGTAAAACAATTTGCCTTTTTGTATCTATGCTGCACAGTTCARATGAAGTATCACATTTTTTCTTCATAACCAGATCTCAAAATACTCTCTCTACTGCTTTAGAGTGAAATGGATAAAYGTTATTTCTTAGATGTGCAACATGTAGTTTGTCATCAGAGCCCGGGCAAAACACAGGCAAGCAGAACTGCTGCCTAGTTACTAGATTCAATTAATAAAATGGACTTACAAGGAAAAGGAATGGCACAAAGGAGGATGAGGTTTTCCTCTCCCTACCCCCCCCCCCATTGGTAATATCCAGAGTTGGGAAAGGATTAGCTTTTCTCCACTCCAGAGAAAGTAGGATTAAGGCTCTATCTTCTTTCCCTTCCCACATCCTGTCCCATCACCAAGAATAAACTAAATGGATTTACAGAGAGCCTCCAGCAGAAACTAGAGAGATTTACAGACAGCTTCCAGCAGAAGTAGTTGCAGAAGATGCCCCATAAGGCAACTTCAACCCTTTATAAATATTCCAAAGATTGTGAATAATTTTTCTGACTTGTGCTGTTAACTGAATTTTTTTTTTCTCTTCTCTTTCACCTTTGCTCAAATACTTGCTTACCTCCTTCTGAGATTACATTTGAAATTACTTCTCCTATTAAAAGTGAATCTCCCCTAGACTATTATTCAGAAAATCTGTTATTTTCATGTAGTCCTCTCTGCTTGTGTGTTACAACTATCCTCCTCATTTGTACACTACAGTCTCTGTGAAAAATCTTCCCAGGCCAAGAACTAGAAAGACTAAATACATAAAGAGAGTAAGGATAGGGGAAAGAAGGGGGAAATCCAAGAGCAGTTCATACCAGCCCACTGTATCTTAATTAAAAACCCTTTGTGCTKAAGTAAAAGTGGTCTGAATAAAAAAACATAAGAAAAGGTACAAATTTAAAGGAAAGTAAAGCCTACCTGACTTGCATCTTTCACATGTATGTTATCAATCAGTTTGCACAGCAACCAAAAATATTCTTTACAACCTGGCCGTAACACTGGTTCCTCTTCRTAATCCTCTATCTGTGGAAAGAAATTGCTTTTGCTCCAAAGTACATCAGGAAAAATAACTATGTAGTATTAAAAGAAACTARTAAACAGACTTTACAAAAATATTATTTTTTACAGCATCCTACTCGAGATAAGCTAAGAAAAATATTTTCTACTGTTTCTCTTCTGAAATAGTATTTTTGTTGAGAGATTCTCAAACTGATTCACCGTAACATTAAAAACTCTAGAATAGTATTGGCTCTGTCTTCCACATTACAAATTGCAGATTTTCTAGTAGTAAACAGAAAAATGAGAAACTTGCAGTAAACTCGACATAGTTAGAGCAATTCTGATTTCAACAGGTCTAGTAATTCAAATCTTCTGCGAAGCGTTTTAATTTATCTGTTGTTTATGTCAATACAGTAAAGAAATAAGTAGCCTGCTYTAGTCCCTAAATGAATTTAGGTAAAATCATTCGTGTTAGTTCAAAYCATCTCTATTAATCTGCATAAACACTGAGAGTCTTCCTGCACTAGTTTTGGCAGCATTCAGAGAACAGTAGAGCCATGAGAACAATAACACTCAAACAGAAAAACAGCAGCAATCAACTGGGATCAATAACTTTTGGCTACAACAGAGAGCACCAATGCACACCCAGAGCTATGCACCTACTAACTTATTTCTATCACTAGTCTACATTTAAAAGAGTAGTCAGGGCATAAATTGAAAATACACTTATTATTCCCTAACAGTGTGCTTTATGGACACTACAATACCTGAAGAAGATTCATTCCTAAACATTATTCTGCAATCTTTCAAGCACAGGTAAGCCCTAAATTAGTGCACTAATTTTCTACTCACAAAAGTAAGCCTAAAATCACCTTGGACAAAATCTTGTAATATGCTGAAGTCTTACCCGGATAGGCTTTAGAGCCTGAGCATCAGGKAGGAATTTTAATAATGTTGATGCAGCCAGCAGCAGAAAGGACCGATTAATTGAGTCTCCTCCATCAAGACCAGAGAGAGATAATTTGTATAAACCATTACAAGACTCATGGCGGACGGCAGTCTTCATGAAAAACAAATAAATAAATGATGGCACATATTACTTAGAAGACCTTTTTTTGGGTTTGTTTTTTTTTTTTTGAGTTCTCTTTCATATATATATAATTCAATTCCTTTCATAATACATATTAAGTTAATAAGACAGAGTAATATAGAAATGTAATTACAAGTAGTATACACTTAAATTAGTTCTAAAAAAAACCTAACAAAGTAGAAAAAAAGATTTGTCTGTGCCTCTTGCCACTTCTCTAATGTATTTTCTACACTGAAGATTACGGTCAGCTACTGAAATAGAAAATACTACATTAGAGGGAGACAGCATACAGGCTTTTTCTGTGATTAAGTAATAAAACACATTAAAAACAAACACTCCATCACGTCTATATTGCACCTTTAAGCAATCACTAATAAATAAGAAAATTTCCCACTATGCACAATTATGCAATTTTCCATTTTTTATTTCTTATATCAGAACAAAGCACTTTCAAGCACATTTTAATACCAGCTTTCACCTCATCTTGTGATGAGAAGAATAGCGAGAGAAAATATACAATGGGGAAAGACTAATCCATTTAAGAAGTCATCATCTAGAAATTTCAACCAAAAAGTTACCTTCAAATAGAAGTCAAGAATGAAGCAGGAAGTTTATACAGTAACTGGTTTGCAATCTACCATATACACGCTTTCTTACACTGTACTTTCAATACAGAATTGAATAGAACTTCTTAAATAGGATTTTAAGTAATTGAGTTAGAATGTGCCTACTTTCAGCAGGAAACATGTTTTGAATTTCACAAGAAGATCATCCACTTGGAATCAGAATTAAACTTGTGCCACATTATGGCACCTTCAACATACCTCTGGAATAAGAAGGGTAAGTTTCTTCAGCCAGTCTTGCAAATAATCACTGTCTGCCAGACTGGATTTCACCAAGGAACAGCAGTGGGCCCAACTCACCAAAAGCCACATTGAATAATGTGTAACTGAGAAAAAAATGAGATGAGAGTACATCACAGTGTAACTCTGAAATAAAACAGCTTTTTTAGATTGAAGAGTTGCAAAGTACTGGCACATATGGCGTTCATTTTAATCAGATTAAGATACAAGGCTAAATCCTTATCGGCACTTAAGATACTACCAAAGCTGAGCATTTTATCATTTTGGTTACTACATTCTGACCATTATATTACTGATCCCAATTATGTTACCCAAAATATTACCTATGTGAGGCACAATTCCTTCTCTATGTCTTAAAAAGTGAGCTGGAACTTTGCTAGTGGGCTGCATCAGCTCTTAACATGGACAATTCTGTGGACTAGCTAGCACACCCGTTCCTCTCAACAGCCCCGGTTATGACTCCAGTAGACAACAGATTCCATTTCAGGAGAATTCAGGTTCACAAACAGAACTTTCCCAACACAAAATGAAGTGGAAAAAGCCCCAGGCAACGTTAGACAAAAATGGTCTAACATTAGAAAGATTTACTTATATTTAAAGACACCTAAGCTGTACTTTTGACAACTATTCTGATGTAGGGTTAATGTGATACAGATGATAAGTATCATAATTGATATGATGCTAATATGATAGGATATTAAATATTCTGCCCTTCTGGAGATGAAGACAGAGCTGTACAAAATTACAATACATCTAAAACATTCACACAGAGGAGGAAAGCCTGYGTGCAAGTCCTCTGGAGCATCCGTGTGTTCTTCCATCTAAACTACAACAGTCCTCATGCCACCTAGGAATGTATTTTAACTGAACTTAAATGGTAGAATAAATGAATTATATAATTTGTTATTTTTWATAATTTTTCATTATTTCATTATTATTGGTTCATAAATATTTGAAGCACTAACCTTCATGTCTTGATCTGTGATCAGACTGAGCTTTCAACACCCTGGGCAGGAAGAAGATAAAACCATTTCAACCTCATCACAGAAAATAACAGATTTCCAAAGASAAATGCAAACACATACGAATGATTGCAAATAACAACACAGCTACTCTAAAGTACAAACTAAGAAAACTAAAAACTGAAAAGGGGTTCACTTCTTGCAGCGTTCAAAATCAACAATCATAGAAAATTTTTACATCAGTTCCCTCTTTTACATTTTTACTGACTGTAAGCTAACAAGAAGAAAAAAGAAAAGCCCATAGCCACCAATATCTTTATTTTAAGCCAAGAGAAGATGGAACCAAGATAGATCCATAAAGCAGAAAGACAGCACTCTGGATATTGAACAACACTTTAAACAAGTTTTCAGATTTTAAACATGTAATTTACTTATTTTCTTTTTGCATGATTRCTTTTTTCAGGATGGAGAAATGGCAAACAGGACAAAACCCAAAATCACTTATATCCAGTTTCAGAATGTAAAATTTTGCTTTCAATACACACACATCCACCAAAACAATGTGGAATTTCAGAAGTAACAATGGTGAATAATAAATCCAAACACATCAACAAGCTTTTGCTTATAAACAAATTTATTTTCATTATTTTTTCCTTTATATTGTCTTGAATTGCTTTAATTGCTACAGAGATAACAAAGATATAGTTTTGTCATGGGAATTTATATGAGAGCATAACTTGCATTTTTGTTGTTCAACATCATATAGCCTGAAGAATAACTGTTTAAACAGCAAGGGAATCCAAGTTAATTACTTATTTTACACATACTCCTTTTATTAATTTCTGATAATCTTTTTAGTTTAGTGATTTTCTATTAGTGATGACTTCTGGGAGATCTCTCTACTATTTATATTGGTAGGTTACTACAAAAAAGAAGAGGTCTATAGGTTTTTATATAGGTCTAATGCCTACCGAAATTAAATTTCTGACATGGTACTCATGGCAATTAAAAGAGAAAGAGCTATTCACCTCATTTAAAACGCTCAAAGAAAATGCGCACAACTTATAAGCTTTATCACAAGAATAAAAAGATATTGTACCTAGGTGCCAAGTTGTCATATGTATAAGCTACTGACATAAGTCGCTGAATCAAACTGGTTCCCTGGACAAGTACAAGAAACACCTTTAAAAATTGAAGTCAAAAGAAAAAAAACAGTTAATATAACAACAAGCTTTTTTTATTTATTTTTAAATTATTCACACTGTATGAATCTATAGCACACCCACCTGTGTAGAGGGAGGAGGAGCAAAATAAAAATTATACCAATTCCACAATTAAAAGTTATGATTTTTACGAAAGCATGTCTAAAATCCTATCATTTGTTGTGTAAGTTTAGCTGCTAAAATTTTATTCTGCTACTCTTTGAAAGATAGTTTAACTGGAAAGAAAAAAAAATAAAAGTCTATTCATTTCTTTCACTAGCAGAAAATTGGTTCTGAAAATATAACCTTAACTTTCTTTTAGATGGTGTGAGGGAGAAGGCTGAGTGTGTTGTGTGACAGTGAAGTTGTATATGAAAATTTATCTGGTTTCTTTGTGATCAACATGTTTTATTAACTATCCATTCGTCTAAATTATTGATCTTTACAGAATCTTCGATAGGCTACAAACTATCAAATGCTGAAGAAAGTCTTTTAAGTTATTTAGCTRGTAATTCTCCTAATTTATAGTAGCTTTTGAAGTTTAGTAATCTATTTTGTCCAATATATAATACTTACAGAAGAGCTAGAGTCTTGCCATGCAAATAAGTTTTTAAGATTACAAATGTGAAGTTTGGTTTTAGCTCAGAGTTCAGATCTACCCTTTCTGGTGAACACAATAGTTCCTGTGCTCAAAACAAATCTATTTTCAGTGAACATATTTCTAGCCATCCAAAGCCAAAAGGCTATGGATGAAATATCAAACTTACTACTCTGCCTCAGGAAATTAGCATGCAAAACTCTGGGAGGAAAGTTTACAGGGTTGAATAAATGTACCATACACTCACTCAGATATTCTTAGTAAAATACTTCATCCTTAGGTGTTCACTAAAGAAATCTAAGACGGATTTGGTGAAGATGGTGACAGTATATAATTACAGATTTCCAATAATAGAGGAGTTACTAGTTTGGAAAACAAGTGTTAGAAATAGGGATAAAGGTCTGTAACTATGAAATTTCTATTCCATAGAGAGTTTTAATTCCTATTTACACTGCTTCTTTGGAGAAATAACCAAAAAAGCATTATGGCTGCAGCTTCTAAATCTGGTAGGCTTAAAGCAATTAAAGTCATATAACTCTTTGAAGAATAACTTGTAGGATTTAAATTAATATTTTTTCACTGTGTAACTGAACGAAAGGCTTCCCACAACAAATGACCCAACATTCTAAAGTTCACAAAATATATATACTGTTTATCTCTTACCTCTGTTAAACGAGGTATATGAAGGCCCTTCGCATGATCACTTGCAGTCTTCCTTGATTTGCCTGGCCACGTTCTTTTTCTATGACTCTCTGCCACACCAGACCAGGCAAAGACATCATGGTAAGCTAAATCCAGATCCGAAGGATCAACTGCAAACTGGCATATCAGTTTCAGCAAGCATGCAAGACAATCTAGCTGCCACTGTAAATAAGAAAAAATACATATTTTTTTCCTTTTTTCAGAGATTAATTTTACAAATAAGTCTTTGTCTACAATGGAATCTGAAATAACTTTTACATATACATGACTAAGAGGTTCAAAAATTTCAATTATTAATTAGTAAACGTCTAAGACTTGAAAGTATAAAAGAGGAAAAATTTATCCAATAAAAAATGGGAATTTAGCTCAAACTAGTAACGACAAAATGTTGAAAAGAAATAAATTAGAACAAAATACTAATGTTCATTATTAGGAAATTTCTTTAATAACCCCAAGGTCACGATGATAGCAGTTTGTCTCAATRCCAGCAAGTGGAAACACTCCAAGAAATGATGTTTCCTGACCTCTTCAGAGAGGAAGATAATTAACAGGTTACTGCTTTTAAAACATATTATAACAAACGCTTCCAAATTAGCAACCTTCCCTAAAACAAAAACAGCAAAAGTGATATAATCCCTTTTTATTTAGCAGATTTTGATCTTTTTTCCTTTAACTTTTTAAGCATATCAGATCAGCATTATTGAAAATATTCTCAAAGTTGGACCTTAGGCTTTTTCTTTAGGATGTGCCCAAAGGTGTACTTTATTTCATTCTAAAAACAAAGAATCTTTAAGACTAGATTAAAAAAAAAAGCAAAAGAAAAATACCAAGAAAAAAACTACGAAGTCTTAAAATGAAATACAAAMCATCTAAAGTATAAAGTTTTTAAAGTAAAAAATTATTTCAGGAAATCCTCATTTCCTTTGTCTGTGGAGATTCTGTGGTTACTGACATTACGTTCTATAGCACTTCTATAAGGATGCCAAAAATACTTAACTAAAAAACAGTAATTCACAGTTGTGATCAGTTGGGCCTTTTGTCGTTTATTTGCAAATAYCGATACTTTTCACTTACTATAGAAAATAAAACGAAGACCGATAGTAATGGAAGTCTTTACAAATCACAGCTATGTTATTCCAGAAAAAAAAGGGTGAATTACTTACCACAGTCCATGATTCCTGTTCTTTAGGTTCTAAGATTCCCGAATTAAAAATTTCTAGTAACTGTTGGAGCCCTCCAGCAGCAACAAACTGTAAGTATATTATGGAGTCAATGTGAGAAAAAAAAAAAGTAGATATATAAACATCACTGATTTTAGTTAGATATTAATCTGACATTCATTACCAAAAAAAATTATAAACTATGCATCCTGCTTTTTTATGAAGGAAAAAAGGCGATATTATATGCAAAATATGTATATATTACAATAAATCTACCAGCCAAATAGCACAGAAAACCCATGAAAAACTTCACAATGCTACACGTATATTTGAGAGCAAAAGCTCTTAGATGTAGGATTTTTAAATGGACTTTCCCTTTATACAATTACAAAAAAACTATATTACATGTTACATAATACTATAGAAATGCAAACCTTGCAGCTCCACGTGTTTTTACTGTTTTCTATCTGATCTTCACTTGAATCATCTGAATCTGGGTAAAGATCACTGTAACTCCCCTAAAGATAATCAGGAAGAAACAATTATAGAAGAATTAAATGCAAGAAACAAAAATACAAGAATTAAAATACAATAAAACAATTCATCAATATATACTTTGATTCACAGAGGAAAAGGCATATTCTGTGCAATAAACCCTATTACCGTAGATTCACGCCTTATTCTTCTATTGGGCTTTCCCAGAGCTTCGATAATCTCAAGCGCATACAAAAGTTTATGGGCACTTTTTATTCGCAGAAGATCCTTCCAACTAAAGCCATCATTACCCTAAAAAAATGAAGAGAACGAACATTTAAACAACTACACCTAATGTTAACCTATCTAGAAAAAAAACCCAAATTATTTGTTTCATTTATTGTTTGAAATTAGACAACTTCAAGCACATTTCTATTCATGAATATCAATCTGAATAATGTAAAAACTGCAGTGCAGTTTCAAAAATATTCCATTTAATGGCTTTTTTTCCATTCCTTTCCATCTAAATTATTTTTTCCATTTAATTGTGTGCACCTTAAAAGTTTAAGGTTTACATAATTTTGAGGAAGCAGCAGACAAATAGGCCCTGAACTAGAATTTCCACCTAAACTAGGATGTGTGTGTCTATAAAGAACCATAGTACATAATCTCAAGAATTTAAAACATGCATATTTTTAATCAACTGGGTAAGGAAACCACTAGATAAATGTCATGTTTTGAACTTGCAGGAAAAAAAAAGCAGCAGCATATGGTAAGTACTACTAACACAACAGCTATAATATTAATGCAAAGTTATAAGTTTGAAATGCTTTAAACACAAAGGTTACAGATGAATAAACTGCTGCAATTGAAACAAAAAGATAATTAGCATTTGCTAATTGTTTCATTCATAGAGTTCTTTTAAAAAAAAAATCATAAAAACAAACATTGAAACTAAACTGACATACCTGCTCATCCGAAATACTTTGGAATGCCTGTAACATATTAGGGCACGTTGGTAGAAGCATTAACAGTTCCCAGACACGTCTTGATAAGTTTTCTGCATGGAGGTGGAGCTCTTCACATCTTGCACTCTGACAAACCATAAAACAAATATTCTTATCAAAAATTTATCCTGTGCAAAGAGCTTCACTAAGATTTCAGAGACCAAAAATACTTATTCTTAATTAACAAGTTAATATGCTAGTGATCATTTAACTTCACACAAACTAGTGATAGCATATAAGTGATAAACAGTAAATTATTACAATAACACCTTTGCAAACACTTCCTTAAGCCAGCCAATTGCCAAAGTTAATCAGTATATCTATTTAAATAACTGATATCCTTTGTACAGAATTATTTTTCTAGAGCATCTGAACCTTCAGGACATTATAAGTGATATCACAACAGTGCAATTATGAAAAGCTGCATATCATAATGATACTGTATGTGAAATTAAAAACACAAAATTATCTGTCACTTGGATATGAAACACAAGAAATAGGCTTGATAAGAAAAACAGATTCAATTAGATCGCTACGTAATTATTCTGAAAAAAATTACTTTAAATTACCTCACTGTCTTCCATAACCATTTCTCCAGAAGGAGGCTTAAAAGAGGCAAGCATCTCTAGCAAATCAAAAAGGGTTGTAAGATGAGGTTCTTGCAAAAGTAAAAGCATTGGAATGTTGTCCTTTTGAGGGGGAGGTAGACAAGATGCTGGAAGCTGAACACCTTCACCTTTGCGTTCTCTCCTTGGTGCACCCAGTGATACAAACACCATCTAGAGAGAGAGAGAAACAACAGAAAGGAGAGAGAATTTTCACATAGCATATTCTGAAATCATGCACATGATTTCAATAGGATCAGAATTCAGAACTTGAAGTTATGCAAACAACACTGTTGTCAAACTCTGCCAGAGGAGCACTTCGAGTGACTGTTATAATTCAAGGCTGGCTCTGCTTTCACCTAAGGTAGCTATGGTGTGGTCGGTGAAATGAAATGAAAAAACAAATCATTTGTTTCTTGAGTTTTCAAATCTACTAACTTAAATTACTTTTCAATTAAACTACTTTTTAAATTATTATTTTCAGGGCTGTCAACAGCATCAAGGACTAAGAGTAAATATTCCTCTGAGTTTCAAAGTAGATGCTGGACAGCATGAAACAATCAGATTCAGAAAGCTATGTGATACTTCCCTCCCCAGAAATGTACCTTCCACAAYCACCTGCTTTTATCAGTCGCACAAGACAAAAGCAGCATACCAAACAATGGCTGTTATGTACGTATTGATAATACCTGCATATCCTTAAAACCCAGCTCATGAAGAGTTTTTTCATCATAATCAGTTGTCAGCTCGTGTCCAGATGAAATCATTCTCACAGGTCCCATGAGGCCACCTACAATAAGAATATATTTCAGTACGTTTCTGGAATCGTAGTTTCATTTTCTAATGAAAGTCTTATGACTTACTTTAAAATAAGTATAATCTTCAGCAGCAATTAAAATCAGGCAAAAATTTAAGACAATTTACTTACAGAAACTGGCTATTAAATTAAACCAAAACTCCTTGCTGGCCTGTGGACATACCCTTTTAAATGATGGCTTACTCAGTCTTGTAATGAAAAGTATTCCCAATACAGATTAAAACCTGCTTTTGATGCTTTGTAGTAAGAGTTGCACTAGGTCAATGAAGAAGGGAAACGACTGTGTTCATCAGCAAAATCTCTTTGTATTGCACAACTGCGATAAAATCAGTGAAGGAAAGGAAGCAAAATTCAATCTTACTCAAATGCAAAGTTGACCTGAAGATGACATACAGTTTAGAAAAGAAAAAAATGAGAACGCTTTCAAAAGAATTCTAAAAGCTGAAGAAGAAATGTGAGCAACTAGAAGATTATGAATTTAACTGGTGCAGACAATCATGGGTCGACCAAGAATTATACTATACAGAGAATCTGTGCCTCAGAATCCTCACAGAGCCACCTATTCAGGGCACAGAGTTATCTGTCGTCAATTAAAAACTGCTATGCTTTTCACCCACTGTTCTTATTAGCGTGTTCTTCTAAACATTAACCCTGGTCCCTCACACCAGCAAAACGCAACCCTTCCCTGGCATTGTGCTTTCAGGACGGTGTTTTCAGTTTGGCTTCTTTAGAAAAGCCTCCCACAGGAGTCTAGGGAAGAACCGGGCGTTCTGTAACCTGGAAATGCTTCAAAACCTTGTATTGCTCACTGATACAAACACCGGAATCAAAGAAATAGGCTGAAACCAAAAGGCTACATAGATAAAGGGAGCCTAAGCTCCATTCTTTCAGCACCGTGTCTTGCAGGCACACTAAGGCTGCTACTTCTGGTCATAGTGGAAATCCTGTCACCTGCAGCCACACAGTGACTGCTGGTGTGTGCACACAACAAATCCAAGTGAAATTTCCAAAGGCAGCAGAGATATCCCCACATGCTGACCTTTTTGAACCGGAGCAATCCAGTGAGACCCATACACAACACTGCCAGTAACCTAGACATGTCAGACAAATGCATGATCCTCAACTCCTGCCTGAACAAAATTTCTGAGAAAAAAATTCAGGAAAAAATTAAGGAAAACTGGACATACTGCCATCCTTCAAAGACATTTGTCAATTAACAATAAAGCCATGAAGTTTTTATTTGGAGTTGGGAATAATATCACATATCTATCACTCTTCTCATCTGCTCCAGCTGACTGCGCTGAAACATATCAATGCAGTGAAGCAAAATAGCTTCAAACAGATAAAGGGAGGCAAATACATCATCCATAAAATAATACAGAAATCTCCTCTCCTCTGCACTTCAGCAGATAATAATAGATTATTTCTTCTTTAAAAGAACACAAGGAACAACCTAAGTGAGAAGCAGAAGAACCTCACATTCTCACATTTTTCAGAGCACTGAAGATTTCAAATGAATAACAGATGTTAACAAAGATACTGTGATCCGAAAAGAAAAAGTGGAGCCTAGCAAAAAAAAAAATTATTGCAGTGAGAGCTTAAAAGAACGTTTAATAAATGTGAGTATGTCTACTACTTAGAGATATATTCCCAAAGCTCTAGCTAGTGTGCATGCTTAGATATCCCCTTGACAGAAGGGTGATAGCAAAAACACCAGAAACGCACCCACAACTAACAAATGCTTCAAGGCTGTTTAGCCAGACTCAAGAACCTGTGGGTTGCTTTTCCACAGTAAGTTACCTCACTTTGGTACCATTTTCTTTAACATTAATTTTCAGTATACCTGACTTAGTTAGATGTGAATCACATCACTCAAGACATAACACTTCACGAATACCAGCAGCAGGAAAATGATTTCTGCCTTCAGCCCAACTCAAAATACAGCAAAATAACATTTTGCACAAAGAAGCTGGAAATGGAATAACTCTCATATAACGGTGAAAATGTAGGTCAGCTGGAGCAGTAGATGAAGCAAACAGCATAGAGAAGGGCTGCTTAACAAGAGATGAAATAAACATAAAGAAAGTAAAAAATATTTCCAAGCCTAGAAATCCAAGAGCCAAGAGCTGATACAAATATCCTTCTCTGAACCAAAAACTAAGATCAAAAAGATCTGTCTCTACAGGGAAAAGACATGAGAAAAACTTATATCTGACATCACAGGCAGAAAGATTTTAAGTTTTATTGAAATTTGATAAACTCTATTCAGGTTTCCAGCTCAGCTAATGATATAGTAGCCAAGTTCCTAACCAGGAATTGTTTTTTTGTAGATTTGCTAATACTGGCATATTAAAATGGATGTGGAAAGGGTCACTGAGACCTAAGTGTGCAGCGTGTACCTTACAGCAGAAGCCTCCTGTGATGCAGAATGACCTACGCTTTTCAGCTGCAACAGCCAATACACAGAACTACAATTCAAAGACCTTCATGTTCAGCAAAAAGCTACTAAGGTTCATGCATTTTTTTCATCTACACAGAACATTTCCCAAGACAAGACATAACTGAGTAAAACTGCAGGTTTTAAGCTTTAAATTCAGTTTCAAATGTATCTTCTCAAATTAGTAGTAGCTGAAAAGGGAAATTCACATGACAAGATTATGTAAAATACACATGGCATGCACAGAACAGGGCAAAGACATTTCCTTAGCAGTTTGGTTAACAGAGATTTACCCATTAACAGGATTTTACATATTTAACAGTTAATACAGGTACAAGTTGCAACAGGAAGAACTCAGAAACAATAACATAGATTTTAAACCTAGAAAAGGACACAGGTAACATCACTGAAGTTCTGAACTGCCTTACTGCCCAGTTTCTTAAATCTTGGTTGCAACAAAAATAAAGATTTCTGCTATGAGGCACATTTGGTGGAAAACAAGGTAAGTTTCTTTACTAAGTTTCTGAAGAGCAGTTGGAAAGAAGGCTGAAAACATATATCTAAGATTCAAAGTTTGGTTCACTGATAATGTGTCTCATAAAAACATTCGGTTTTGTTCAAGTTTTTCACCCATGAACACACAAAGCGAGATAAATGTTTCCGCATTTACTAATGTTTGGCAGAGTTAGAAAAGATATTCATGGATAGAAGTCGTTCAGATAATATGTCCCGAAATACTACTTCTTGCTCATAATAAGGAAAAAAGAAAACAAGAACACATTGAGTAGAAAATAATTCAGAAAAAAATCATTGTGAACAGCCAGAACTGATAAGGAATAAAATCTAAAAGAATTAGGAGGTAAGGATCCTATCATAGACAGCACTGAGAAGATTCAGAAAATATTCTTCTCCTAAAGGATAAAGCACAGATTTCCCTTCACTCAAAAATGTGTAAAGAAAAGGAATCACAAAAGGAAGCATTTGCATCACACTACAGGGGAACAATGATGCTCTCAGAAACACAGTAACATCCCAAATTAAGACCATTAAAATAGGACGAATGATCATTTTTTGCACTAGGATAATCATAAATTACAGAACAGTTGCAGGAATAAGGGATTGGAATACATTGGATTGGAATTGGAATTCCAATTGGAATACATACATATATGCATAGTACTAAATAATCATTATTTATTTATTATAAATGCATTTATTTATTATATATGTATGCAATTATATAAGAAAATTAATTGATTTCAGAAATTTTACAAAATACAGTATGTGATTCCATGGAACAGAATCTGTAAGTTAACAAAAAAAAATATAATTAAAACAGCAATGAAAACCTTTCCTTTTGGGGGAAAATCTTGCAATTACAAGAAATCAAATCACTAGCTGAATTAGAAGGAGCTGTGCTAGACCTATGCTTTGTCTGTAATTCACAATAAGTAACAACAATTAAAAAAACAATGCTGTTCATTAAAAGTCAGTGTGTGCCCTCAGCAGTACACAAAATAGAGGTGTRAGTATTACAGCTTACCAGGGAAGTCTCCTTTGCGGCTGCTTTGGCCAAACTCCTGAAGCTGTGCTTGTTGATTTATCTGTTCCTTCTGCAAGTTTTCATACCAATGGGTAACTTCTGCCCGTAGATCAGCCACCTGATCACTAGGATACATTTCAATAGTCATCTGAAATAAAACATATGTTTTATTTTTCAAAGTGTGTGATGGCTTTATCGACATTTAAKAACTGAAGAAGTAAATCTATCGAAAAACAAAAGTGCTTTTAATTACCTTGTCAGGAAGTCCAGCTGGCTGACATACAATTCTTAGTGGTAATGACTGCTTGTCACTCAGTGCCTTTAGGTGACTGCTGATACCAGTGCCTTCGATCTGCCACTGTCTCAGATGATAGGCAAACCTTAAGGAGCAGGTAAAAACATTGGCAAAGTATTTTTGTCAAAGCTAATTTAACCAAACATTTGATAAACAGTGAGATGACAAACAAAACTTGCACCTCTATTCTCTAGTTCTGCCAAATGAGGAGAAAACAATTCCATTTTCAAGAACAGAAAAGAAAAAGTATGAAAAAGTATGTTTGGTGAGGGCAGAGGAGACTTAAACCATACACATCTTTCTATTTCCAAAGACGAGAGCCATCTCTTGTAATTGTTTAAACCTAATTTATTGCCTTTCAGAATCATCTGTTATCTTACTTTACATAAAGAAAATCAAGAAAACTATTATTCAAATTAATATTATCCTGTTTCATTCATCATTATGAAAGATCAACATAAATTCTGTATCCCAAAATATCATTGGAGCTATTTACCTTCTCCTAAAAGCTTCCAGGTGTGTCTTCAGCATTAAGAGACCTCTTTCAATAATTGTGAGACTTGAGTGAGAGTCTTGCTCAAGATTACTAGAAGCTATCATCAGACTCTCCATACACTTACTAATAAATTCTTGTTCTTTTTCAAGACCAGTTTTACCTGCAATATCAATGTTAGAACAGAYTGGGTAAACTCAAACTTGAGGCGGTTTCTTTTATACTAAGATAAAAGAGAGATATTAGAAACTCAGATATTCTTTAAAACATTTGAAACACAGAACAAAATATCTTACAATTAGTAAGAACAAAAATCTTACCATTAATATAATAAGAGTTGATGTACTGGATAGCTGCTCGACTGACATCACCCGACTGTGCTCTTAGAGCAATACCCCAGAATTGGTCCATGCCACACAACTGTTGTGACAAAAGGAAAAGAAACAAAAAGAAACAAAACATTGCCTCATTATTTTACTGAGAGTGGTGCCTTTCTGATCTGAGACACTTTATTTGCTGCTTTGTGCAATTATTAAAAATACCTCGTTCTCTCAGGCTCTCCCCACCGCACTACATCAATTACTGTAACATTCTAACTTTGACAGAGGCATTTTTATATTTGAAGCATAAGGAGAACTGGTTGAATTCAAAATGGAGTTTTAATTTTTCACAAATAGGACTATTTTTAAATGAAATGTTAAAACCATAGCTATTATTGGTATCCATTAAAAGAACAGAAATTTCCATTAAAAAAATCCCAATTAAATATATTAAATATGCCAAACTGTGTGAAGATTTGAATTAGTCTTAGTATTACTTATAAAAGAGGTTACAAATCTATTTTTCAAACACAACAGCTAACATGTAACAGCTAACAGTTCAGTTATGCCAACAGTATGATAAATTGCATAAAAATGCACAGGAAACAGTTATCACTTTTGAGTGTGTGTTCTCCTACCTCTTTTTTCATCCCAATAGACAAGAACACATGTTTAACATCATGAAAAAAACCAAACTCRTTAACCTCTTTTATTTGCACTTCCCTGTACCACATTTGCAACTTTKGAAAGGTGGTTCCAGGATTCCCCTCAGGGTAGTGAGCTGTCCTGCCTCCACCACTACAGGGCTGTGACATCAATATTTCAAACCAGCAAGCCAAAATACGCTCAYGGTAAATGTTTTTGCAAATAAGTAATTTAATTTCCCTTCTCCTCACTCCGTTTGGAAAGGAGAAAAATATGAGCACAAAAAAAGGCTTACCTCTGAGTTTGAGCCACCATCATATGCACTTGTAGCCAGCCGAGCCAAATTACACAAATGTTGGAAGAGGTTTAGACCAGTCATACTGATAGTTTCAGGTTTTAGCTGTGGCATCTAAATAAAATAAAGATACCTTAGCATGAAAAGAAAATTTTTAAGTGAAACACTGGAGAGCAATTATGTTGATGAAAATTTATTTCATTAGTGAAGAATTTCATTGTTACTACAAATACAATTCAAATACAGGAAATAACTGTTTTTGCCAAAGAGCAGACTTTCAATTTTATATATAGTCTAAATTATCAAAGCTCTGCTGTTGCATGTTTCAGTTTATATTTTCAGTGGAAATAAGGATGAGATTTATATACATTCCCAGAAATGAAAAAGTCTGTTTTTTTTTTCCTCAAGTCATCTAGTGTGCATCAGAAGGGAAAATGCAAGGTTTTTTTATAGTGCTACATAGCTTCAAATAAAGCACACAGGCTAATTGCAAARAAATGGTTGAGTAAATACTAGTATGAAAAGAATTTCTGCCAATTTCTATCGTCCATAAAAACAGAGAAAAATCCTTTCATTACAAGTAGGGTCCTCCTAGCCTGGTATAAAGAGATATACTTCACAGATATAACTTAAAATACATTGAAATACTGCAGATATAGAAAGAAATGATTTTATTAGAATTAATAATGTTGCAATAAGGTTACCTACCTTTTCTAGGAAAAGATGCTTGTAGGTCTCCATACCCATAGCATGCTGATCTTTACTTCGGACTTGATTTAAGAACCAGTGTAGTGCATCATCATAACATTCAGAATCCTCTACTAAACAATGCCATAATATGTCCACTTGTTCTAAACTTAACCCTAAAATTGGAAAAATATTTTAAATTACTCCTTTCTAACATAAAACATCATCCTACATAAGCACAAATACACTGAAAAAAATCACAAGATGTTTTGCCAATACAAAAAGCAAGAGCAGAGGAAAAACACGCTACTCGCCAATTGGGAATCCTATGCCTTTCCCCTTTTAGAGCTGGCAGCCTGCTACAACATTTGGTTCCAAGTGCTGTCAGTTTTCACAACCCAGTGAGTAGTGTGGGCTGACCTAGGAACTTGTACCGAACAGCAGGTCACTTCTCTCTTTATAAATAACCATCAGTTACAGGCTAAACTCCAACTTTCAGCTGGTTTTAGACTGTAGCTGTAAACAGTTTCTCCCTACCTATTGTACTGTTCCTCCTTTCAAGAAAGCAGTGGACTCAGTTTGTGGGCAGACATTTATGATCCAGTAAAGCTGCAAATTTCTTCAAGAAGCACTGAGGCTATTATTTCAACAGTAACAAGTATGGTACTATAAGGTATTTCATCCTGGCTACAAATATTCTCGTTCCTTGGTTGTCTGGACTGACATGACCAGAAGGGCAAGACCTAGATAYTATGTCAACTTCGCTAAGATAATGGGAACACCTAGATGACTTTTCCTCTGTGTTATGATAAATTTGCTCCAACACAAGGTGGTACAAGTTTAGAAGTACTTGAGGAGAGAGTGACCAAAGGGAGAGGTTCATGGAAGGGGAAAACACCAAGGGTTACTAAACACAGAAAATTACATCCAGCTGACAAAATCCCAAGCTCAAACCAGCTAGTGGCTGGCAAAGYATGAGGTAAAAAAGCATGCTTGCCCTGGCCTTACTAAGCACCTGCTTACATCTACCAGCTTTAYTCCTTCCTCTGCTCCCCTCCTGCATCCCTAACAAATCCACCCTGTCTCACAGTCCTCCCTTGAAAAAGTGTGSGGCAAGAAGTGGTCAAGGAATAGGCTATCAGTTAGAAACCATACAACAATATGGTAAAATTAATGGAAAAAAGATTAGAGTAACTGAACATCAAAAGATTAAAAAATAGGGATCTGATAAGTGAGATAGAACAGAGCACCTCTGACAGCATCCACCAGTCCTTGAGGGCATCTACAGAGCTTGCAGATGCCCTCCTTAAGTGTTTTAAGTGCTCTGAAAACACAGAAAAAGAAATAGATCCTATAATTTCTGAGATGCCCCTTAGCAAGATTCCTCCTCCTGGTGCTCTGAAGGGTCAACATGACCAGGGTCAGAATGAAATAAAGGAGAATGAGTGCTGTRACCTTGGACTATTGGAGAAAGGACACAGTTAGACAAGCCTGTGGTCAGACCTCATACGGCTACTCTTRCACACTGTTCTAACCTGAAAGAAAGAACACTATAGCTAGTCTCTGAACTTTCGAGCACATCATTTGAAGTGTGTGAGATCTACACTGGACTGACAACTACATTACCCTTCTTTTCCTCTGAACTTGATGAGAAGCCTGCTGATAAGCAGGGTAACTCCTCGAATTAACAACCTGTCTATCTGCAGTCTCTGTTTGAACATGAGCTTCTTTGACACATATATACATACTATAAATACTAACTACCCTCCACAGATAAACATCAATCCAATTTCTCTATGGTTATCTCGCTCTGTGAAAGCTCCATTAAAATACCAGCAAGAGATGATAGCAAGCTGCCCTCTCAACTTTGCTGCTGCTGATAGTGGACATGCACTTGAGATCTGCAGTCTGAACTTGAAAAGGGRCAATATGCCTTCTCTGGCAACCACTAACAAGAGGAGAAATTGGAAAACGTTAGGATCGCCRATTCTTTTCTTTAATGACACAATTCATCAAATACCTTTATTATCAATAATATCCCTAACTGAGCACAGCAGAGAGAAGCACTTGACAGACTTAACAGYTTGTTTAGTGGTTTCTGCAGCTGGACCTTCAGAAGAAGTTCAGAAGCTCTGCTGAAAGTAGCATGGGACTGATAAGCAATGGTGCAGATGTGCCACAAGGCAAGAGAGGGGACATGGACCTTCAGGTTGGGGCTACAGGGCGGAATGCTGGTGCCTCTCCTGGAGGCTGAGTGGCCAGGTAGAGGGTATCCTTGCCTGCAGGAGTCATGTCCTGCTTGAGGAAATATGTGACTAAGTTAAGGAGCTACAGGAGAAAGTGATAAACTGCAGGGTCCAGCAGAGGCCACCAAGGCAGTGCACTTGTCCTGCGAGCAGAAGCTCTGGAAGATGGGCCTGTTCAGCTTGGAGAACAARGGATCCAAGGGAACCCAACAGCCACCCCTCAGTTCCTACAGGAGGTTAGCAAGAACACAGAGCCAGGTTCTTCACAGTGGCACATGGAAGGAGGGCAAGAGACTGAGTGAATGCACTGAAACAAGGTGAGATTGGACAGGATGTAAGGAAACACTTTTTTCACCATAAAAAAGTCAAACAGTGGAAGAGGCTTCTCTAGAGAGGCTGTGCAATTTCTATCCTTGGAGATATTTAAGATCCCACTGTATAAAGCCCCGAGCAATCTGATCTCATGGTGAATCTGCTTTGAATCAGAAGTCAAACTAAATATTTCTCAAGGTCCCTTCTGACCCAAATTTTAATTCCATCTAATTACTTCTCGCACTCCAATATTTTGGGGTAAGGTTATTCTGAATGCTGTGAAAAACACCTGAAGAATTAACAAGAGGCATTTATTTTTCATCTCTGGCCTAACTTTCGTATTTGAAATCCAAATTAACTTGAGGAGAGTTGCTACCTTCTACACAATAAAATGTCTTCCTAGCAGGGTTATCTTCTTAAGACAAAGGTATTCTGAATAACCATGTCATACAGGTAGATGTGCTAACTTTTCAGATACACATCTGTAGATATCCACTTTCTTAAAATGACTTCCAAAATTTCCACAGACTAGCATATCTCATTTCACTAGCTATTTTTCTTTCCTTTCTGAAACACATCTGTCCTGTACAGATAATTACTACATAGAGACATATATTACAGATATATAGTTAATATACAGGGTATATTAACTTCACCACGGTGATTACTATAATCTCAGTATTTAAAAAACTGAAGGAAAGAAAACATAACAACTTGTTCTTACAAAACTGAAATACGCCTTAAACTCCAGTGATGGCTCTGTGCTTAAATCATAGTATCTTCCTTTTGAAACAGTATCACAGATTATTTAAAATTTTATCCTTTAAAAGCAGCAYATTTGTTAAAAAAAAAAACAATAAAAGGCATAGTTACTAAAATGTATGGGCACCTTACTATGAGGTGTTTCTCTGTTCAGATAACCTCAAGTACTTACTGAAATGATCTGGTGATCCTAGAGTTGAAAACACACATGTCAGGAACTGAAGACGAACCTGAACTTCTGCACTGTGGCTATATCTAAAATTTAAATTTGTTTTAATAAGAAATTCACGGAATTTATTCAGAAATGTTGAATTACTTATTGTTATAACGTTTCTTTACTCATATGCAAGCCCCTTAAAAGCTGAATTTTTTTTTCTAAATTTTTTGTTTTGTTCAGTATATAATCTGAACAACAGTTTTATAAATTATAAAAGCACACCAAACGAGTGAAAAAAAGATATTAGTCATTAACTAGACAACTTTTTTTTTAAGCATACAGTCTGATTCTAMTACATCATTTTGTCATTATCACCTTGCAGGATCTGACCTTGTTTTTTTCCTTCACTTATACAATGTTCTGAATTTCTGATCACAGCAAATGCATAGCCTTTACAAAAATATTTTCATAAACTATGTAGAAATTAACTTTACTCACATTTATAAGGTGAAGTAGTTTCTCATTACAGGGAAGTAAATAGTGAATATAAATATGGTGAAGTAAATATCTGGCCCATAAATAGCAACATTWTTTTTCAATTGTGGATGCCCATAGTTATGTAATGACTTTGACGACTGTCAAAATATAAGTATTCTGTCCCCTTGATTGGGGAGCTAGAAATGGTGTCACATGTGTATATATAATTAACTACAGACATGCAGAATGCACAGAAAAATGTGCTATATAGAAAAACTACCTTTAAAAGCTATCAGATTCTAAAGTAGAAACATCTGAATAGTTTTATGGTGCTACATCACTTAGACTGATGTGTATATATAATATCTTCATGCTTTATTCATAAATATTGAACACAATGTCTAACAAAAATGTATACTTATATAGACCYTTCTCCCTCTATACATGTAACATCACTATATAAATTTTACTTAAAAAATAAAACTTTGAAAAAAAGAACTAGAGCACCATGTGGGGGGGAACACACAGAAAAGAAATATGTTTAAAATATATCAACTTCTCAAAACTAGTTTTGTAAACTATACTTACAATGCATGTTTATGTCGTCCTTCTCTCACTGCCTGAATGTAGTGTACCAAATTATCAAAGAAAAGTTTCATCATGTTAAGTTCTTTTTCTGCCCACCTGTGCCAATTCAAAGACAGAAAGTATTAGCGTTTGATCAAAGTCACAGAAGCTACAGAAATTAGACAGTTACAGGCAGATGCATAATCATAAGTGAACATTACATTTTCCATCCACTATAGGTTCAAGATTATTTTCAAAAACAGTACTTGCTTCTTCCTGTTCATTCATATGGCTCCATAACAGACATTTTCAGACACAGAATTAACAGAGAGCATTCACTTTGAAGCCCACAAAAATTGTTCTAAAGGCCATTAAGTCACCAAAGGTCTAAGCCAAAACTCTGAACTTTAAATGTGCCGAGTTCAGAGTTTTGGCTTAGATCTTAGAACCCCATGTCAAAAAAGGCCAAAAAACACAAGACAGATTGCTGATAATCACTGTAATCAATCTTTCTCTTGAAGTCCTTGCAATCCTCACTCTACAGTTAGATCAGCTAACTACACAGCTTTTTACAGTAAGTAGAATACTGTGTTACATTGTTTTACTTTTCAAAGTTTTACACACTATAGAAGCTTTTTATTATTTTATTTTTATTATTTTTATTATTACTGAGAAGCATTTGATAGGCAACCAGGACAGAAAGACAAAGCACCAAGTTATTACAGCTTTTAAAAATAAACCATTACTGGATGTGTAGTATTTTCTGAGAAGTTCTTTGGGGAAGATTTAAAACATATAAATACGTCTTCATCTCAGTTATGATAATATATGTACTGTATTACACTATACATATGTATAGCATTGTATTATGAAGAAGACCAGGTCTGAGTGATCAGATAAGGCCATACAACTAGACCAGACAGCAGGCAGATGATAACAACTTTAAGATATCCACCTGGACTACAACAGAGGAGCAAAGCTCTTAAAACTGCATCACTTATTTTGTTTTCATGTGTATGTGTGGGGATTACTTACATTGTTATCCAATGTGTATCATAACTGCTCCCAAATTGTTGAAACGTACCAAACAGCTTTGGAAGAAGACGAAGGGAAACTACTACTGATCTAAAGGAGAAAGAGAGAATTACTACCACATGACTCTTACGAAAATAGAAATAAATTTAAAAATTATTTTGGGAAGTTCATGTTCAATGAGCAAATACATTAAATAAATCCACTGGAGATATCTGTGTGAAGTTGAGCTTCACATGCAGCTATTACGTTCTGGTTTACAGATACTTCAATTTCTTTGTATATAATGCCTTGCACACATGGCTGAGAGAAATGTATAAAAATAAAACAGTACTCAGTTTTGCTTATACAAAAAAAAAAAGCAAAGATAAGCTTCTGAACTTCATAAAACTTATCTTTTGAAATTTCAGCAAAATGAGTACAGTTTTTCTATGAACAGATGAGATGCAGAGCAGAAAAAAATCTGCTTCAAAATGTTGATGTACACACAGGTGGGTGTTTTCTGTAAGACTACTATCTAYAAAAAAATCAAGAACTGCATAAAAGACATGAACTTTCACGTTGGTGATATGTATCTTCACATTTCTCATTAATTTCAAATAACAGATTGGTATACTGGTACCCTATCCACAAATACATTTGTCAGCAAAAAAGTAACAGCATAAGAAACACTGCATGTACTGCTTCTCAACAGCTGGTTGTTTTTATCAATAAAATTAGCATTCACTTTTTCCAGTCTTCAAAGAGTACAATCTCAGTGCCYTGGCTCTATTAAAACAACAGCCTTAGGTCAAGACATTACTTCTTCCTCCAGCTGCTACTTCCTAGAAATTAAATCCCACAACAGATTTGATGGGAAAGAACTTGTCTGTTCCTAAGCCACTTAAATGTAAAGTCTAAAAATTCAGTTCTAACTGCTAACATTAAAGCACCAGACTTYGCATTCAATTGGCTAAGATGTGGGCCAGATTTTACCAACCAGCAAGGATAAATGCAACAAGATGAGATATTCAGGGCACTCACAGAAAAGAACAATGGAACATGAGACATTCATAACAGTTTTTGAACTGTTTTTATCTTTACTTTTGTCTTTTTTAACTTGTCTTWCAGTAAAATTAACCAGTATATTCAACTCATCTTTCCTATATGTTGAAAGAAATAAACGCAAAAACACATAACTTATGATGTAAGTTACCTGTTGTTTGCTAAATTTTCTAAGCAGCCTTCAATAAATCTCATTCGAATCTGTCTGTCAGTGAACCAGCATACTAAAGAACAGAGCAGCTTCTCTGCTTCATTTATTAATCCTTCAGAGAGATGAATCTACAGCAAGTAGAAAGACGGGTCAATGAATAGCATATATTTATTTTCTTTTAAAAAATATTATTTTTTGGTATTCAACTTACTGCATCTTCATCCTGGACCAGATCCCACAAAAGGGTATTTCCTTTCTTACAAACATTATCCAAATTAATGTCCGTCACCGCATTGCTATTATATTGATGCTTATGAACTGCTGGTCCTGAACAAAATATAAAGACCATTATTGAATAAATAGAAGAAACTATCTAATCTGAACATTACTCCCCCAAATCATGAACAATCAGGTTCTTTATTTGTAAACTTGGTTGTTTTAAGGTGAAAACAGTAGCAATATAATGATAACCTTTATCCATATATGGATTCTTTAAAGAAGAAACACAAAGCATTATGACCATGCAAGAAATCAACAGGGCAATTAAACTAGTATTTACACTGTCCTTTGCTAACTGGAAGTGAAGCAAAAAACACTACTTAAGTATTATAGACGCAGATGCAATTGCTTTTTAACGTAATTAGATTTAATTGGTGATGTAATTAAAATATCTCTTAAATCTTTCTGTAGAGCTGTGATATAAAGGGAGGAAGCAAGGACAGGAAGGGAGAGAGTGAAGCAGCATGTGAGAGCAAGAGTGAGAAAGAGCAAGAAAAAGACAGAGATCATGAGAGTGAGCACAAAAGAGCAAGAAAGAGTGAGCGTGAAAGAGCCTGTGTGAACRACAGTACAGAAGAGAGCACAAGAGCAAAAGAGGTGAGAGAAGAGGGAAGACAGGAGTGAGAGAAGTAGAGAGGCAAACTTCAGTAGACTCCTCTCATGCTGAATCTTGCTATCTATCCTCCACATAACCAGAATACAAGAAGAGCAAGCACTATTTTTACACGACAGATTAAAACGCATCATTTTAGAAGGTCCTGGTGTTTTCATAAATAGTGATAGCCATTTTCTGTCTTGCATGTGGCCACAGCTGGCACCATTCATATATTTACCATTTGACACTATTTTCATAAAACATGCAAGTAGAAAGATAAAACTGCACGCGGAACACTGTAATTATTTGCATGTGCCAAACTAGGGGTATCAAAAATAATCTGCACTGAAGTCCTCTTGTTCAATAATTATGGATCCTTAGTAAAGTGTGTAATATCTATGAAAAATGTCAAGAAAGATACTGATTTTCAGCATTTTGAACTACAAAAAAAGATTTTCGTTCAAAAATTCTCCATTAAAATTTAACAAAAGGAGAGTTTTCTCTGTAAGAAATAATGCTAAGTTTTACTTTACTACCGGAGCATTTTAACAGTATTTTGAAAGTCAATATGAAGTTTTAGAGAACAAGACCCAGGTTTTGATGTTTTTACATCTCCATCTAGTACACACTTACCAACTGTACTTGTACCTAGCACTGAGAAAATCTTTTAAACTTAAATATAATGATACTAGTGCTATRGAGTAATCTCTCCAGTACACTCAAACACGTCTTAATTTTCTTTTAAATTCAACTTTGACAATGCATAAGTAATATGTATGCTGAGTTGCAGCAAACTTCTAATGTTTTCCTTTGTTTTAGTAAAACAATTAGATTTATGTTACCACAGTCTGCTAGAAAAAATGCTTAAGAGAAATCTTCAAATCACATACCACCCCRGCTTTGAAAGAATATAGAATATAGCCTGCTATTTATTTACAAACTGTTTCTCCTCTCACCTGCCTTGRGACTACTGTACAGCAATAACTAAAATCCAATTAACCAAGAGGTTTTATTAGTATATTCATTGTATAGTGTGGAAAAGGAAAAAAAATCCTTTTAGATTAGTATTATTGTCCTGAAAATGGAATTCGGTTCCAGATAATAATAAATATCAAACCTAAAGAAAAAAACAGGCATCTTATTCAAAAGGATTTCAGGAAAAGATATAAATAATTGTGGTTGTGTCTGCTGGAAGAGAGCAAACTTTATTCTGCTAGACCAGTAAAGAAAACAATTGTCAAAAAAAAAAAAAATCTCTAACCAAGCAAACCCTTCATTATATTTAGAAGTAGAATAGAAGCAATTCAGAAGCACAAAGCTACCACAATAGCATATGGAAAAATATCATAATTCTTACAAAGTGTTATGGTAGCATCTTAAACTGCATCCTGAAGTGAACTAAAAGACTTGGCAGTGTAAAATAAAACAGCATGAAAGGTAAGTTCCACCAATAAATCAAGTCATATTTTAATTTTTTTTTTCCCAAAAATTACCCTCTGTATGGTCCATTATTCATTTAACATGATTAACATATGGAATCACAATAAGATCCACACACCAGAAGTAAAGACACAGGAAAAAAAAAWCTGGCACTTCAGTATCTGTCCTTCTATTTAATAACCAATTGGAGAAAATATTTACTATGCTCTTTAGTACTCTGATTTGATTTAATTTGCAGTAAAAGTTTCTGTAGAAATGCAAAAATTATACTCTATCACACAAATATGAATCACATAGTAAAACCTACATAGTTGGAACTGTGATTTCTTCAGGCAGCTACATTACACAACTTAGCACTTATATGGTTCATTTGTGTTCCTCCTCGAAATCATTTGATTATTATAATTGTTGCAGACTATTTCAAAATTGAATAAAACTGACTGAAAAACACAGAAAATGTTTTTGATTTCTTTTCATTGCTCTTACCTTGACTAAGATGCTCGTGATAGATAGAGGCAAGGTTTGGAAGGTGCTGCTGAAGATGAGATGTTAGCTCTGCATGTGAATTAATTTGTACAAGTTCTTCTTCACAGCCAGACTCTTCCCCATCAAAATCAGCCATATTTTTCTCTGATTTTGCACTGACTTGGGAACTACTGCAACTGACATCATCTGCACTTAGCATATCATCAACCATGTGTCTGTAAAACAGGAACGTTATAATGGACAATACCACAGAAAACGTTGTTATAGGTGACTAATTTCCTAAGTGAGAGCTATAGTAGCATTTTGTAGAAGAAAACTGAAAAATCATTTTGCAGTCAACTTATTTAACACATAGCTTACTATGCAATATATAGTTACTTAAATCCAACTGAATAGACATCTCTAAAGCTAATGTCAGGATGAATCACCTGTCTGAATAGCAGACTTTTGCATGAATTGAAAAACGATTCCAGATAAATTGAAGGTCTCATTATCCTTTCTTTAATGTTAGCTGAATAACAGTGGTTTACAGTAAAACTGCAAAATAATTGTATTATTAAATACAAAAACATTTTAAAACTTTAATCAGTGTTAACAAACTGCATTACCATGCAGCTATCTGCAGTAGCTAGCATCACTGTTAGAGCAAATTGTTCTGAAGTACAACAAAACATCCATTCAGATTGATGGCCTAATCGAGTATTTTGCTATCACCTTTATTAAGGTTATCAAAACCATCAGAAGAAATATCAAATGACCTACCCATCGTGGTGATGGTGGTGGTGGTGGTGATGGTGGTGATGCTGTGGCCCAATGAACTGTCGACAATTAAATAACTCATTTCCAATAGTGTCCCCCAGGAAGTCCCCTGTATGAGTTATACAGGAGTCTTGAGACCCTTGAGAAATGTGAGCCGTGCTCATTTCCCCCGTCATATCATGTTCTGTGTCCTCAGCATGGGAACAAGCATCCAGCATCCTAATGCGATTATCCACGGGTGCCACAGAGTCAGTGTTAAAGACATGGTCCTTCCCCGCCCCATTGTTTGCACCACTCCTCTCCGATGCCCCTTGCGAATCTCCCAGACAAATGCCTGTTTGTGATTCCAGTTTCCTGCCTCGTAGATCTGTGCTCCTAGTGCTTTTTTGTGGATTATGACCCCTATCATCTTCCTCTTCGTCCTCCTCCTCTTTGAGAGCTTCAATATCAGCAATATCTTCTGACTGCACCTCACTGCCCGGACTTCCTGCAGACTGGCTTGCATGACTGGAGTTGGCTTCATTACTGGATCCATCACTGTGGCCACTGCTACTACCAGGACCACTGCTGCCATCCTCACCACTGTTTGCTGTCTCATCAGAGCTTCCCTGCATGGATTCCTGAAGTTTTTCAATTGGTGGGAAAACAAACAAATAAACGCAAACATAATTAGTATAATCATTATTCTAGCATCAAACATTCCTCATTCATGTAGAGAAGTGTCAAATCTTCACTTTTCTTTCATTCTTTCTTAGGTTGCTGACGACAGAATGTTCTCATCAAGATTTACATTTTTGGCTATGGTTTTTGCACGTATATAAACACAGCATGAAACACTCAAACAATGTCACTCAATCTTTTACTTAGAGTACAGTTTCACTTAAATACAGTTTAAAGGCAGCAATYCAACTTGAAGGCAAGGTAAAGTAGAGCACATGTAAAGTACATGGAACACAAGTAATCATTCTAGCCATGTGTGGTCCTGTTGCAGAGAAGCACTACAAGCAGGAATCTTATGTAGGAACCGGTTTGGCTTTTGAAACTGCTAYGGAGAAAAATGCATTTTGTAGCTAACAGAGGGTAACCTAGCAATGCGAACTAAGGTTTAGAGTCTTACCTCTGTATCTGAAAGTCGCTGCTGTACGTGCTTCGTTCTGTTAATAAGCTGTTCTTCCATTTCGATATCACTGCCTCCACTCTGATGGGTGTCACTGTTGTCACTACTCTGAGGGCTAGCTGCTGGTGACCCTAGTTCAAAATCACATTTCCCAGTTACTTTGTGATAGAGATTAATGAGAATGTAACAGCACTACATAAGTCTGTCTCATTTGTTGTACTCAACAGCATTCTTCCTGCAAATAGTTCAACAAGGGACGTAACTCAAACAACCCCAAATACCTGAGCACTAGAAATTCTTTTTAGAGTACTCTTTCACTATAAAAGTTAATTTTTGATGTCTCTTCTGGCCAGTATACAGCATATGCATGGCAATTTTCTGGATTCCACACTAAGTATAATTTATATTTGATTTCCCATAAAAACATAATTTCAAACTTGCACTAGTTTTCTTTCTACTCAAACTCCTTAACTCCAGAAAAACATTATAGGCTCAGATATAACGGATTGTACTTCTAAAACAAYACTTACAAGGTGAAGGGGCTGCTCTTCTGAGCTCTTCTTCTTCTGAGGAAGAAATGCAGAACAGAAAAATAAGTGAGTAAAAATCTTTTTGTCAGTATGTCCAAGATTCATAGCAATTCAGCAGTAACAGAAGAAAGGGAAACTAAGGCCTTGGTGTTTGCAGCACCTTTCTTAACATCCATGAGGAAATATGCACTCAAATCAAAAGGAAAAAAAAGAAAAAAAAAGAAAAATCATGTAATATTAGAAACTGGACTAAAATTAGATAAACTGATAGAAGAATTTATACATCYGTACAAATGATAGATGTTCAACAGAAAACGAATATTTAACAGRTGAATTACAAACCATCCCTGGAAAGAAGAAAATATCTCCATTAGATATACTAACAGAGCTTTTCTGAAACAGTTTTACAAATGTACTCACACAGTTCTAGCACTATTATCTTTACTTTCACCTTCTGCTTGGAAAGGTACCAATGTGACACTTTTTAAAGATACTTTAACGAGTTTACCAATCTAGAAGTTCTATACACCCTCCTCRTTTAAAGTCAACAAGGATACGACTGAAAAAGAGATTCAACTGTTGATAAAATACATACCTTTCTTATTTCCCATGGGGAGATTGGTACTCAATAAGGATGCAAATGAGCTTTGTTTTGACAGCTGAGCCTTAGCTGCTAGTGCATTATTCCACAGTGCTTTTATAAGCATTGATGCCAAATACAAGGTCTACAAACAAAAGCAGGTAACAATGCTATGAAGTAGTAGGAGATTGTTTGCAAAAACATATTGTTAATCTTTCTATATGCATTAATATTAYAGTTCGGCAAAATAAATGCATAAAAATAAATGCATGTAAAAAGTGCAGAAATATCAGGAAAACATGTTTAAAAATGAAGTTAGTATTCTACCATTGGTTATGAAGTTTTCAAAGAGCTCTGAGAATCATTATAATTTAAAAGCCAGAAAGGCCTATTTACTCATGTTTTCTTCTTATATTTATTTAGAACAGAAAAGCAAATCCATTATATATAATACACTGGTACAATTTCTTTACGATGATTTCAGTTTTTCTTTGTCTTTACCTGTTCAGTGTGAGCACTTGGATGAAGAGTAGAAACAAGGTTAAGAAGATGTCTAAGTGGAACAGGGTCCAAATTTTTGATCAAAGAAGGAAACAGGTCATGTATATAACGACTACAATGCTTCAACTGCACAGTACAAGCAAAACAGAAAAGATAATGGTTAGTTAGGTCTTCTACTCATTTTATCTAAAGGCGTCAGCCCTTTAAAAACACATTAGTGATTTAACCTTTATACAGGAAACAATCTGTCCACACATTCTGATATCAAACACATACACACACGCATCTTTATATATAATTTACCTTTTGAAACAGTAATACRTTAAAATGGACAAGTAAGCAGTAAAAGTAGTATCATATCAGTAGTAACATTTGGATAATAGGATTAAATTAGAAGGATGAAAGCCTATCAAGCTTTTCAGGTCTCCCTAGCAAAAAATAAGATCTCATTGCYTTCTTTGGATTTCAATATCAGCACTCCAGCTGTAAACTACCATAATTTTCACTCCTCCCAATGATAATAAGAGTAGCAGAAGCTACAATAGATAGCAGCAGGGCAATTAATTTATTAAACTATTACATCTGCCCTATAACCTCCATCACTGTTCTCTGTGACAAGACTATGCCTGTACTGAATAACTTGATTTTTTCCTCCTATGATTTTGTGTCTCATGAAAAAGTGGTAGTTGTGGCAGTTACAGTTTGGTAAGCTAACACCAAGATAAACAGAAAAGAAAACGAGAAAGAGAGAGAGAAAGAGAGAGAGAGAGAGAGAGAGAAAGAGAGAGAGAGAGAGAGAGAGAGAGAAAGAGAGAGAGAGGGAGAAAGAAAGAGAGAGAGAGAAAGAGAAGATTGAATTTGATTCATGTAAAGCAAAATCAACTTGCCATTTTCCATTTTACTACTTTTACAACTATAAAATAATGACATATACCTGTGCTGCAGCCCAAATACAGTCTATATGCTGAGTACTAAGTCTCCCTTCAGCTGCAAGAAAATTCAGAATCACTTGGCACTGTTTGATGATCTGCAAAGTGAGAACATATTTAGAAAAGATTTACTGAAACAATTAYTCCTTCATATTCATTTTAAAATAATAATAATTTTAAACAAACCTCAATATGCAAATTTGGTCCAAAAATATGCTCAACTACATTGTTGCTGATAAGCCAGTCTGCAAGCTCTTTTGCAATAGACCTACAGATGAAAAGACAGCAGAAATGTAGGTAAAATTACCCCCAATATGCAATCCTCATCCCTAACAAACTTACTTGGAATCAATGCATACTCAGCATTCATTATTTCACATAGAAGGAAATCCTTTCCACGTTTTTCTTTAKCTAGAAGACTAATGCCAAATATCAGTATTTCCTACTCACCCCTTTGGATGATTAGCAAATACATAAATAACAACTCTACAAATTTTATTATTTAATCCAGCCCAACAGAACACCTGCAGACACTTTCAAAACCTTTACAGGTAAGATTTGATAAACGTTGTTACAAAATCAAAGTTTATAACAAAATGCTCAAAGAAACACCGAGCTCACAAGCATAGCTAATAATGGAAGCAAAAGAAACAATTTTACAAGAAAATCCCTTATACGTTTTTTAGACTTTCTTGTGCTCTCTTTGAGAACTGCTTTTACCACTACTGGCTGTGCTGCCTTCCTGAGCACTATTGCAGTTTCTGGACTCCCGGTCTGGATTACCACAGTAAGAAAATGGGATTCTTTGGGTAAAAAAGGAGAGACTCCTTGTAAGGTTTCCATGTAGAATTCACTTCTCCAGGGCACGTTGCCAATTCTCCAATTGCTYTGAATTGCCTCATCACTAGGAATGAGCCAAAGGCACTAAGTTCCTACCATTCCAAGTCATTCCTATACTGTCCTCTCTCATTCTAATTYCAGGGCAGGAAGAAAAAAATACACTTAAGCCCTTGGAAGATAGTAATAACCCATTAAGATTTAAGAACTTTTGAAGTTATAACAGACATTTACTAAAACTCTTTAGTATAACTAACTTTAGTATAACTAAAGTTATACTGTTGTTTTAAAAAGAAAATAATCTGTAGAATTTAAGTAGTAATAGATCTGATACTTTTTGAAATGTATTCCCTCAGATTTACATTTCCAATCAAGCACAATAACACTCTTCCTATTTGATATTCTTTTCTAAGCTAGACATTTTACTTCCCTTACGTACAATTTGAAAACCAACATAAGCTACTTCCAATGATACAAATTTTCTCATAATAGTCTGGAAAGATTATGTATATTCACATACATATATTATCATTTGGTTTTACAACTACTTATTTTACAATTATTAATAATTTTAAAAGGCGCATGCAATTTTTACAATCAAAATACAAAATTTTTCATCCCAMTGGATGCACACTGAAGAGATACCGTTTATAATTCATTATGAATTTTTAGTCAATGGGATTCTATTTTCTGAGAATTAAAATAATGTAAGAATCTTCTTTTATTTACACAGCTCCTTTCACCCCTTCTTAACGTCCACATGATTATGCCATCTATCACAGTTTATATGCTGATAACACATAGAAAATAGATTATCAGGCCCTTCTAAATCTTTTAACTTTAAATATAAGGTCCAGACAGACTGATTACTTTTTTTAATGATTCAATTGTGCATAAATTATTACTATTTAATAATAAATACATCATTAAAGCATTTTTCCATAGAGCGATTTGGAAGCAATTGCAAGACCATACCAATATGCTATCACCACAAACCAGGCAATTAAAGAACTCAATTTTCAGCAAAATATACTAAAATTTTCTTTAAAAAAAAAGTTCAAGAGAAGATATACCTTTTTATAAATACACGCTTTCATTCTAAGGGAAAGGGAAAGATATGCATTATGATCTAAGTGTATATATACATACACACACACACACACTTTCCCTCTAATACAAAAGTGGCAGTACAAAGAACTATTTTACAAATTACATTTCTAGGTCATACAGACCTTAGGAGTAAGAACATTCACCTTGGTAACAACACGTACAGCAATTTTTTATGAATTTAGTAGGTGGGAGAGAAATACAAAGTCATTTGAAGGCCTAATACCCACTTCTGGGTGGGTGGGTGGGTGGGTGGGTGTGTGTGTGTGTGCGCGCGTGCGCGCTATCTGCACGGGAGAGGTAAGGAATGACAACATGAAGGGAGCTGCTGCTCCATTTGAACTGTCTCCAGCTCATTCTCACAGCGGACTCCACACATGACACATCCAGGTTGGATGGTCTCTAGACATAGTCCATTTCTCGCTAGACTTTCACCTCAAATTCACAGAAAATTCTGCTCTTTCAAAAAAAACCTGCTTTTCTTTCAAAGAAAGACATTCAAACGCTTTGGCACAGGCTTCCCCAGGCATTTCATCGGACTCTGGGGAAAAGCGCGGAAGCTCTACACTTTCTCATATAACCTCGAGYTTATGAAAAGGACATATAAAAAGCCTAGTATTAGGGCTTGAAATTAATTCACTGTTGTAGCTGAAATAATCATGAAGAGATCTTTACAGCTAACACAWTTTCCTGGTAACTTCAAAACATACAAACAAACAACACCTCAACAACACGACTGTAAAGGAAGACTGAGTTAAAGTCCCAGAAACAACCTGCTAATATAAATCTGTGCTTGGTATGTTATTTGCTGGTCATAGGATGACACAGATCAAGGAAAGAATCCCACAGGAAAGTATCTCCCCACATCCTCCCAATAAAACCCTATCTACCCAACCATACTATGATATATCCACCCAACACAATTCATGGTCCAGCTGCAAAATCATGGCACTCTGTACAAGACAAAATACAAGGACAGTAAGTTAGCAATGGCAAGGAAAAAATGAATGTAAAACCTTAAAAGTACAAGCGCAGCAATATAGTGAGCAGCCTGCAGAAGATGAAGACTAGCACTTCTTGAATCAGTGAAATAGCAACACCACCACAACAARGATGGGATGCATTGCTCTCAACTATTAAGGCACAAAAATGCAAAGAGGGTATAACAGGCCCTTTCCCAACACTCCTTCAAGCACTGGGTTTTGTTGATGAGTGTATGTTTCCCTGTTTGACACTTTTGCAGACTCCAAAGACACCGCCCTAACATCCTCTTGAATTAAGAATCTACTGTGTGTATCGCTAGAAAGAAACGCCAGGAAGTTGAGTGAAAACCTCTACTTTTCTTTTTCCACAGAAAATCTGAAAAGAMCCATTGAGCGTGGAAAAGTAGAGAGGGGAAGAGGCTTTTTAGTGCTCTTGCCAAAAACAGCCACTGAATTTAAGCAGAAAAGCAGAATGCAAGCCGCCTGCGAGCTAGGAGAACGCTGGTGAAGAGAAAAGCAATTCAAAAGTCACCAGCTGAAAATCTCCATCTATACAGAGGGAGAGGGAAGAGAAAAGAGGAGGCAGAGTCCTGATCTTCCCGTTCACAGGTGAAGGGAACTTGGTACACCCGAAATTACTCTGCAGAAGCCTTTAAGGGAGGGCAAGCTGCTTTTAAATGAGGACCTAGAAGTCACCTCAGCATCAATATGAACCCTGTAGCTCGAGCTTGTGGCTGCCTGCCAGGCGAAGAGCAAACCAAAGTATCTCTTTATCCATGTTATTTTCACAGCCTGACAATGCATTCATTAAGGGAGAAGAATACTTTCTCCTCCCGTGCTCGAAATGGCACAAGAAATCGTTCTCTCCATTAAAGGCATGATCATTTTTTACTGACTGACGTGAACAAAATAGTTCCAGGGATCAGTGTTCCAAGATTCGAAGGCTCTTATGTTCAATCTCATTATTTTTAGCTTCAATAGATTTCATACTCTGCAGGACCTTAGATAAGTGTTCTGATGCCACAAATCTGATCCTATTTTAAGAGCCAGGAATGGCTAAATTAAAAGTATCTCTATGAGGGGCACTCTGAARTTGAACTATAAAATCCAAGATACTGCACATATCTGAACAACATGTGTGCTCAGTCAGGACAAATCCTCAGCTATACAGGAGACAGTCAAATGACCTAACACTGCAAAGACATACAAATATCTGCGGCAAGGAAACAGATTTCCTTATCTCAGCTTTCTGCCTGTTTCAAGTCCAAGTTGTGAAATTCAATGTCTTTTCTAAGCATAAAATACTTCAGCTTGTCTTACCATGGAAAAAACCTGTAATCCACGCGGGATAAAGGTGGGAAGCTACTACTGCCAAACATTCAATAAAAAATCCGGATATTTCCAAAAAGAAGAGAAAAGCTAGAACTCCCTGACAGCTCTTAAATGAAAAATAATAAAAGAAGACCTCCCGCAAACCCACCTTATCAAGATACAGAAGCAGAAATCCCAAAGGTTGACAGTTCCAAATGCATCTGGAAAAGTCAAAACACAAATGGGGATGACCAGAGATAATGCAAAACATCATCCTTTGATAAATCTACAGAGGCTACAAAGCTACAGAATGAATTTTAGATTTCCTTTCTCCTTAGACAAAAGAAAAAAAAGGAAAAGGAAAATATTTTCTTTTGCTGCTTGTTCAATTACTGTCAACTCCACTAAGCGCTTTCTCATTCAAGGATTTCCTATGAACAGTGTCTCTAATAAGAGGGAAGCTCTGTACTGAATGAACAGTATGAGTAAGACATTTTCCCCAAATTTCTGCACCAACCTTTTACAATTATTTGGTTGGAAGCATATTGGGGTAAGTGAACCCAAAAGAAATCTAAAGATGTGCAGCAATACTTAAAATTGATTTGGATCCTTCTCAGGTGAAACATAAGAATGAGTGGCATTCAGATAAAAAGAATATCACATATTACAAAACTGCAAAAGGTCTTTGGTTAATCCTGTATTCCTTGCAAATTATAGGCTTTATAGATGCCTTTGCCAAGCAAGTAGGATCTCAACTGAAAAATTAACAAATTTCTTCGGCTTTAAGACCACTCTAATCTTTTTGCATGGTACATCTGTTTGTTTTTCTGCAGGGAAATTGAAGCACCCTTCTCTCTTTCCCCACTGATAGCTGTTTTTATATTTGATAGAGAAAAAAATCTTTTTGTTTAGTTTAACTGGCTGAACAAGTTCTTCTTAGTGTTCCTTAATTAGTTACTATCTGTTAAAAACTGTTTCACTCAGGATGTGTTTCAAAAGATGCAAACAAACAAACAAACCCACCTCACTCTGGGATTTTCATCATGCAGGAAGGAGGAGAAGAAATGAATGAAACTGAGGTTTGGGGCTATCCCAGTTTAACTATATACTCATGGCAATACACTCTGAAAACACCCAGCCAAACAAGCCACTTTTTACATATTCGACTAGTATCTGCAAGTCTGTGTTCTGTAGTCTAAAAGCCAGCTGTGCCCCTGTAGTATCTACCAGTGCAGCTACAGAACGAGAATTTTGAAGGGGGGGAAAAAAAACCTCTACACAATTCCCATGTCAAAAAAACACACTTTTATTAGAAGAACACTTATTAGGGGAAAATTTTTTTTATTAGAAAGATCTTCAGAAATGTACATTAACTCATGTACGTTAACTACGCTCAGATACCAATGTTATGTTACCCTCAGATGTCAACGGATCATGGTAAGTACTTCATACTTCAAGAGAACCATTTATCTGATAACTGGGTATCAAAATTTACTTTATTTACAAGCATGGGCTTATGCTCATCTACTGTTTTACTGATGAAATGCATGAAAAAAATTATCACAAGCAGCTATTTGTCTTGTGTTTTCATGGTATTTTCAAATCTACATAGAAGCAAAAATGTTCCCAATTCCGATGAATTTTCACTGAAGTTGCTATTTACATGAAATGTAGAGGCCTGTGACTTTGCTGCCACATCTGAAGACCAGGCAGAGATGTTACTGGAAAAGAATCTGTGATAAAAGTACCATCTCCCCAGATCACAAAGCAAGCCAACTGCTGTAGAATAGATTCATCACCAATAAGCAAAAGAAAAAGCGTACATCTCTAGTGCATTGGATACTCATACACACACATAAGCCCCAAAATAAATACAGATATACACAAAGAAAAAACAAGGTTTATTGTAATTTGTATATTATTTCAAGAATAATACCAGTTTCAACTATTTGTGACTGAAGAGGTCTATTTTTTTCTAAGTTCTACACAGTTCCAACATTAATTTTAGATTTCTTAACATAAAACAAACCCACATCCTCATGGGAAAAACCTCCTACAGGTGAAACTTCAAACTCAGACTTAGGAGTCCCTGTTAAAGTGTTAGCATATCACAGCAAAACAACCAAGGATGCTGAAGAACAACAACAAGTAGCTCCAAAGCCAATTAAATGCCAAACTAGTAACAAGGATGGATGCCAGGGATGGCATATCAGGTTTCAGTTAACTAAATGATTAGGAAAAACAAAAAGATGGCAAAATCATTGCTTTCATATGAATGATCTAGTTCCTTTTTTTACATAACAACAGATATAATAGCTTGCTATGAGTATTTATTATTTCAGTATGTTTTTTTCTCAAAGTTACCTTGAATCTATCTTTCAAAAGACAGCAAAGAGGTCCAGAAATATTTCAAAATAATTTTAACATTATTATTTAAAACTATTTGAATTAAATGCCTTATTAGGATATTTCTGATAAACACCTTAGGTAAGCATTACTCCCTAGAGTGCATAACCCATAACAACAGTACAGAAGAGCTGCAGTCATGTAAGTGTACTTAAAGCATTCATAATAATGTTCCTACTTACGTTTCTGTGTCTGAAACTAATGACTCATTATTACACACATCATTGAAGGTATGAAGTTGGTTCTATAGTTAAAAAGAGGAAGAAAAAATTAAAATTTTATCTAAATATCTTGTGAGACAGTTATATTTTAAAAAGTGACAGTAAGCAGTTTTCCTATGAATTTTTCTAAACAAAACCTTTAAAAATATTTAAATGACAAGCATCGTACTAGGTAAGTGGGATCACTTTATTTATCAACCTTTCTTTCATTTAATCCATCAAATTATATTAGGAGACACTACCCATTCCCAAAATCAAAGCAGGACATTCACCATTACTTTTCTCCAAGGACTTCTATGAAAAATGAAACATATGCTCTGGAAATTAATGTTTCAGGAAGACAYTGCTGGTTATTGGAGTGACCACTAAAACAAAATGTTTCTTTAATCATATTATCAGCATTTAAAATCTATCAAACTGAAAAATTATATATTTTAATATGACACCCTGAGAGATATCTGAACAGTTAAACTCAAGTCTTCATAGAGAACCTCACATACACACATACAAAAGAAGACTTTTCTAAAGATTACCTCTACTTTAAGGACTAACTACCCTGGGTTTACATAACATCTTCAACCTTTACGTCTGTAACCACATTTGTGCACAAAAAAAATCAGAGTATTTTATATTGCATTGGAATTTTATTCAGGTTGCCAAAATGCCTTGCTAATTTACTTGAAGGTTCAAAACTTAGGAGGTTATTTTTGAGGGATTTCATTTTTTTAATAGCTTTACCTTACAAGTATTTACCAGAATAAAACTTGCTTTTTTTTTTCCTACACAGGTGAATCATTTCCATGCTTCAGAATTCCAAGTGACTTAAAATAGCTAAAAGAACTCCTGACAACTCACTGCCAATTATTTCAATCTTCTACTACTGTCAACTAAAATACATTCAACTAATTTAGTCCAAAATAGTTTGTGGCTTTTGTCTCATTAATAAAAAACCAAAGCTATCTTTAAGAGTGAGAGATGGTTATCAATGGAAGCCTAGGGCAAGGCAGCATCGGAAGTTTGGGCTTTTTCAGTGTCAGAGGATTACAGGGAGGAAGGTGAAACAGGAAACTACCAGTCCTGAGAGTTCAAAATGAGAGTTGTACACATAAACTTCAGAAGCGGGTTTTGTTGCAAAGTTCTAGAACTGTCAATTACACTGACAAAGCATATTTGTCATGTATCTTTAAACATCTGGAATTTCTTTTGTATTTAAAGAATTATTGCGTGTCCATTCTTYGCAGACATGGTCTCAAAAAAGGCTCAAGAAAGAGTCCCATCATTGTACAATACAACTCCACACTTTGCTGCGATAACCTTTGTTTTCTTCTGCACCTGTGAGCCTAGGGAATCTTATCTAGAGGTGACAAATTTCAAGTGACTGAAAACACCAGCAGAATTCCCCTTCCTGCAGCATCACCAACGTTCCAGTTATGCAGACCATGCACTCTGTTCTTTACATGTGCATGGTATATTGAAATTATGCAATAAAATTTTTTTTTTTTTTCTGGGTTTCAAGAAAAGTAAAGATGGAACAATGTGAATGTTTAAAATACAAATCAAACTTCTTGGATACTTTTCTCAAAATAATTTTTCTTTTTTTCCTCTCTGTTGAAACAAGAAACAACACAATTACATGCATTGTGTAATTCAGGAGAGGCTCACTTCCTGCAGTTTTTATAAAAAGATTTATTCATGTCTAATCTTAAGAATTTTAAGGGAAAAATGTTTTGGAAGAACAAAATTTAAATATGATTTAAAATGAATGATCCTGAGAGTCTGTTTACACAGTTATTAATAGATATTTTAAAACTAAACACACTCAGGAATGAAAAACTGGGCAAATCAAATTTCATGAAGGAATTATCCTGAGTGTATAGAATTGGGTCAAAGAAAAGAAGATGAGTGAGATCACCAGTTTTCTGGAATCTCTCTTTCTRCTTCTCAGAAAATACTTTGAAAGGCATCAAAGACCAAAAGAGTATTGAATTATTATTATTATTATTGTTGATTTTAAACTCATGGTCACATAACAATTCAAATTCCCCAAATTAAATTCTGATATAAAGGGAAAYTGGCAAAGAGTAGGGGTTTTTTAACCTCTGATTTTCAGTTCTTTTTTTATTRTATTTTTAAAAACAGCTTCAGCTATAGCCTTTTGCAACACAASAGTGTAACACAAGGCACATGTGGGATAGTGAGATAGAGTGGCATAATGCCCTGCCATTTTTTCCATTCACATCCTGACATTTTTTTTTCCACTTCACGTTAGGTTTCCATGAAACGTCAGATGGAATAACAGATTTTATAATTTTTATGATATTTGAAACATGATACGAAACTGAAGAGAACTTGACTAATCCAGTAAGAATGCATTAGTTAAAAAAGTACCTAAGTGTTCTGCAAAGAAACATCATCCACTGAAGCTGAGARCACAAAAGAATCTTTCTAGCTACCTTCACACTTGGGCATCAAAGGACACCAGAGACCTATGCACAAGTCCCTGAATCTGAATTCCCCAGATTTGTTCAGGAAAAAACTAACAATGGTATGTTTGCATTTGCACTCATGATTACATCAGATGAAAATGAACTGAACAACTGAAAGATGAAGGATGCTGAGATCAGTTACCAATAATACTCATTTTCAGACATTTATGTTTCTCTAAAACAAGAAGAGCAGGAAAAGGATAAGAAAACTATTTGTAAGTAACAGTAGAGAGGGAAGAATAGCTGAATAATTTGGACTGACAGAGAGACGAAATTAAAGAGAAACAACGTAACAACAACAACAAGCTTCAGTATATCTTGCTTTACATTTTGCTGTTGTTTTCTGTAGTGATTTCCAACTTCATATTCAACCACTCAAACTTCCACTTTGCTAAAATTAACTTACATGTGTCTCTTCAACCTTGTTTTGTAAATAAGAACTTTTAGTCTGATGATATGAGACATTATTTGTATATTGTTCTTCAGAAGAAGTAAGTTTATATTTGGTGGTAAGCAAATATAATCCCTGTATGCCATACAGCAAGCATGGATTCTGCGAGTCTCAAGAGGCTCCGTGAAACTGAAAGGTTTAATTTTAGGACTGGTCATGTTACCTGTCAGACAGAAAAAAAAATCTTTGGGCAGAAACAAATCAAATTAACACCTCCTTGTTAGAAGACATGCATCTGTTTAGATTCACTGATGCCTTGATGCCTTTGGTCAAAGATTTCCATCTCCTCAATGAGAAAAGTATCCTTTTCTTGCAAGAGTTGCTGCTGGTCAGGCCACTAAAGTTACCTGAACAATCTTGTTGGGTTTTGATGTTGTGAGTAAAATCAGAAATCTCTATGAGTCAACTTTCCATATTAGTTTTCAGAAGTATAGTCTTTTTGCAATACAGTGTATTTCACAGTTCACAATTTTTAATACTCAGCATAAAATTTGAAAGTTTTCTTTCAATCTTCATATCTATATGAAAACAAAGTGAAGAACTGTTTCAAGGCTAAATGCTCAGCTTCTGGCAAATGACAGTCCAGGAAAGGAAAACATTTTGCAGTTATCTTAGTGGTAAAGTCTTAAATACAAAGCAGGAGGCTGAAATTGTGTTCACTGCGGGGAAGAACTCCTCAAGGAAAATACTTTGACAAATTTTATCCAAAGTMCACAGAGAAAAACAGAAACTCAAGAAAACTAGGCACTGAAGTACATCTGTAACAGAGGAGGATTTTACAGAACTATTTTGCAAAGAGGAATGAAAATGTCAATAAACTAGATAGCAAAGCTTCTCTGAATTTTGGTTCAGATTTTGTGCTTAAAATTGCACAAATCTGTAAACTAAAGTCATTCCAAGCAAGATACATGGAACAAAATAAATGAAAACACTTTTCAAGCTCAAAAGTCAAAGGAGATAAAGCAAAAGGTGTTTCCAAAGGGATTTTAAGACCTTAAAAATACAACCAAAGAAAGAGAAACTTCTTATCATTTGAATAAAAGAAAACGAAGTCTCAGAGTTCCATAGCACTACTAATTTAAAACAGATTCAATAAGTTACCAGCAAACAGTATTTCAGTTTTACAGGCTGAAGCTAATTTTCTTTAACCTAAAGTATGAAATTTTACTTTTGGTAACACATCTGTTACGCTTACAGTAACATTCACAAAAAAGATCAAAATTTGTTATAACCATATAAAATTATACAATTTCACATTCTTTAAAATGACATATATGAATGAAAAATAACCATATGATGCATTCTTATTTGAAGAATTTGTTTTGGTAATGAAAATCAACTTCCTACGTGGAAGTCTACTTCAAAAACAATGGTACTGAAAATTTTATTTTCCAAAACTGCGGAAAAAAAGAAACTATTTATATGACCAATTAATTGCTATGTTTTAAAAGATATCTGCCAGGTATTTCTATAACTGTAAAAAATAATAAAGCACATGTTCATGAAAAATATATCTGCCTAAGACTTTACCAACTCTTAAAATTTCTTATTACACAAAATGAACTCAGAACATTCATTCTGCACTAATTAGATATGATTACAAATTCCTATTCAGGCACTGACTGTAATATGCAGGAACTGACTGTATAGAGAGGAACAAATTCAGGCTGTCACTACTTCTTCCAAAAATTAGACTTCTCTCTAACTTGCTTTAGAACCCTAACTGGATGAACTGCACTACATCTTCATCATATAAATGCAAAACTAGAAGGCCAATATTTTCAGGCCTAATAAATTTAGCTACTCTTAAAGTCGCATTTGATTAACACTGAATGGTTGTTGTTTATAAACAATTTCTATTTTTAAGTTTAGTAGGTCACATAACTGTGAAAATTACCTACTTTCTTYGGTTAAGAAAGTTAAGTTTGGTTATCTGATTGGAAATACTTACAGATGATATTTAAATTATCATTTATTAACATAATTGTAATGTTAAAGGAGGAAGAGGCAAAATTTAGGAAAACTTGCTTTATATTTACTGACACTCTGTGAATGACAGGTCCCTGAGTGACACTAGTAAGTCAGAACGGGGAATGCTAAACGTGCTCAGAAAATAATACAGATCTTAAGAAGAACATTTTTATTCATTCTGGTATAGTGTGTTCCTATTCAGCACTTTGTACATTAAACAAATGTGACAATATGATCCCAAAAGACCAAATATTAAATATCACATAAGTCTAAACAAAAAAACAGAGAGTCAAAACCTGATTTTTTAAAAAAATCACTTTTCTACAACTATCTCTGTATGACTGTAAATACATATACAGAAAATAATGACCGATGGAGAATGTACAAAGCAACCTGCCTGGTGTACTATGGAGTATTTCAATGGGAAAGAGAATGGTGCTTAATTTTGTTTTTTCATCTATTTCTATTTGATGCTAAGCATATTTACGTATTCACTTCAGTCTTCTGCTACGTAAAGAAATGTTGTCTCTTGAGAAACAGCCTACACTCATCAAACAGGAAAAAGATATATACAAAAAGAAGCAGCTAATTAGAGTCAAGACACTCTAAAGGCAAAAATCAAAACAGACTGAAAGCCTTTATAGACAATAAGTATAGCTTTGTAAGGGGGTCTGATTTCAACATGGCTGTCAAAAAACATGGCTATAATACAGTTTCATTGGGTAAATTGTACAGGAAGCGTCTTCCAATTCCATATGCTGCAAAACGTACCTCTTGGTCATTGCTCTCAATGAACTCTATGTTCATAAACATGATTATGACTTCCTAAGTTTGCTTTTAGGAGGATTCTGCTGCGTTTAGCATATTAAGAAAGCCCCCAAAAACTTATAAACGCAAAATGAAACATTTTCTCTAGATTAAATAATTATTTATACTTTAAAAAAGTTCTTACTGTGATTTGACTCAGTCCAGCCAATCGCATTGTTAGAGTGGGAGACATAAAGTACTTAAATGCAAGATCAAGACTTTCTTTATCAAAACACAAGGCTGTATCCAGCGGTTCTTTAACTGTGCTCCACATTAGATCTGCCATGTTCCGGGCTGCACTCTGTCGCAACTCCTGGTCTGACAGTTTACATAAATACCTAAAATAAATGACAAATGGAAGAAAAAGAGGGTATGATTCAAAACAGAACACACATAAAACTCTCTCTCCTGGATCATCACCCTGATAATAACAAATACATTCTTCCAGTAACCCTAACAGGATTTAAATTATTACTATTGATAATATGAAGAGCCGATAATAAAAATATCAGAAAATAGGAACAATATAATTATCTAGAGCATTTGAAACTCTACAAGTAAATATGATCCTGAGCTTAAATGATGGCTTTAACCAKAAAAAAAAAAAAGTCTCCAAAAAATGATACACACAATCCACGTGGTTCTTTGGAAATGCAAGCTGGGAGTCTAAGCCTCCTATCTGTGTCATGGAAAGGTGCCCTCTCCAAAGAGCTACCCGTGGCCATTTGGTTGGGTTCCAGCCCAACCCTTCACAAATCCAAGCATCCCAATTCACCCAACATTAACATACTGGAGAAMTGAATGCCCAGAAACAGGATCACTGGACCACAAGCAGCGCTCTGGCAGACCCCCCAGTGCAGTGAGAATCCTCTGCAAAGAAGTATGTCCCTGTTTGTAATCTCCACTACAGAATGGATTAAAAAAAAAAGTAGAATAGTGCAATCTGGTCCTGATCCAATCAGTAGCAATGAGACACATGCGTATTTTTTCTGTCATAACCCCAGGTGACCATGTTCATGCTGAGGTACTCTCTGTGCCCATGCTATGACCTGCCTAACAGGAATGCACAGCTGATCCTCCTATGGACAGTTGTTATAATCTTTAAAGATGCACCACAAGCACTACCAAGGATCCTAGAAATCTCACAAAAAAAAAAAAAAAAAAAAAAAAAAAAAAAAAAAAAAGCCATGAAGAATTTTAAACGGTTGTGTTCTTCCCAATGGAAAGATCTTAGATAGGGAGTCATGCGATCATGCCAGTGAATTGCAATGCACGGGAATCAACTCTGCACGTGGGAGGCACAAGAAAAAAARCATTTATGGAAACTAACATATAAAAGCCACCACAACTTGAGTCTTATCTAAACTACCTCTAAATCAATCTACACTATGAAAATCAATGCTGAGATGCTTGTAAAGTTCACATATAAAACACTGACAAAGAGGAGTTTTTTAACTTAACAATTCTAAATGAGAAAAAAAATACTTAGAAATAAGCCTTCCYGAGTTTAATTTAAAGCAGATAAACATGAAAGGTATACACAAGGTTGCCATAATTTTTTTGGAGGGGGTAATTCAGTGTTTCGAAGTTTTGACTACATCTGAACTAGATTTAACTACACAAAAATGTACTAAAAATTCATTTGTTTCACAGCTTAAATTTGGATCCATCACCGCAAGACTGTTCAAATACATGCTTTCATCTATTAAAAAACACCAAAGACATTAAACTACACACAGCTACATTCATACACCAGTATGCTTTTGCATTTATATAAGCACTAGTAATTTTAAAAAAAAAAAATAAAAATACAGGCCCCTAGTCTTATTTAGACTTTATTAGAGAACCTTTTTCACAGTTCCTGCACAGAAGCTGGAAAGTAAACATACTTCATGGACACTTAACACTGCCAAACAAAGCRAAGAGATTTCAGTGCAAATAATCACAGTGACAGCAGATCTATGATAGAAAGCACAGATAAGTAGCAGAAGGACAAAAGGCGGGCCATCCACGGCCCAAGTAACCAGATCCTTCACTGATATTAAATATGAAAATGGTCTTTTCATATGGAGCACTGGAAAACAGATAATGTTAAGAGTAATGCTTTTCTGCTATGAATTTTATTTAAAAAATAAAAAAAATAAAATGGCAGTTAACAAGAAGGGAATACTCATGTGAAAAAGTGCAGTTGCAAATCAGACCCAGGAACRTATCTCTGAGAGGAGTTATATTCTAATGAAAAAAATGATCGGTCCACGTTACAAAACATAATCATGTCAATATAATTACCAGCATCCTTAGACCAGATWTTTTCTCTCCGTTTTTATAAGCAAACTGCATTCAGCGCTGGTTCCCAAACATCTTCAGTGTTCATAACGTTCATCAAGTGATTGTTTCGTGAATGATTTCTAGAGATCTTTAAGATGTTAACAAGAACTGTATGAATTTTCTCAGTCTATGAATTTGTGCATTCTGCATATGTCTATATATGACAGATGTAGAATGCTTATGTGCAACGGAGACAAAAATAGAGAGCATCCTACCTGCACAGGAAGAAGGGGGCTTTTGTGGGTTTTGGGGTTTCAGGGACAGGAAATTCAGGTGAAACTGTTTGGTGCTTGGAAACTCCAACAAAGTTTGGTGGAGTAACTATTATAATCTACAYGACAAAAAGAAAAAGGGGAGGGGGAACCCCTCCTTTCTGACTGCAGTGCAAATATACCAGTATAAACCTACCTTTGTTCATAAAATTGACTCCTGAGAAACATTTAGGTTTTTTCAGTGCTTTTATACAKGCATTTTCAGTGCATTTAGTCCAATCTTGCAGCATACTTGTGTCACGTTTTATTATATTACCACCGAGATAGTGTTTTAAAATAACTTTTATAGTAACTGAAATTTCAGCACAGAAGAAGGAAGAAAAGTCCTTTGAGAATAAAATTGGTTTTGCTAAGACCCTTCAGAGGCCTACAAAGCTACAGAGAAAAGGGCACTTTTAGTCAGTTTGGCCTCCCTTTAACTAAAATCTTTTAGCATAACTGGGTTATTCTGAGGAAGATAATACACTTCTGTTTTTACAAGCAAGAGAGAATCTACATGAGAAGGTTTACGGGCACTGTATGTCGATCAAAAATCAAATATGATCGTATCTCTTTACTGCCAGGATTAAAGCTATAAAATTAGCTGAGTAGGCAAAGCCTTGTTTTAATTGTGGAAAGATAAAGTGTCCCCAACACTTCTGTATCAATRCACCTGATTCATTTCATRCTTTTACTAGTAGAATTCTGTGGGKTWTTTTTTTTTTAATGAAATCTTTACATACCATTGTCAACTAACACATATCCTTCCTTATCCTGGGTAGTTCTAAATTTACTGTATTGTTTTATATAACAACAGTGGTACCATACCAGAGCAAGGCAAAAGATCTGTTTATTCCAAAATTTTCTCTCTAGAAGCAGATGACAGTTATACCCTACGTATAATAAACATGAATCTATTTACTACTGTGAATTTATTTCTCCTTTCTACCTTCTTGGCCACTCAGGCCATCATCTAGCCAGCTCCCTTATATTCTCTGTGAGATAGAATGCTCAGAATGGTATACAGAACGCTCACAGAAACGTGAACATGTGATTTTTGTTTTTTAAATTTTGTCTTTTCTGTCTTTGCAGAGCATCAAGTCTCAAAGCACTATAWGAATGATGCTTCAGTAAACTACGATCCAGGAAATCAGACGTCGCATAAATGTAACTTGGAAACAAATATACCACTTCTACCCATAAAGGACAGTCTCTCTCTATATAGGAGCTGTCCTGTCAGCCTGATACATTTTTAAAAATTTCTAAATACATATTACATATTCTCAAACCATTCAAACATATACACCAATTTTTAAAATTCAGTTTTACTCAACTGAAACAGTATTTAAATTTGCTTTTAGAGGGATGGAGATAGTCCACCTTGAAACACCCGGTTTTATTTTAGGATAATGCTTAAAATCGCATCTCATGCTTCAGGACTTTGGGTACTGAGCTGTGAAATAATCTTTTTTCCCCATAATATGACTCTTTTCGGACCACAGCTGCAAAAAAAAGTATTGGGCAGAATAAGTCAGTGCTCCTCAGTGAAATGAAGAATCCACCTGAGTGCCCAGCTACTGTCTCCTGATTTTCCTGTTCTTTGTACCTGTGGCATAAATCTTCAGATATTAGGAGYGAAATATTTTGTGTAATTGAAAACTTTTATCATAAGAGCTTATTACAAGAGTTTTTCATGACATTTAGTAGCAAGGAATGCTATTAAATCTTKGGTAGTCCTATTAAAATTGATTTTTAAAGATGTTTTTAAGCAGGCATAACCTGAAAAGCTTTGGACTTCTGCTCTGTGATGTTGAGAAATCCTGATCTCCTTTCCAGATTCAGTTGTAGAAAAAGAAAAACACTAAATATCCCCTTCATTCTTTAAACTTTACATGTTTTCCATAGGGAAATCCTATACTAATGCTACCTTCTTATTATTTTAAATAATAGTAACAGACTTYGAGGCCATCATTTACAGCAAGAAGTTGCTGACAAATTACATATTAAATAAGATGCAGGTATTTCTATGGGTAAAATAGTGAGGAAGAGATGAGGAGAAAACAGGGAAATAAATCTTCTATTTACTAACATCGCATCGATTTAATCTACATTTGCAAAAAGAACCTAACCAACCACACCAAAAWCTTTAAGAACTATAAGCACTAAACCAGAGGACAAGCAAAGGAAGATGAACAGCTAAGCTGCAATATTTTTCTGTGTCGCTCGAATTCTCTCATACCAGCCCAACTCTAACTGTTCATCTTTCAGTGGTTTTCCATGCACTACAAGAAGACGAGAAAGGCTCAAGTACAAACTCCCAGGTACACAAACATCCACCACTAAAACACGTACGGGGGGAAGAATATTTAAAGACCCCTATATTCCCATGACTGCTCCCTAGAATGTTTCATGATTAATAATCACTTTAATTCGATATCAAAGATAACCAATAAATAATACAGAAGTACAGTAGGACTGCCAACTCAAGACCAGTTTAATAAAAGACTGGAAGACTCTTGTCTGCTGACACTTTTGATAAACAACTTTCTATAAAGATTGATAGTCAAGCAGTCAAGCAATACTTAATTTTTATATCATCAAAATTCTTTGCAAGTGAAAAACAGACTGTTTTTTTAAACATGAAACATAGTTCAGATCCTTACCATTTTAGGTATTACTTTGTTGGGTATTACTTGTTAAGAGTGTGATTTTATACTTGTATTGTTAATATGAAATAATCCATACGGATTTATTGGTCTCAGAATTTTGCTATGACTATTATATGTACATTTCTAATAGCACAGTTATAAGAGACCCAGATCCTTGGAGGATTTGTGGGCCCATGGGCTGTGCAAGAGCAGTTCTTGTTCTAGGCAGTCTAGAACAAGAAAGTTTAAGGCTGGGACATCAGCAAGAGAATCAGCACAGACACCTTCCCACTCCCAGCAGAGCAGATACACATACACAGGGTMATTTCATCATCTACCACTGGATTTTTAATATTGTCTGAAAAACATCAATAAAAATATAATGTTGCATAAACAAATATTTGTGAGTATTTAGTTTTTGAAGCATTGTTCATGCTTAAGCAGTTTGATAAAAAGTAAATCATTGGGACTAGATATAATTAGATAGATAAAAGTGTGAGTAGACTTCTGATCACACTTCAGTTCCTGCCASCTGGAAATAAGAACTTCAAAATGTGAAGTGGCATTAAAACGCAGTGAAACTTCACGTATAAAATTTCAACAACTACAAATTGCTCTTCTACACACACAATCTTAATGAAGTTGCATAAAATTTGCAATAAGCTAACACATGAAATGAACTGTACTACAATGGATCCTGATACAACAYGTCAGAACCGGGCTCAAAGCCCTATTAAAAATGCCATGATCAAGACTGATTTGGTATTTTGATCAGGTAGATCGAAGCAGCTACCCCAGTCTAACTCTAAGCGATACCTTCACTCTACTTATTGAAGTAACAGAGACAGAGCTTGAGCAATTAGAAAGTATAGCATCCAAAATTATAAATAGGAGCTGTCAGAAGTCCCACAAGAAAATACTCTTAAATTAAAAATTTACCTGATAACATAAGTCCTAAAGGGTATAATGTGCTGCATGACAGCAGGGATGTGTAGCCATATTCTGATCTATAATGCAAAAACATAAATAGATAAAAGTTTCATTAATGACATTTATTGAGAATTATAAAAATGATATATTGCTAGTACATTTGCACATGCAACACCACTTTAAAAAAGGCTTTATTTTCATGTGAATCTTTATTAATTTTCTGATTCTGAAGAATGTTTGCGACTTGTTTAAACAGAAGTTGCATCTTCTACTTATGTAGAAAACCTAAAATTTACTATGAATGGCATTATACTGCACACTTATTTCTGAACAACTTCTTCAACAGGAAAAGCTGCTATTCAACCTTTTTCTTYTCAAAAAGAAAATACCTAAAAGAAAATGATTCCATTTTTTTTCTGTTTCTTGTGAAGCTCTCCTAAATAAAGGAAAATTATTTGACTTGTATTGATGTTTTGCTTTTTAGGCCTTATACACTCCACAAAATTACATTTTATAACCAGTGACTAAGAGCAGGTTTTTTTACTATTGCATTTGCATTCGTGGGTTTACCATGCTGCCCTTACCACTTATGCAGAAATGTATTCTGGCGAGAAAAAAAAAAAAGTATGCAGAAATAAAGAAAATAAACAGCCATTTAACACTGCTGTGAGAAAAAGAGGACCAACCAAGACTTACACYGGCAAAGTTAGAAGTTCCATCTGCATTTCAAAAAGGAATACTGAGCCTGTTAAACCTGCTACAGAGAGACAGCTACGCGCCAGGTAAGGGATCTAGCGAAGATGAAACATTAGCAGCTGTTACTAGTACTAACATAATTGGAATTGTGCACACGTAAGTGTGTGAACAGGCGCTCAAAGCTCTAATGTCAATCTATAGCTCCAAGCTTGTTCTTACAAGACATTTTAAACTTTGCAAGAATCACAGAATATTCAAGGTTGGAAGGGACCTCTAGAGATCACCTTGTCCAACCTTCCCGCTCAAGCAGGTACACCCAGTGCATGTGGCACAGGGYGGCATCCAAGCGGGTTTTGAAGACCTCCRGAGWAGGAGACTCCACAACCCCCCTGGGCAGCCTCTTCCACTGCTCTGTCACCCTCACTGTAAAGAAGTTCCTCCTCACCTGGAGATGGAGATGCACTGCAAGCCATGCAATAGATTCTGGGTATAGAATAAATTCTCACCAGGAAGTTGGAAAATACTGTATGCAAAATATTCTAAATTCTCATTGTTGATACAGAAAACACTATTAGTCAACAGCAAAACTGTATCTCCAGCATTTGATTCACAGAATTAGTCAAATATTTTTGATTAAATTTTGAAAAAAAACCAACATTGCCCAAAAAAGAAGTTCCATTTGGAATAAGATGCTGGTCCTATTGGTATTCTCAAGGGGGGRAAAAAGACTAATTTGCCCAGCATAGAAACTGCAACTAGAAGATGCCTGTTCGAGAAACAATAATTAAAAAATAAGATTTTGACACAAGACCATAAGGATAACTATTTGTATTCAAATACTACTGGTATTCAGATACTATGCTTCTAACACAACGATGTGCTCTTTCCTATATGCAAGCATAGAACAAATAAGCAAATAGAATTCCTTRTGCAATAGAGTAGGGAATGTTTTTATAGTTTTATTTTGTAGATTTGCTTGTAGTGAATTTTATTCTGTATTAATTCAGACTTTTAAAGTCATTTAATCCATGTGGATTCTTCCATTACACTACATGTGTACATACATAAATGTACACACATCCATGTCCACATATGACATTTGTTCTCTGAACTAAGTTAGCTGATAATTTCCCATGCCATAAATTTTCATCACAACTTCAAATATGAATCCACTAAATTAGACAAGATAGTTGTTTACAAAAAAAATCTTAACTCTCATCACACTTTTTAATGCTTCTCCCTGCATTTAAAATGATGTATTTAAGGCATCTTCTGTTCTCAAACCTGAGAGTGTTTTTTAATTATTATAGTTAATTTATCTTGAAAAGGTAATTTCTCTCTCAACATTTTTTRTTTAAGCTTCACAAAGCAAAATTAAATCAGCACTTGGAAATCCTCAGCACTACTTCTACTAGTTCTATCAGCAACTATTCCTCTGCAAGATGCACGAAGCTGAAAGAATATAGAAGTAAGGAGAAGCTTTCTCAGTGAGGAAGAAAGCCTCCACAGAACACGATGGAGTTCTCTGCATCTATTGCAGCTCTTCCTTAAGGAGACCAGCAGAATATCAGGCAATAAAGTATACAATATTAAGCAGAGCAAATAGCATGAAATATGAAATGTGGGAAGGAGGAAACAAACCAACTAAAAAAATACAATCTGACTAAAAAAGGTAACAGAACAATACCAAGGAGGAGCAGTCCTACCACAATACAGGCTGCTCAGAGAGCATCCTGCAGAGGCATGAGCTGGAGGAAGCCCCAGGGTAGAGGTGGCCACTGCCTGGGTGAAGCCAACAACACTGTTCATATTTGCTAGGTTTGTCCTCCCAAATGTCAACTTGCTTTAAAAAGGACATTTAGTCAAACTAGATTCGCTGAATAGAAAATTTCAAGGCAGTATCTTTTCAATTTTTTTTAATGTTCTCTATATTACGAGACACTAGGAGTCAGAAACGAGGAGCTCAGTTCCCCTGCATACCTTACTGCTACGCTCTTCCTTTCATGTGCACTTTTAGAGTACACTCAGTGAGATCTTCATCTTCCCTTGTGGAATAAATGGAGCAAACGGTCTTCCTACAACTATGCAACCCTGTCTAATAAAAACTGAATGTGTTTCAATGCTGTCAAATGCTTTTTTTTTTTTTTTTTTTTACTTTACCATCTCAAGCTTCTTTTACCTTTTCTTCTTCACAGAGCTCAACACCAAGGCTAACCTTTTAAGGAGGGATGTTTGGGTCTCACCGTACTACAATCTTTCTCAAAAATATTTATGAAATGCTTGGGATGACAGCTAAAGCCTTATTCTCATCATAGACTTTTAATTAAATCCCAGCTTTCATACTTCTAGCAGTTTTTGCAATAACGGTTAGTTAACTACCTCCTCAAAAGCTGGTGCTACTGTGAAAACATATTTTAGAGTTGTATACATTAGTTGTGACTCTGCACAGGTAACAGCTGACACTACAGAGCTGTTCACTGAACTATTATCACAAAGGTCACTTGCATTTTCTATAAATCCCATAAACTCAAACACACAGAGGTAAAAAGGAGTCTAAGTAGCAGAGTTCTTACTGAGATCAACAATATTTTGTTTGCAAAAAAAGGTGTTGCAAATGCTCATTTTGCTTTATTGGAGCTGACTCACAATTGGAAATACACATTGTTATAGTACTTGTATTTACTCTACAAATTGTAAATACGTATAGAAAGAGATGGAATACAAACAGAATCAGGAAAAAAAAGATTACGTCAATATTAGAAACTCAGGTGCCACTGTAGAATGAGAGATAAATTTTTTTTTCCTTTTTTCGTATCAGCAAGATGAAATTATTTTATCCAAAAAATTGCTGCCTCATCCAGAACTATTGCTCATGTTGCATTCCAGTCTAAAGAATTACCGGCAAGTAATGCTACTTAGAGTGACACTAAATGCTGGCAGTGGATGAATAATGCGTATCACACACAAAGCATGACCTTACACTTTCCATRGTGAAATTGCAGATAAAATCTAAGAGATGACTTTTTCTGAAACAGCTTTCCTCACATCTCCCTGGCTTGCACGGACTTGCCAAAGCCAGGAAAAGTTCACAAGACAGACTCTGGTGGAACAGTAAATGATGCAATGCTGGAAAAGGCAAAAGCAGCAGTACTTCTTTGGATTAGGCATGGTGTWAAATTTTACTTGGACATTTTTAATCACAGTTTTCACTTAAGAGAGTCACAAATCAAAGGTAAGCCTAAAACCTACTAAACAAGAGAGATCCACAAAGTGGCTTGATTTGCAGAAAGAAACTCTGCTGAGGTACATTTGGGGTCAGGGGACATTTGTAAGAATCTGGAAAATAAAGTTCTCATGGAGAAAAATAAGACTTCAAAAAAAAGGAGAAAGACGACAGACAGATGCAACTTAAATACTGGCACCAGACACGTAGAACATAGGATTTGCAGACAGTGCTCGTTGAAAAAAAAGCTGGTGTGACAGGTTGCTGCCTGGTTCAATGACTGAAACTTAGAAAACTGGAATGACCTACAAGATCATTTATTTTCAGCAAGTGGTGTGATGAAGACTTAAAATTATTCCTTAAACCTGGAACAAGACTCTGAAGCTGGGGGGAAAGGAAATGTCACATATTTTCTTCTTACTGTAGACATTACTGTCCCCAACTCTCACATCACTGATCRTGATACCACCACATCTAAACACCATCTGGGCTGCTCACAAGTTTATACCCTATTTCACTTAAAATATACAAAATAATTTGAATGTTTTAACTCATTATTTTCTATCACAGCTTATTTCAACTTCATTGTGTTATTCTGGCTGGTCAGTAACAGCAGCAAGAAACGAGATGTGTGGAGGCAGGGATCTCATTTTAAGTACTTAATATTAGGGCAAAACAACTGCAAAATTATATTTAACTCACTTCACAAAGTCATAACCTAAGTTATTATTTTCATTTACATCCATAAGACTTCTTCACCACTTCATCTTCTCATATTACACTGTGAATTCTTATATGTGCTTCACAGATGAGTTTTAATTTCAGTCTCCTTCAAATCTTCACTAAAATATATAATTTTGCTAGTAAAAAATAATTTCAAAACATACAAATGAAGTATTTATATTCTAGAACTAAACTAGAAAATAAAAGGTAATTTCTTCTATGTTACAAATACATATAATATGATATAAAACCACAAGAAGTGAGAGGCAAAGGGAGGCACAGGCTCCTTCTTTGCACTTTACAGGTATTAGCTAAAGAGCTAATATAGACTGAAGCTGGTTAAAACACATCCATGACACAATTCCGAAGACAAAAATGACCTCAGACAGCAACTTCAGTGTCCAGGAACATCAAAACCATCTAAACTTGTAAGCTGTGAGTCTACAAGAAATGTACAGGGTTCAGATGATGGAATATTAACCAATGACCTTCATATTGTTAACAAGGAAAATATCACAGTGTTTTTTGGCCCTCCCTGCTTCTACTGAATTCTTTCAAARTTCAGTCTTTTTACTTTTGATGTTAATTAAAGTAAATAATTAGAGATAATACTTACATTAGATACCACTGTAATAAATGCATGTGCTATAAGAAATGGCAGTGTCTCTGGGGTTCCATATTCAAAACAATCCTTCATGAGGGAAAGGCCATTTTTTCCACAAAACAGACAAACATAACGAAGCAAGTGCAATGGTACTTCTACATCCTACAGAAAGAAAATAAAATCCAATCATGCACATATATGGAATCCAAAACAAGATGCATTAAAATCACACAAAAGTATACAGAAAAGTGCATAGAGCTATTCTAAGAAGTGTGTATCTACTTTAAAATAGAGATAGGTGTGACTTACATTCATATCACAAAATGCCCCTAATATATTGCTTTCTTGAGCAGAAATATCCTGTTCAAAAAGAGAAAAACTATAATTAGCTAACAGAAGGAATAAAATCTCACTTGTAGCACAACATACAGCTATTAACAGACATTACAATCAACTAACAGAAACCTTAAACAACAGATTTTGAGGAAACCAGAAGCTCAAGTTTTGCTCAGCTTTTACACTGCAAAACTACTATCTGTTCATATATTCACCTGTATAAAGCCATACATACTTATAGATATAAATATACACTTACAATATTATTTCAGCAATCTCTCACAATAGTTGGGATTAGCAAATTTCTTGCATTCTCCCCCTGCTCCCCTCCACCCAAACCACTACATACCAACACCATTTTTTTCCCCAACAGAAATATTACAAGGGTGGAAGCTAGCTCCAGGCCAGCCTAGGAATTACAAAACAGGATGAATCTAGATGCTTTGGAATGTAAATGTTTTCATAAAATGAGATGTCTACCCAAACATGTGAATTCAGATGACCCAATAGACAGCAAGTTCTGCAGACCTAGACATAGTGACGTAGAAGACTAAACCATCAAATTACTCATTCTTATCAGAATGTTAAAATTCTTCAGCTTCAACTAGCCGATTCCTTTTTATATATATAAGGAAACATCTATAATAGAATAAGTACCTAATACTCTTTAAAGAAAAAATGTAGTTAAAAGGGGGTGTGGGGAGGAAATTACCTCACCCTGTCAATATTAAGTATTTGCTGTGACAAGAAATACATTTTCTAAAAGCAATACACTGAAATGAATTTGAAAAAATAGCTTCTTTTTAATGTTAGCATCATTCACTTGTTGGGTAGTCTAAATCAGGATTTTCTTTATTAAATCAGTCGTATGTAGTGGATGCATCCTGCATATGGCTGGGGGCAAAAAGGCACTCGCTCTATCATAAAATGCAACGGTAAAACCACAATATTGCTATGGATACTTGCAGGTAGTTAAAACAAACATTCTTCTCCTTTCCATCTCTCTWTGAGAAACACCCAGTTTTCATATTAATAAATCAAATACATATTAAACACAGAGTTAATTTAAGTAAATTTCTTTGCATCTATATCAAACACCTCTGCAGTGGAATGTTTCCTAAAATTATACCGCAGGATGGTGAAGGTAAGCAATACTGGCTGAATTGTGTACAACATAAACATATTTGCAATTATTCAGTGTTCATATTGTACCTAATCATTTTTTTTCTGTTGAACACTAGGTCATGCCTAAACTCACGATAATCTTAAGTTATTTTTAAATCCACTTTGAAGCCACTAGTGATATGTTTTCAAGTTCTAAGTAGCAAGATWGGGCACTCAGTGCTCTGCTCATGAGAACAGCAGAAACAGCAAGAATAGATTTACTGCTGAAATAAGAGTTTTTAAAACATAAGAGTCAGAACCTGATAGAGATATATTGCATCAATCCTGCAAAGCTTTCTACAGATGTGGTGTWTGGGAGACAACCTGGAAATACAACTTCTGCACCTGGAGTTGTAGAACAGAACAGTCAGAAACTCAACATTCCTGAAGCTCAACTTTATAGCCAAGGAAGTAACAGAATTCCTCCTGAGAGTCTAAWATAGCATTAAAATAAAATATCCCTACCCTCAGCTGAAACATACTGAGGTCTGGCATGGACACAGCCGTGGAGGGAACTTAACCATGAACAACTTCCAAGAAAAGATTTAGTTGAAAATGAGAACCAGAGATGGCACCATTCCAAAGAAGCAGAACACTACAGATATCTACACAACTGACTTTTCTCCTTCATTTTATGTTTTCATGAGCTATTAACATTTGCCTAACTCCCCTAAGATTCATTCCTGTCCAGAGAAATTTTAGGATAACGCAAAGTTTTCTAAAAGTTCGTTTTTTCCTCTGAAATGTCCATTGGAGATGTTAAATGGGCTACWTGGAATAAGCATGAAAAGAAAAATAGGGTGCATGGTTTTAAAGTCCCCTACARAAAAGCTCTCTTAAAAGCACTAATTCCAAGGCATAAAAAATTCTCAAAAATCCAAATATATTTATGCAACATTTTCAATGAGTGCATTGTAATGATGCAAAAATGAACACCATGCTCTCTCTCTTTGGGCACAAAAATCGTTGGTAGATTTCAATAGAAGCAAATGGTGTATTTCCAGATACTATCACCACAAAAGTTCGTTCTTCAAAGTCGATGCCCCTACTACTCATCCTCCAACTGTCTGCAACCAATTGTGCTGTTCCAGAATCTCAAAACTAGCAAAAAAACATTTTTTTCCTTAGGCTTCCAAATAGTATGAGACGGTCTGTGCATGCACATTCATATTCATTTTTACTGAAATCACAACTCTATGCTTGCCCATTCTCATCAGAACCAGGTCATGAGGCCTACATTTCTAGCAAGTAACACATGCTTGATTCACTTTCAGAGAAAGCTTCACTGTCCTCAAATGCACARGGATAGAAACACCACAGAAATCTCTCAGGGCCCCCTTTCCTTTGCTGCCTGAAGCCCATGGTTCAAGGCAGCTCCTGCTATCAGAGGCCTACCCTAGCCCTGCCTCTCCACCAGGCTTCCATGCTCTTCACCTTCCTCCTTTCAAATTACAAGAGGCACAGGGCTCCAACTCCTGCTACAGACAGAAGTGTGTAAGTAAGGGTCAAAAAGCATTCTATCATTTAAAGGTATTTAAGGTCTGGTCATACACAAGCAAACATCCTTTTGCCTTGCTTTGCTGTTATTTTCATTTCAATTCTGTGATCTCCTAAAAGAGGAAAAAAAATATTCCTTTATTAAGAATGTTTTCCCCTCCACATAATGGTCAAATGTCTAGAGTGACTCTGGTAAACACCCAGATAAGAGGATAAGACTCGAAGATTTGTCTGCTGTCATTAAGAACCAAGTATAGTTTTGGAGGCCTATGCAGAGTGAAGACTAATAGGAATAGGGACAGCTAATTGACACCAGGAGATAACACTGTGGGAAAGCCCTACAGCTGTACTTTTTAAATGACAGTCTGGCTGGACAGTTCTAGACAAAATACATGTGAAACTCTGCTGGACATAAGGACTCAATAAAGTTGCATAAATTCATCTCAAGAATCCGGAGCAAGTACTTCATGAACTCAGCAAGAGTGAAGGTTACAGTTTATTTCATATCAGGAAGTTTCCCTTTTTCCAGGGCAAAGGAACGGTTGGTGGAGAAGCTGCACTTCAATTTCTCCCAAGTTKTGGCAGATTTGTCTGTTCAGGAATGCATTTAGTTTCTAGATATAGACAGCACACTTCAAACAGCAGTTCGTGCTTTGTTTTATGTTTCCTTGAAGACTGAGGCAAGTCTGAGCTGAAAAACCACAATCTCATTACTGAGAATAGACTGTCTCAATCTGGTTACTGTGGATCCTAGACTGAAAACCAAAACTRGGTTTTGAATCTCAGTAAATAAGTTATTCAAGGTAGCAGAAAGTTTTATGACATTAAAATTGTTAGCATTACAACTTTACAGTAACAGTACCCTAGGGATTCCTAAGTATAGGAGATCTCAACTGGTGAGAAAAATGACAGATATTGAAACCTGGAAGTGTGAACATCCCCACACACATATACCAAAAAATAGGAAAAATGTGTACCACAGAAGCAGAGACTTCATGAGACAAGCTAGCAAGACCCTATACTCAATACCCAGAARCATAAAAGTCTAGCATAAAGTAAAAATACTTTTCTCTCACTACTCTATATTAGGACAATGTTTCTCAGCATCCCTTTTTCATGTTACACATTTTTTACTATTCCTAATGACTGAATATATTCAAGAATGTAAATTACCAACAAATCATTTTTAGCTTTTAGAATGATAGCCAGTTTCAGCATAGCCATCTACTGCAGATTTGTGTCCAGATCACGTTATGTCTGCGAATCAAGTGAAAAATTGTTCCATTGCCATGTCCAAGCATTTCTGAGATTATCGYTGGAAAGTTAAGTTTAAAAAAACAAACAAACAATTAAGTGGTCCCTTTAAAGTGCTGTGTTCATATATAGAAAAGTTGTTCCAAAATTATATGTAGTATGTTCCTATGAAGCTGGTTTCAGTAGATGTCCCCCAACACAAAGCTAAATCACCTAAGACATTGATTTTTTCCAACTGACTGGACAGACTCTACAGTTCCTACTTGCACTGGCTGAACTGTAGATTTATTTACATACAGTGAAAGTTTAAAAGGATTAGGTGAGTTAAAATTAAGGATGCTATCTGAAATCCACAAATCCTGTCTTTGCATCATTTTTCTATAAACATATAATTGTAAAATAGTCTATGCTAATCTGAACTCATGGGTCTTAGCAGAGGACATGAGACCAAGCCTAGTCCGCCAAAAGGAGTCCTATGCCACTCATCCTTCCATAGGATAGGTTAGCTAAATCCAGCAGCAGATAGAGCAGGAACCATTCATCAAGGAACAACTTTACCCCGTTATCACCCTAGCGCACACAACAAGAAATGAAAGATGACTCTTTTCAGTCTGAACTGGAGTTTAAAAAGTAAGCTTAACTACTCAGTGCCCCAACAGACTCTGCAACCCTAAAAATAGATAATAYATGTTTAAAAGAAAGAGACAAGGTGTTTGGGATAATTGCAGTCATTCTGTGACTTCTTCAGGCATTTGCTGGGTACAATCTTTCTTCCTATAGCTAAATCTCTCTTTCTTGCTCTCTCTTTGCATACAATATTGTGCAGGTATCGTTTATTAACAGACTATCACAAACTGAATGAAAAACCAACCTTTCCAAGACCTATACTGTTTCAACTAGAAAATGCTAACACTATCATGTTTATTCCTAAAACTATGAATTAAACATCTCCAGGAGTTGTGAAAGTGGTTTTTTTTCTCCTTCAGCAGAAAACATGGAAAATATGGATAGCAGCAATAACAGTATCACAGAGAAAAAACAAGCATCACAGAACAAAGTTGCATTTGTAGAACTCAGTTACTCCAGTCAATTAAAAAGCTGTTCTAACAAGAAAGCTTGGTCTTGCAGAAAGCTTAGTTTATGTATCTTTGCTCCCAGAATCATTGATTTTAATGAAAAGAAATGAGTAAACTATTAATGGGTTACCTTCTGGAAGAAAGGCTTCGCTATAGTCCCCTTTTTGCCTTCCTGTTATTTAAACAGTACAACAATTCAGTGTACAGTTCCATCCAACACTTATCAATATATTACCTATAACAATTAAGCATATTTTAAAGAAAGTGTAAGAGTATGTGTCATTTAAAAATTCTCTGACAAGTTCTACTGAAGTCAACAGGAGAGCTGAATTTGCCCATCCTGTTTGAAAGCAACTATCACCAAACATACACAGTCTACTCATTAAAAAAAACCAATAACCTTTCACAAAATTATTAAATATACACATAAAGATAAGATACCTCTATTGTGGGATGAGTATTATGCTTATAAGCAGTGTACAGTGGAAACTGAATCTGAAAGATTTTTGCCACACACAGCAACAGTTTTTCCTTCTCATCAGTGCTCCATAAGCTAAAAGCATCAGTGTTCTTTGCAGAGTCCTCCTCTGTCAGGATACAAGTTCTTGCAGAATCTAATTTTTTCTCTATAGATTTTTGCCGTTCTCCATTTTCTTCTTCATGAGACTCTCTTTCTACATTCAGGGGCTCATCAGCTTGATTATTCTGATCTTGCCATGTTGAATCTATATTAATAGTGCAATGTTTACAGAGCTGGTCCCGTAGAGCTTGAACTTGGGCAATCACTAAGTTAATAAGCGCACATACTACTTGGTTAAAGATCTCCAAATGCTTATACTCCTTGAAACAGCATAGACATTGTCTGCAAGAAAACAGAAATAAGTAAATAAATAAAAATTCCTGAAGTTGCTCAAGTCAGAAGAGCAAGAATGATCACCTCATTGAGACTGGCTCAATATGAAGCTAACAAAGGGAAAGACAAATTTGAATATTAAAGCAACTGACCAAAAGAAAGGTGCACATTAAACCATTTTCAACAAAGTATGTGACAGACTCGTTAAAGCAAGGAAATCCAAATGAAACAGACTTTATCCATCAAATAGAGTCACAAAGATCTCCTTAAACTCTATGAACATACCATTATTTCCAAATGCTCACAAAAAAAATGAAGTCCCTTTTATTGTTCAGCAGTTGCCACTGTAACTAAAATATACCAGGACCTGGCATCTTAGGGAGGTCACTGTACTACTAGTGAAGCTGTCTTCCCAGGCAGGCTCCTGAATCCCACTCCTCACCTGTTTATCAAGAGCACCACAATAAGTCACTCGACACGTTTGTCAGCTGTGTAAAATATATATATATATATATTTGCAAATCAACATGGCTGCAAAACATTTGTATTTTAATATGTATTTGAGAACTGATTGCTTCCTTATCTGCATTTGTAGAAGAACTCTATGCACATTGGTACCTTTTGCCTGTATGGGAAATACAGTATCAGTAGTATCTTCATCATTTTCACTTTGCAGATTCAGAAAATATTTCCTGTAAATATCTACTATCCATTAATATCTCATATGTGCAATATGACTTCATGTGCTTGAAACTGTGATTCAACAGTAAATGTATTTTCATGTTAACAAATGAAATACCAAGCTGTAAGCAAAAAGAACAAGTGTATCTAAGTATCTATCCTTAGGGAAAGCTACGCACAGCAGGTTCTTTATTTTTGCTTACAAATTACCAGCCCTCCTGGCTCCAGCAAATTAGTCTCAATAATCACAAAAACCTAAAGTCTACTTTTCACATATCTGTATTTGAATGCTAATGAATACTGAAGAACTCTCCACTGGACAAAGGTACACTGTTCAAGATGGAAGTATGTGCAAAGTTTCTACRCAAGTTCTAACATACCTGAATGTGCCTACAGGATATAAAAGACCTCCACCAAAACAAACAAACAAACAAAAAAAMCCCACTATGGAATAAAAAATGAAGATKCTAGAAATACGACTTCTTTTAAGATATCAGAATTTCCAGAAGGAAACTGAATTGGAAACACTACATGAAAATGGAAGCMAAGTGTCCTTCAGGTTGAGCTGCCAGCTGATCTTTGGAAGGCAGAGACTTAGACTGTAGAAAGGAATTCTTAAGCAAGGCCTCAAGAACCAATATGACGAGATCCTCTAAAGCCCACTTGAAAGGGCAGAAAAGGTACATGAAACATATRAAGTAAAACTTCTTTCTGTGGCATCTTACTCTAATTTCCACTGTAAAGAATGTTTTTGAGGAAAGTTTTGTTTGAGGGGTGTTAAGGAATGCTTTCCATACTCTCTTGTAATAAGCAGCCCTGCATAAGGAAGATAAAAAGAAACCTGAATAAAAAACAGTTAAACGTCATCCAATATTTAAGTTGCATTTATAATGTTATATATGAACAAGACAAATCTCTAAATAGTTAGTGATCTGGGAAAAACACTAGGTTGCAAGTGTTCTCAGACAAGCTGAGATTCCTTGATCTGTCAAGGAATGACAGGAGTCTGGTTTCTGTTGATGATGATTGCGATTTAAAATCTTTCATGTCAAAGAGTATTTCAGAAAATAATGAACATAACCTTCTTTGTGTAGAGGAAGAGGAGGAGTTTGCTACCACAGTACCTAAAACACAGAATGCTAAATTGTCACTTGAAGACTAAAATACCAGAAATATCTACTAGCAATTCAATCCCAGGGATGTAACTGCTTTAACATCACTGTGAGCAACTCTTCTGATCTCAGTTACAACACAGCCAATGATATCCTAGCCCATCACACCCACGCACATTTTCTCAAATAYTGGCAAAAAAAGGAATGTCTGGGGAAAGATTATTGGAAGCAGGTCGATAGGTCTCCTTCATTACTGAGAGTTAGAAAGAATAATCTGTATTTCAGGGGATTCCAGAGCAAGCAATATATTAAGCAGCTCTCAATGGACTTTTTGTCTAAAAATGTGTCCAAATGTTTCTGGAACCCACATCTTTCAGCTCCCAGAGTAGCCCATGGCAGAGATCTATAACTCAACCACACATCATGCCTCAAGAAGATAGAAAGTTTCTATCAAGAAGATAGAAAGTTTCATGTTAAAACAGCAGCATACATGATTTGTCATTGCAATTTACCTATTTACTATTACATAATTTATTTCTACAACACCTAAAATGGCAGTCACATTCAAAATATGCTTTATCCCATATGCACTGGAAAACATGACATTTATATTTAAATAGTAAAAGGYCCTTTACCTTCAAACATTACTTAGCTACGCAGTAATAACTTGCCCATTTTAACTCACTTTAAAACACTTTTGTTTTCCAAGTACTACAGCCTACTGTTACTATTCAGTATCATCAACTCTTTATAAAAAAAATACCTTTGTGTCCAGGAATTGATGTAAGCAAATATCTTGAGCGCATGTTCTTTCCTGAGCTGCAATCCATCACCAGCTTCAATGACAGATACTGAAGAAAAAGAGAAACATATTAGTAAAACAATAGTGTGCAACTGTGTCATTTTTAATGAAATTTATCTTTGCTATCTGGGTAGAATGAAAAGTATAGTGTGAAAAACAACAACAAAAAATCACTTTATWATAAAGACCTTTACTATAAACTTGCTGTAATTTGACTGGAAAAGTATTTCAGCATGAAAATGCACAACACCCAAATAACTTACCTTATCATATTAGAAACTGAACTATTCAGCCAAAAATCTATGGTTTTGTTTTTTGTTGTCATTAAATAGAGACAAGGTTTAGACACAATTAGCTTCAAAATAAAAGCATATTGGACTCTGCTGCAAAAATGAGTGATCCGGAACAGCCTCTTATTTACTATTGAATACTCAAACTGGTCAACATCAAACTCTCCAGGTTCACAAAAGAAAACTTACAAATCACACAATCTGTTTCTGGACACTGTCATTTTTAATTGGACAAGGCTATAGGTTATACTGTGGAAACAACATTTTCCTCATCCTTATAAATGAACTTCTTTGATTAAAAACAGCTCATTCCTTATTAGGTAGCTGCAAGGTGCAGAGAAGCATTCCAGAAACACATGCCGGGAGGCAGGGGGGAAGGCAGGGGAAAAAGCTTTTAAGTATATAAAATAATCTAAAAACAACTAAATTTACAGGAGACTTGAGCACAATGTCTCCGCATAAGCTTCCCTGGGAAGTACAGCTTAGTGTGCACTTCTGTATATGAACCCTCTTCAACAATTTTATGATTTTTTATTTCCTTAAAATTCTGAGTCTGAATTGAGATGACCACAAGACCTCAACTTGCTTTTTCTAACCAGGTGATCAAGATCAGAGCAGATGCTATACGTGAGAGTATGCATGAAGTTATTTCAGAGTCTTAAGTCATCACCACTTACTACTTTCAAACATCACCACTTACTACTTTCTACTGGTATTCAGTGCTAAAAAATCACCAGTTGCCAGTAACAATAAGCATTTATCACACTTATAGACAGAAATCAGAACAGCTATATAGTGAACTCAAAATGCAAATACACCAGTGAGGTACTACTGAATGTCTTATTTTCATTCAAAAATGATAATTGTGCATTGATGTTTAGAGAAAGAAATAGACAAAAATAGTATATGTGTTGATGTGTTAACATGGATCTGAACTGCTCCTGATSCTTGACTTAGAGTTTTACTTTTGAATGAAATTAATTTCTTCCTTGTCCCAAATTCCTTTAGAGTTCTACAACTATCTAATCGCGATATAAATGGAGGGCTTTTTCCTTTTTTATTGATCATTTCTTTTGTAACATAAAACCAATTCATTTCTAGATTTCAAAAAACACTGATGTCTTCTTTGAAATACATGTTTCATGTACACACATACATGTATTTCTATATAGGCACACACATATATAAGAAAACACAAGTTCCTGCCTCTTAGCAGGGAACTATGAAACTTTAGTCATCTCTCTTCAGTTTCACTTCTAGCAGGGTTTGAAGATCTCCGTCACTCATGAACAAAGCACAAGGTGGCACACACTGCGTGAAAGACAGATACCTGTCAAAACTTTTATTTTAACAGACAAACAAAAGGCAAATTACTGTAACACTTGGACCTTCTTRATTTGTGTTGAGTTTGCCACAGAAGACAGATCTTTTTCTACATACTGTATGCAAAACACTGGCAAAGCATAAAATGTTCCTAATGTCCATATGAAGTTCTCAATTTTCTAAGCTTTGCTGCATGAAGTTTTTCAAACTTGACACAATCCTGTTGACCATAACTCAGCACCAAGCAGCCCTGGAAGCCCAATTCTAATTTGAATGATCTTGTATAGAAGTTTCTTAATTTATAAAATTTGCCTCTTTCCCACATCCTACCACTTAAAAACACACATTCTGAAAAGTATAGCAGTGACTTCTCATTTCCAGGGGAGCTTTATTCACTGCAGTACCTTGAAAGGCTCTCAAATTTCCCTCTAAAATTAAAAAAAGGTACTAAAAGTTAAGATGGCCCTCAGAAGTAGCAGCTGCAATTGCCACACAAGATGCACAGATTGCAGAAGTGAAGGAAATACTTAAGTCTAYGTCTCTGCAGAATGTAATAGAAAGGAACATGTGCTATTTGAAGAAACCGATTTCCCTGTTTATACATTTCATAGTTATATTGATTCTAACTAGTCTTATTTAGTACTGACAAAATCACACAGCAACTGTATACACAAATGTTTGTACCTAGAAGAACTTCTGATCTTTTCCCTAAAAGTCCTCAAAAAGCGCAACCCAGGARCAACCGCACCGAGGCTGCACTTCCCCCTCAACTTCAGTTCATCTACATTTGTGCTACAACCAGAGTTGAGCGATGGGCAGGGCTTCTCCTGGACCTTARCTGGAGCTCTCTCTTTGATTCCTTTGCAGAAACTGAGTGTTCAGCTCAGCTGCTTCCAGTCCTCACAACCAGTGTTCAAATATCAGGCTTCCCCAGTTTCTGGGAATTAATTAAAAATTATACATAGAAAATAAAAAGGAACAATTGCATTCATTACCATTCCTTCTTGTTGATTTTAGCCACAGGATTCCAGGATTTTGCTGCAAAGACTTCACTTCCGTATCATGACATCGCTCTCCTTTTGAAGTGGTTTTCCTCTGCCTAGTACAGGCAAGAGTTAAAACAGATCCATCCGTTATGGAGGAGACCCTTTCTTCTCTCTCTCTCTCTCTCTCTCTCTCTCTCTCTCTCAACATGAGAGGTCTACATTCTTCAGGTCCTCCTCAGCCTGGTATCTCCCAGGTTCTCCCACCTCTGATGTTTCAAACCCAGCACTAACATTCACAACACCAACTACAAGCCTTTTCAGTAAGTTTTGCTATGACAGGCCCCCTTCTTGCAGGTTAAGGTGTTGGACAGATTTTTCCAGGTTCTCTGAGTTCAGACCCAAAGCAACAGCACCCCTGTGTGCTCCAGGAACAGCAGAAGCACATCCAAGTGATGGCCCTTGTGTCTTCTGACCATCTGCCCTGTGCTTAGTAACCAACCCCTGAAGCCTGAAAGAAACATGCCATGGGATATGCTGCACGACAAGTCTCCTACTCAGGGTCAAAACTCCAGGAAATCTGCCCCCTGCAGCCAGTTTTGATCCGGAGTAAACATCCCTGGAAYACCAGATTTTTAGGAAACTCAGGCTAATGATTCCTCCGTTTGGAAAGGTAACACCAGGACATAATGATCCTCCACTGCTACAGAGCTGAAGACTTGCAGGGCTGGCTCTGCTCACACKAGGCTCTCTCCAGTACAAATCAAGAATTCTGTAAGAATGACACTCGCCCTGGAGCTTTACAAGCAGTCACTGCTTGACCACGCAGCATCTCTGTCACTAGTGCCACTCCAGCCCTACGCTCAGCTCTTCCCCAGTGTTGGGCAGCCATTCTGTTCTCCAAGCACTCACCAGCTAGTCACATGAGAAGCCTGCCTTAATTCCCTCTCCTGAGCTCTCTTTGTACACAATTTTCTTTTTTGAATTGCTCTAGTCCTTTTATTCTTCTCCATTAAAGCCTCGCATACCTTTTCATCCTCCAACCCTTCCTTCTCTCTTTCTCCATCAAATACCTTTTTCCTGCTTTAGGTACAATTTCACAATCATCTTCAGACTAAGTCAATCTTCAGACTAAGACTATAGCAGCAGCTGCCCCATGGGTGCCTTGCAACCACTCCTAAGCACCTCAARCTGGGGACCTGAACTGACTCAATCCATCCATCCAGCAGCATATCATCCACTTTCTTTCCCCCCSCCCCCATCTTTGCAAGCCACTGAATATCCAATGGGAGCCATGTAAATTAAGAGAGGTTGGAAGGAAAGTGGGAGAAGTATGAAGCTGAGAGAAGTCAGAGAGAAGTCAGCACTGATCAGCAGTGATAGAAAATAAGCTTGGCTCCCCCTGCCTGGTGTAACTTCACCCTAACACTGCTCACCTACCAGCAAAGAAACTGGAGACACTGCCATGATCACAGAGCAGAAACAGACCCTAAAGGCCAGATCCATCTGAGGCAAAACCAAACAGCGGAAGACAGACTAGTAGGTAAATTCCAGCTATGTATTTCCTATACTATAAATATAATGTAGAAAATGAGGTCTTTTTACACCCTTGCAATGTTTCGTTTCACAGACTCTTTGCAGCAAGTTGGCCAAGATGCCTCTTTTGTCAACACAGCACCAGGTAAGAATGATCCAAGCTGCTTAACTGACCTCAGATAACTATTATTGCTTAATCCCTTTTACCACCATCATATTTTCAGACATTTCTTTTCTAAAATCAAACATACTTAAAATGTAATGATTTATTAAAGTAGCTGACAGGAGGCCAAAACAAGGCATGAAGTAAAAATTTAAAATATTTCAGAAAAGAAGTGGCTTAGTTCACTGCCCTTCCTCATTCTMCTTAACCTGTCTGAAATGAAAAAACAAGTGACACACACCTGGGCTTCCACAAAAGAGTCGATGAACACGATCTCCCAAGCTAAGAAAAAAGACTTTTAATAAAGCCATTAAAAACAGAATGAGAAAAGATGAGAAAAACAGAAGTCAATTGCAAAGAAAGGGCCAATATAATTTCAACTGTGGACAAATAAAGCTCATCTCTTTAAGTGCATTTTTAGCAAGAACTTCAGAGCTAGAGGAACAGACTGTAATTAGACCTCAAGGACAACTACCATGCTAGACTTATGAGGAATATCTTATATCCGAAGGTCACTTATCATGCTAAGTACACTCAAATGGCAAGTAGAAAGAGAAATTTTAAAAAGTATATTCTCTATTTTTTTCTGAAATAGTAAGAAATATAAACAATAAATTATGTTAATATGTAAAAGCAATTTCTACATATTCAAAACTGTAATGACCAGCGTCATGTATAAATCTTGCTCCTTCCCTTCCCCCACCCCGCCCCAACACCAGCTTCTCTACAGAAAGACCAGGCACTTTCAGAATGA